TATGCATGTGTCCAAACATTTGATGTGACAGGGTATAAAATTTTGCGGGAATCTAAACAGGGCCATACTGTAGGAGTGTATAAAACATAGAGAGAGAAAAGAGAGTTGTACCAGGGAGGAAGATGATGAGTTTGGGGGGCATGAAATATTCAAATGTTGTAGGGTACTAGTAGTAATATCAGTACTGGTCGTACATATTCATCATCTTGAATGCTCTGCCTCTGCCGTACCGTCCCTTTGGCTCTCTCCAGAGCTGGAGAGTGGTGATAGGAGTAGATTAGATTAGCTTAGGTTAGGAGTAGTATGAGGTTTGATTTAGGGGGCTAATAAGATTTATTAGGATCTGTACAAAATCTTTCCAGCTTGTAGACGTGCAGTACTACTAGCTCGAAGCAAATGCCTTTGGGTACATCCGTACATGTCAGGTCAAAGCAAGGGCTTGGGATTTGAATGGTGTTTCTTTATCTTTTGAACGAACGAAATGGTTTGAATGGTTTTGAGGCCCGTCCTTTTGGTCATCATGCTTTGGAAGTTTGTACTTGGTGGATCTTATCCGTATACTTCAACTGATTAGTGGAATGGATCTTTGATCTGATATACTGTATGATCGAGCATTCGAGCCTTGCTTGTTTCAGCTCAGGTTTATAAGTTGCAGCCAATTTTGAATTTTAGAACTTAATTTATGTGCTTTTATCGCAATCGTCACGCAACTTGGGAATAGCTATCATTTGTCGTTAAATTTTCTTCTACAAATTTGATATATGTAAATATAATATAATCAGTGTAATTACATTGCAACTTGCATGTAGCTACAATATAATTTGTATGTATCTTTTTTTTAAAAAAAACCGTGATAACACACTATTTTCATGAAGCGGAGGATCGAGCGTTCAAGCCTTGCTTGTTTCAGCTTAGGTTTATAAGTTGCAGCCAATTTTGAATTTTGGAACTTAATTTACGTGCTTTTGTTGCAATCGTCACGCAACTTGGGAATGGTTATAATTTGTCGTTAAATTTTCTTCTATAAATTTGATATATGTAAATATAATATAATCAGTGTAATTACATTGCAACTTGCATGTAGCTACAATATAATTTGTATGTATCTTTTTTAAAAAAATCCGTGATAACACACTATTTTCATGAAGCGGAGGCCGTGAGACCGAATCTCCTAGCCTGTCTGCATGCTATGATTTTTTTTTCTTCCTAACTTGCATGAATCTTAGGGCCTATTCGTTTCAAATGAATTGCAAAGAAAAAGCATAGGAATAGGAATGGGTTTTAAACTATTATTCGTTTCATATGAATGCACCATAGGAAAACTACAGGAAAGTTTTCCATTCCTCCATTTTTGAAGGAAACATTTTTGAAGGAAAAGCATAGGAAAAAATAATCCACTCCAACCTAATGTTTACATTTCTTTGGTTAGCTTGCTCAACAACATAGGAAAAAAATCCTATGTTTTTCAATCCATAGGTTTGCACATGTATTCCTATAGTATTCCTACATTTTAAAGTAAACCTAACAGTTTAAAATTATGTGAAAATTAAATACAAATTACATTGTAGTTTCATGCAAATTACAATGTAATTACACTACAATTATACTATATGTACATTTGATAAATTTTTAATATATATAGTATAATTACACTACAATTATACTATATGTACATTTAATATATACTATATGTCGACAAATATACAGCACAATCGACTCTAAAAAGAGTGGTAAGGCTTTACGTCCCCATCGTTTGGCGATATATTTACAAACGAAAAATAAATTGTGAATAAAATTTTTATATACGTGTTCTTAGCAATGTAAGCAAAGGCTGAAAAATAAACTTCGATGAAAAGAAAAATCCAAAATCAGCTCTAAATTTAAGGTTGAAAATTTAAATTTTAGCTGATAAGTATAATCATAAGAAAAAAAAAATGAGGCCGATACTTTGTTAGCTAAAATGTGGTTAGGGTTTTGGTTGGGTGGTGGTCTCACCTTTGATAAGCTTAGTAAACAAAATGTGGTAAATCTAGACAATCTTAATACATGAATCATCAGAATTTTATTGACATGACTATAATTGACTGGTGTTTAGGCTTCTCGTTGCACACCGTTTTGATGGTGCAATGATGCATATTAGCCATAATAATTGATAGTATAAGTTTGTGCTTGATACGATGAATCCTAGACGCCGAGTTGGGAATGTAGTACTCGGAAGCACCACTGCCTGAACATATGATACGGAGTACTACGTACTCCCTCTGTTAAAAAAAAAAAAAACTCGGCCTAGAAGGGGATATGACTCCTGCTAGGACAATGAATTTGGACAGGAGAGGTCACATCCCCTCCTAGATTAAGTTCTTTTTTGGGACGGAGGGAGTACCCTGTCTGTCAGAAAAAAAAACGAATCTGGACAGAGTATGTAAGGATGTATCGCATCCTATTACAAGGTTGACTTTTTTCTGGAACGGAAAGAGTATAATTGTAGTGCTTCATTTTAAATGCCCATTTGAATTGCAGGATTGTAAAAAGGGTGGAATAAGAAACACATGATTCTGATGGAAATGTAAGCATCAAACAAAGAGAAATACACGGAGGACCATTTGATTGTACCGCAGAAAAAACATAGAAATCGGATGAAAGAGGTAGACTAACGAAAATTTCCAAGAGGTTGGAGCTCTTGTTAAGTTTCCTCAAAATCTATATACGATGAGGCATTCCATAGGAATTTCAATAGATTTGGAAAACTTCAATTCTTTAAATTAAATTGTCACATAGAAAAAATTCATATAGGATTCTAAATCCTTTGATTAAAGGGGCTATAAAGGTTCAATGCGGCATAAAACTTTATATGATTTTCATGAGCTTGTTTTTTCCACCAAAAATCGAAAATATATCATACATTCTAAAAGAGTTCCCTAGTAGTACTCGTCTCCTACCATACTTCACATGAGCTATAAGCATGGATTAACTTGTACCCATCTTGTTTCAAAATAAATAAAACTAGACTTATTTATCTAGATTTATAGTATCAGTGTTATTTTTATATTAGATTTATTTATTTTTTTTAAAAAATTTCTCTTTACAGTATACATTTGTTTATTTTAAGATAGATTTTTGGGACGCACTCCCTCCATCTAGAAAAAAATTCCAATCCTAGCATCCCAATGTGGAATTGGTGAAGAGTGAGAATGACTAAAATACCCTTAATCACTAGAAAAAAGTAGTAAGAGTAGTAGGTATGTAAAGGGTATTGAAGAGATAAAACTTCTCATTTTACATGCTGAAAGCAGGTAGAATGATAGAAGTTAGTTTTCTGTGGAATAAAATTAAAACTCTAAAAATTTTAAAAAAATTGACGGAGGGAGTAACTCAACGTAGGAGCAAGCAACAAGATCCACTCACTAGTCACCGCTGTCCTAACAGCCCTAGATAAGGATGAGTGCAGTTCATTTCAGGAAGGGGAAAACTCGAGATTGCCCCTGCAAGGGTGGGCTGGGCATGAGGAGGCAGGCAAGGCAACTGAACCAAAGGGAGGGTACAGCTTACAAGTAAAGACAGGCAGCCGGCCAATGTGGGGCAACCCAACCCAGCAACCATATTATTATACTAACAGTAGTATTAGTGAACTATTATTTACTCCTTCTGTTCAATAAAAAATAAATATAATACGAGATGTGATACGGTACTATTAATTTGGACCAGAGATATCTAAATTCATAGTATTAGGATGTATCACGTTTCGAGCTGTATAGATTCGTAGTACTGATGCCGCACTATGTTTTTTATAGGACTGATGGAATAATAATAATTTCTTGTTAGAACCAAGTTAATACTAAGGTGGTGTTTAGATCCAGGGACTTAACTTTAGTTCCTGTCTTTAGACACTAATTTAGAGTATTAAATATAGACTACTTACAAAACTAATTACATAAATAAAAGCTAATTCACGAGACAAATTTTTTAAGCCTAATTAATCTATAATTAGAGAATGTTTACTGTAGCATCACATAGGCTAATCATGGATTAATTAGGCTCATTAGATTCGTTTCGCAAATTAGTCCAAGATTATGGATGGGTTTTATTAATAGTCTACGTTTAATATTTATAATTAATTTTCAAACATCCGATGTGATAGGGACTTAAAAGTTTTAGTCCCATCTACACAGGGCCTAACTTAACATCCATATAGATGTAGGTTTTGCTTGAAGAGATTAAGACTGTGTTTAGATAAGGGGTGTAAAGTTTTTGCGTGTCACATCCGATACACGGACACATATTTGAAGTATTAAACGTAGACTAATAACAAAACAAATTACAGAATCTGCCTGCAAATTGCGAGACGGATTTATTAAGCCTAGTTAATCCGTCATTAGCAAATGTTTACTGTAGCACCACATTGTCAAATCATAGAGCAATTAGGCTTAAAAGATTCATCTCGCAATTTACACGCAATCTGTGTAATTAGTTATTTTTTCGTTTATATTTAATACTCCATACATGTGTCTAAACATTCAATGTGACAGGGTGAAAAATTTTACCAGGAGATCTAAACAAGGCCAAAGATGGTAAGACACAACTTATAATAATAAAAAGAATTGGTCATATCAATTTCTACTCTGTCCTAAAATAACATAACCTAGATGTGTCCAACGATTATGGACATCCTAAATTAAATTATTTTGTAACGGAGTGAGTAACTTCTAGCTTCTATTTTAGTAGTTTACTCCCTCTGTCCCATAATATAAGGGATTTTGGTGGGATTTGACATATCCTAGGACTACGAGCCTGTCCAGATTTGTAGTACTAGAATGTGTCATATCCCGTTAAAATCTCTTATATTATAAGACGTTATATTATAAGAGGGATGGAGTATTTTCTAGGATTATGTAACTACCCGTTTAAAAAATAATTAAAATTATAATATCTAATTAAAAATTTAGAAAGCTAAACAAGACCTAAATAGGTATAGATACTCTAGGAGGAAGAAAGAAGCAGATCCCCCTCTCCTCTCCCTCTCACACTCACACGCTGCAGCAGCAGCAGCAGCAGCAGCTTTCCCACCGACTCCTCCCCCTCCTCCATTAATGGCCGCCACCAAGAACCCTCCAACCCCCACGTGACCTCCTCCTCCCCTCCCCCTCCCCCTCCCCCTCCCGACCTCGCCGCCGGCGACCTCCCTTCTTCTTCCTGCTTGCCTGCTCGCTTGCCTGCCTGGTTCGACCGATGCTGAGCTCGTCGCCCTCGGCGGCGGCGCCGGGGATAGGAGGGTACCAGCCGCAGCGCGGGGCGGCGGTCTTCACGGCGGCGCAGTGGGCGGAGCTGGAGCAGCAGGCGCTCATTTACAAGTACCTCGTCGCCGGTGTCCCCGTCCCGGGCGATCTCCTCCTCCCAATCCGCCCCCACTCCTCCGCCGCCGCCACCTACTCCTTCGCCAACCCCGCCGCCGCGCCCTTCTACCACCACCACCACCACCCCTCTCGTAAGCTCTCTCTCCATCTTTTTTCCACAAATGGTCCATCTCTTGTTTGCTTCATGCTTGGGTATTCAAATCTGAGAAAAATTTATATATGTGTGCGCGTGTGCTTTCTTGGGACTTTTTCTTTTTTTTTTGTTTCTTCTTTCAGGACAGGATCTCTTTGCTGCCCTGCTCATTGGGATTGATTTGCTATTGCTCTCACGATTTATTGATAGATGAACGTACACGGATCTTTGCTTATAGTATGTCCGTTTAAGCTGTTCGATTGATTCTTTGCTCACTCTTATATCCTAAGCAAATTAAGCATATAGTAGTTATTACCATTACCAACTTTGCATTGGGTTGATGAAATGTTGAAGTGGTGCATTTTGATCTAGTTTTAATATGAACAATGATGAATGCTGATATGGATTCAATGTGCCTGTGCTCATGTCACTGCAGTGAGCTATTATGCCTACTATGGCAAGAAGCTTGACCCTGAGCCGTGGCGTTGCCGCCGCACCGACGGCAAGAAGTGGCGGTGCTCCAAGGAGGCGCACCCCGACTCCAAGTACTGCGAGCGCCACATGCACCGTGGCCGCAACCGTTCAAGAAAGCCTGTGGAATCCAAGACCGCTGCCCCTGCGCCCCAGTCGCAGCCCCAGCTGTCCAATGTCACGACCGCGACTCACGACACCGATGCGCCTCTCCCGTCACTCACTGTGGGTGCTAAAACCCACGGTCTGTCCCTTGGTGGTGCTGGCTCGTCGCAGTTCCATGTCGACGCACCATCGTACGGCAGCAAGTATCCCCTCTAATCTCATTGACTCTGTGTTGAATGCTTATTTGAATTAAGCTTGCCTAGATTGATTGCATATTATGCTGGAATAGAGCTGATCTGGTAGCTTTCTTAAAAGGGTTGAGACACTCAAAATAGTATTTGAGCTCTAATGTTGTTGATGCTTATTGCTCAAGTAGTGAACCTACCCTCATTCCAGTAATTATAAGTGTGTGAGGCTGCCTAAGAATTTGTCGATCAGAGCTTATTCAATGAGTTAGTCAGATGAGTGATACTGCCAATTTACATGTGACCATAACCCCAACTAAAAATTTTGTACCTGGATTATGTTAGTTAAATCTGTGTATTGCATTCCATCCATCCTTGATGCTACAAACCTCTGTGGGCACAATGTCATAAGCATATGTCTGTTGCTTGTGCCTTTAGCCCTATTATACTGTTGCTTTTTGCAGTAATATTGTACGCTTTTCCAGATCACCTAAGCCCTAGCTGATTTTGACCTTTATTGCCCTAACTCCTGATTATGTTTTGAGAAATAGTGTTAACAGTTGTCATGTTCTGGGGTGTTTTTGGTCCATGCCCTCTAAAATCTTGGTACCGTCTTTTTTATGCTGGAAAATTTTGCTTGTGTCATCTTTTTTGTGTGCCATACCTTAGTTTAGTATTTCCTCCTCTGCTAGCAATCACAAAATAAAAATATTGTACCTTCGACACCATCCTTATGCTTGTGCTGCATGCATGGCATATGTTCTAGTTTCGTGTCATTTTGCATTTGCATCTTGCTAGATGACTGACAAAGCTTATTTTGCTCCTTCGACTATTTTTCGTTCTTTTTCCTTTTTTAACTATAGTAGGTTGTCTTATTATCGTTTTGGTAGCATTTTTCCTATGCAGCTGCTTTTATGTCCTCCCCTTGAGTTGTAGAAATCCCTTAGCTACTGTGAACCTGTAATCATCCCATTATATTCCATTTGATGCTGCGCAAATCTACATGTACTGTGTCTGAGTCTGGTGTCTGGTCCTAATTTTCATGTATCAATGGCTATGCAGGTACTCTCTTGGAGCTAAAGCTGATGTGGGTGAACTGAGCTTCTTCTCAGGAGCATCAGGAAACACCAGGGGCTTCACCATTGATTCTCCAACAGATAGCTCATGGCATTCACTGCCTTCCAGTGTACCCCCATACCCGATGTCAAAGCCAAGGGACTCTGGCCTCCTACCAGGTGCCTACTCCTACTCCCACCTTGAACCTTCACAGGAACTTGGCCAGGTCACCATCGCCTCGCTGTCCCAAGAGCAGGAGCGCCGCTCTTTTGGTGGTGGAGCGGGGGGGATGCTAGGAAATGTGAAGCACGAGAACCAGCCGCTGAGGCCTTTCTTCGATGAGTGGCCTGGGAGGCGAGACTCGTGGTCGGAGATGGATGAGGAGAGGTCCAACCAGACCTCCTTCTCGACAACCCAGCTCTCGATCTCCATCCCGATGCCCAGATGTGGGTCCCCTATCGGTCCGCGTCTACCTTGAGCATCCCTTCACCAACATTTCTCTCACACAATTCATTCCATTTTCTTTGATGATGCAGGTGATTGAGAACTTTGCTGCTTGTGGCAGCGGGGTGGACCTCTACCCCGCATTTTACCGCTGCTAGTGAGTTGGATCAGTGATTGCGCCTCCCCTGGTTCTTTGTTCAATTGTATCGTGCTATGAACTAGTTAAGAGAACCCTACTTTTTTTTTCTAGTAGAAGAGACAGAAAACTCTTATCCATCATCATGTTTTAAGATTCCACGATGTTTTGTACCTGCAACCCACGACCTGCCGGCTGCTGGAAGTTACTGGCTGTCTGTAATGTTTGTAGTAGATGATCTATGATGTATCATGTATCTATCTACTTGTTCCGAATTGCGGAAACCAAAGCCGATAATCTGGCATGTGCCAACGTCCTCCTTAAAGCTCTTGTGCTATGTATTTTGCTTTTGGTGGGAAAAAAGAAGAAAAGAAGGTTCCATTTTTCTTAATAATTCAAGTTTGTAGAATCAAAACCAGGCGTGACGTTGTGGTATTCGTTATTCCTTTTGCTTTGAAAAGAAGACGATGAAAGAAAGATATGTGCACGTGAACTCCAAAAGGAGAATGCCGCTCAGATGTTAACTGCAGCCTTTTGAGCCGATATCTGGGAGGGATGATGCGGCAACTGCAATGCAAATGCAAATGCCAAAAGGATACAAGAAGGTAAGGGAAAACGAGAGAGAAAAAAAAGAAAAAGATAGCTGAGCCTTTGGCAGGAGGGAGCACGGCCTGAACCTGATGAACGTGAGGTCTCCGTCTCCATCTCCTTTGGCAGGCAGACGCAGGGATGGATGGGGATGTCGTTTCAGTACAGAAAAAGCCTCAGTGCACAAACACTCCGGCGCGGTCAAACATGGAAATGAACACATGTATACATATACTGTTATTGCTACTGTACATGAATACTTGACTGGATGGTACATGATGCCCAGAGAGAGCACTGAACCACAACATGCCCAGAGAGAGGCTCTGCGCAAACTGCAAAGCAGCAGCAGCACTACGCTTTGGTACTCGCAAAAAATATCATCGTCACTCACGACAGACATGTTCACAGCTCTCCACAACATTTTATAGCAACAGCAACAGCACATTTTATAAGATACAGTAATAATAGCAATAGTATATATTTATTATTATTATTTGATTGCTGCAGACGCGCTGGTCATGCACTCATGCATGCCTGCATGGTGCATAAACAACTGGACAAGCATAGCCGCACCACGTAGTGGTAATAGTCCTATAACAATATTTGACATAGTAGTAGTAGTACTGTAGTAGCTGCGATGTCACAGGCAGGGGCCAGCCAACGCAGAGCAGAAACGACTCAACAAGCGTCACGTCACTAGGGAGCAAATAACACACAGTTCCGACTCGAAACACAAGGTTTCCATGCAGACGCGCCCGGCCATGCTTGCATGCCCCCGAGGATCAGCTGCATCCTCGAGGTGCTGTCATGGATGGATGCCAATGCAAGGCAAGATAGGAGTACCAGCAGGCTGGCACATCTCCATTTTTATTGGGGTATGAGATTCACAACCAATACGACACTACTAGGAAACAGCACTAAAAACTCTTCGAGGGAGATCGGCTCTGTTGGCTTCTTATTTTTCAGGATAGTAGGAGGATTGGTGAAAGGGTAGCAAAGAGGAGTGTGGCGGCAGCTTCCGTTTCATCGTAGTCTTCAGCTAACGAGCTTCCTGGGAAGGAAAGCCCTGTCGCCTGGCATCTCGTATGGGCGCCGGAAGGGGTCGGCCGGGGCGTGCCATGTCCTGGTTCCCACAGGAGGCAAAGGCCGCTTCATGGTATTCCCATGGGTTCTTGCCTTCATATCCACAAACTTGTCCGAAGCCAAGCTTGGCACCCTGTTGGAGCCCACTGTCAGCTGAGACAGCTTCTCCGCAATGTCAGGCGCACGAGGGCCCTGGTCTTTAGTGAAGTAATTTCCTACATAAGGGATGCGAGAAGTGAAGTTAAATAGATGCATGCATGATATCAACAAAAATAAAGAGACAAAAATCATTTCAACTATAGGCCCTGTTTAGTTCCCCCACAAAAATTTTACACCATGTCACATCGAACGTTTGAACACCTGCATGAAGTATTAAATATAGGCTAAAAAATAACTAATTACACAGATTGCGACTAATTTGCGAGACGAATCTTTTGAGCCTAATTGCTCCATGATTTGACAATGTAGTGCTACAGTAAACATCTGCTAATGACGGACTAATTAGTTTTTTTATTAGTGCCCGAACACCCCATGCGACACCCTATATAATACTTGATGTGACACACCAAAATTTTACACCCCTAGATCTAAACACCCCCATAGTTTGTTTAAAACAACACTCACCATTGCTCCTTACTGCTGCTGCTGCTGGTGGTGGTCTGGACCAAGGCTGATTCATTGCCTCTGCCTTTGTCAGTTTATGGTTACCCTCTGGAGCCTGACAAGAATTCATATTCACCTGGTGATCCAACTCCAGCTTCCTTTGCACACCAGCTACAAGGAGGTAATTATAGTTTGTTATAATTCCAAGTGCAACAGCCACAAATCCTCCCCTATGAAATGAGCATGACAAACCATCTTAAATGGGTATACCTGCTCTTGCCGGGGTGTTAGCGCTCAAGTATGAGTAATTAACGGCTGGTCTCCCATTAGATAAGGGCCCCACGGAATATCTCCTAGCATTCTTCTGATCCACAGCTCCTTTAGCCCCAACTGTAGATCAATTATTCAAATTGCTTCAATAACAATGTTCTAATAATGAAAAAAATGAGTTTCTACATCGCCAGGATAATGACAAACCTGATGGTGGTGTTGCTGCATATCCGTTTGTTGATCTGAATCGAAGTGAAGGGGGGATGTAGAAGCATGGCTGTAAAAAAAAACAATTATGATATTTCAAAATAACAAATATACAACTACCGCAAACTCATAAATAAGTTCATCATGTACTATGGAAAGTAATAACCAGAAAAATAACCTGAAAGAAGGGATGCTGCAAAACCTCCACCGCTGTTGGCCTTCTTTGTGGGTCCCATGAGCAGAGCCACTGTTGCAGATAGTAACTTGTAATTTACAATTAATTTCGGGCAAGGTCATCTTTACGCACCAAAGGAAATACTGGAGCCATTAATTGTTTACCGAAATAAGGCTGATCGCATCTTCACTTGCTGAGGGAACCACTTCCGAAAGATGTATGCTTCCAGACTGCAAGAATTTGGTGTAGCAGTTAAGCACCAATCACTCTTGTGCCATACTCTGGAGTAAAAATAATGTCACCAAAAGATTCTACCTGGGGAAACTGAAAACGAATAGATGCCGCAAGCTGCAGTCCTTCAGCCCAGGTACGCTGATTCGGAGTACCAAGAATGCTACAGATTTTGTAAATCTCGTCTGCTTCACTGATGGACAGAAAATGAGAGGAGTTATAAATGCCGTTTCTCCAAGGGAAGGCTATGGAAACACATAGTGCCATGCCACAGCAGTCATAAGATTTCGCATTACACATAGTTACTAGAGTAGATGTAATGTGTCAATGGTGATTATTTCATCTATAACAGTAAGCTTAATATTAGCCCTCAAGTCATAATTAAGATTGAACTTTGAGGTTCGAACTATTTCGCACATTTAAACCAAAGAAACAAGATAACTGGATGTGATTAAGAAAATACTGTGCATACTTTGAACCAGGGAAAAGAGGTCGCAGTGAAAAAAGCTCCGCGATGATGGCACCCATCGCCCACATATCTGGAACGGGGGGATAAGCAAATAAACATATTGTAATTGAGAGCAAATAGTTATCTCATAAAGGCACAAATATTCTTCACTCACCAACTGCTGAGTTGTAAACAGAAGCTTGGAGCAGAACTTCAGGGGCACGGTACCTATGTTGATAGTGAACAAGTGGATATTTAATACTCCTATCTAAATTCTGTTGTTGTGTATATAGTTTAACAAGTATAAGAATTGCATGGCGCACCAGCGAGTTGACACATATTCTGTGTATGGTGGTTCAGAAGAAATCTCACGAGCAAGTCCAAAATCTGCTATCTTGATGAGCTCCTTTGTAACTAGCAAATTTTCTGAAATATCATAAAGTTACAGGACCAATAAGATAGTTGGTAAATTCTAACAACAATAATCATGGTCAATCCCAACTGAACATATTGCAGATAAGTTAGCAAAGGTTGATGCCACATTGCTTCTTCTAGCTCTTTTGCTCCTCTGGACAGGTAACTTAAGTACTCTACTAGTAATTATTTAGGGCAACAACTTTATGTTTGCATTTTTCTAGGTCTCTGCTTCAAATGCTTGCTTAACAAATGCATATATCACACTGCATAAAGGGGGCACAAGAACTGAAATATAAGACAGCTTCAAGCATCATAGATGCAAAATTGATTGATGAAACAGATCAGCATCAATGCAAAATTGCTTGTTGAAACACATATCAAACAAGAAGCATCATCAATGCAGAATTGGTTGTTGCAACAAATCAAAACGTTTCAGGCAGTGTCAACAGCTAAATGCATTGTTCCCCATCTATACAGCACTAATTAAATAGACATGTTTTGATGTCATTATCACTTAATGCCGCATTGCACAACAGAACATCATAAACAACTCCCAGTCTCAAGCATTAGAAAGCATGCCAGGTTTAAAAATAACAGCCCACCAGCCATACCAGGCTTAAGGTCGCGGTGAAAATATCCACGCTGATGCATGTGACTCAAAGCTTGAAATATCTGAAAACACCAATTTCGGACTTCAGTCTCTGAAAAGGGCTTCCCCCTGCTCTTCATCAGCTGGTAGAGATTGCATTCCTAAAATCACCACGTAAACAGAAAAAACTTCAATCACTTCAGAGGTCACAAATGCCAAATCAAAAGCGTCTAATTAAGAAATACAAACCATGTATTCAAAAACAAAGAATAACATATCATTCTCCCTTATGACTTCCTTGAGTTTCACAATGTTCGGATGGTTCATCCTTCGCAAAGACTGGGATGCGCACACAAAAAAAAAATATATTAATGAAGTATAATAGATATCATGATCAAACTTGATTACATGTTGCATAATAAAGCACCTTCACTTCACGGAGATTGATGCACTCCTCCCATGAATAATATTTTTTCTTCATTTTCTTGATTGCAACCTGTCAAGGCCAGATATGTTAATAATATGTCAAAAAATTATGCCATTGATAAGGCAGATCAAGTCACTGTCACTTCTTTTCATAAGATAGATCATGACGGTAAGAGTTAGCTCCAGTTTAATTCAGATTTAATTACTACTAGGTACAATATAAAGTAATCACCTAGCATACTAAACTCCAGTGTACCAATAAACAAGCAGCCAAACTGCTTAGCTACTGAAAAAAATAATAAGTCATAACATAAACAAAATTACAAATATTGGGGCAAGTAGAGTGGCATACCACTTCACCACTCTCTTTGTTGATCGCGCGCCAAACACTCCCAAATGTTCCGTCACCAACTTCCTTAATAATCTTATACCTGAAGCATGATGCAGGAAAGAAGTTAGCACTCAGCAGGTACAAGCTCTTGAACATCTGAGAGAGCCCTTACACACACATACACACACACACAACATCTGAGAGAGAAGGGGTGTTATTTACCTCTCCATTTTTACTAGCTGGAGAGTAAAGCTGGTCTTATTCTAGAAGAGCCCTGTTGTGAACAAGACTCATATGTGTATTGCTGAAATGCCTTTGAAGGGTAGATCAGCAAAGCCACTCAACGCTTCTGGAAAAACTCTATAAGCAATACCCATACTCTGACAAAAAAACTTGAACACCTTCACTCTGAAAGAGCAACAAATAGATCAGAAGATTTGGAAGAAATAAAAAATACAAATAGGCTGAGTAACATAATAATTACATGTAACCGAATCATGAACAATGCATGTCATGTAGAAATTTCAAGCATACCGGTTTGTTACGCCATCAAACACAAAGCCTGACAAAGAACTGCGTAGTATGCACCAAATCTTGGGATGATCAAACAAAAAGCAAGCAGTGTAGGGGAGAAGAGAGCAAACGGAAGTAAAGAAAACCAGAACCTGCTGAGAGCAAGAAATTCATGAGAACAGGAACACATGCCATTTAAATATCAGGCAATTAGCTTCTCAAATAAAAGCATACCTAGAGATTAAGCCTGACAATGAAGATCTAATGTCAGATCCGATTGTCCAAAGAAGTTCCGATGGTAACTTTTGCTGGCTGATCAGTGCCACAACAAAAACTACCGGAAGGATGCAAGAGGATGAGATGCACCATGCTCGAAGAAATGTGCTACAGCTGCACTGTAATCAATAGTCGACTCTAATGTGCAATAGCATGGGACCAGGCAAGACGGCTGCTGAATGAGGTGTGATCTTCAGGTGCAGTTGACAAAAGAGATAACGAGGAAGTCTCCGTAAAGAGAAAACCTCCAGCCAAGAACTTCCTCGAGCAGCGAAATGTGCAATACAGAGGAACTTGTGGTGTAGAGGGTGTACTCCATATCCTTAATGAGAATGCTAGAGCCCTGGCAGTGCACGGTGTTGGAACCTGCAAAGGCATGCAAAATGAATATAAATAAGCAGCAAAGCAATGGTTGAAAACATGTGTCAGTGAAGTAACAGGGAAAAACATAGTCAAAGTGAGAAGAGGGCATTTATCGATTCATGCTACCAAGGAGCACCAAAGCACCCATGAAATTAGACGTCACATGCATGTGCCAATTCATGTTACCTACAAGCATCAAAGCACAGAGCACCCGAGATGCACTAATTTACTTTCGTCCCAGAAACACTATGAGATTTGAGTCTATGGATGCATGTGCCGTGAAACAACGTTACCAAAATTAACATAGGACCTCAACAGTGATAAATTGATACTACACCATATCTATTGATTGCAACGAATTGATTGAATTCTCGCTTCCTGCACAATTAAGACAGTGATCTTGCTACAGCATACATATTACTGGTACCAACATGATGCCAAGTGATGAGACTAGACATGAAAAAAGTATTGAGAACTAGAGTAAGTTTATAATCAGTTGCCAGTAAATTAAACATCAGACGCATAACATGTGCAACCTAGCATAAATCGGCATGATGGATGCTCAGGAACTGCGATTCATGAATAGACGTGAGGAATATCCGTGACTGATGAACCCTAGCTCACACACATCGGAACCAACAACTCCTCCACCAAATCCCGTAGAAATCATGATGCGCCAATCCCCCAAATCAACCCTGCTAAACTCCCTCGAAATTCGAACCAAAACAATTCATCCACCCCCAACAAACCCCCGCACCGATCCGAAATTCCGAATCAATCACCCGATCCCCACCCCCACCCCCACCTCCCCCGGCGCCCGCAGCAACCACCGCGCGATCCCCAAATCAAACTCATCAGACACCCCAACCATGGCACAGCCAAGCCACGCGTCGATTCGATTCGATTCACCACCACCAAATCAGCCCAAAATTGAATCGGAAAGTGGGACGACGAGCGAGCGAGCGAGCGAGACAGACCTGGGTGCCTCTCGGCATAACCGTGCGCCACCGCCGCCGCCGAGGGATCCAGGGGACGCCGCCGCCGCCGCCTCCAGCGCTGAAGAGGGGGGAGGGGGAGGGGGGGAAGGGTGGGGATCGGATGGCTTCGTCTCGTCTCCTCTCGCGTCGGGGATTTTTTTTTCTTCCTCTCGCCTTCCTGTCCTCTCCTCTCATTTATCTCTCAGTCGTCCAATGTGGCGGGGCCTTTTTGCGATACGGTCCCTGTACTACTCGGTTATACCTAGTCCAACCTTGCCGCGTTTTCTTTGTTCTTTACTCGGAGTAGTTTTTTTATTTTATTTTATTTATTTTTTTTGGAATCGCCTTGCGGTTGCCGCGGTTTCAGACATGCCGCTTTATTTGACGTGTCTCCCTGTTTTGAGTGTGCAGAGAAATTAATTGCAAAAATAGTGTTTTTTGACTTGCGTTTTATGTGTTTCTTTAAGCATCAGATAGATCGACTTTGTTCTAGTTCATTGATTTTAGTTAAGTCATCTTATTAGTGTTTTTTTTTCTGGTTAAGATGTTAAGGTGGTTGTTCAGCTCACTTAGCATGTGTTCTTTTGTTGCATATGATTAATTAACTATTAGCTATAAAAACTTGAATTGATTAACATAATTTTTATAGCAACTTTTCTATATAATTTTTTAAAACATGCCGTGTAGCAATTTAAAAAGCATGCATACAACGAATAATGGAGCAGTAAATGAGAACCATGAGTAGTAGTAGGTCTGAGCAGACCCTTAGTAAGGTGGTGTTTGGATCCAGGGACTTAACTTTAGTCCCTATATTTAGACATTAATTTAGAGTATTAAATATAGACTACTTACAAAACTAATTATATAAATGAAAGCTAATTCGCAAGACAAATTTTTTAAGCCTAATTAATCCATAATTAGAGAATGTTTACTGTAGCATCACATAGGTTAATCATGGATTAATTAGGCTCAATAGATTTGTTTCGCAAATTAGTCCAAGATTATGAATGGGTTTTATTAATAGTCTACGTTTAATATTTATAATTAGTGTCCAAACATCCGATGTGATAGGGACTTAAAAGTTTTAGTCCCATCTAAATAGGGTCTTACTTTCTTTGTGTGCGACCATTTTTTTTATGTTTCTTATCACACGACATATATGCATATATACAATTAACTAGCACATACTCCTCTTTTTAGTTTATTTTTCTAAATCATTTATTCTCAATATCTATGATTCTATTGATCACATGAATTTATATTTATTAGAGTGATCCAAATGAGAATATGATAACAATTATTTTGAGGAGACGACAATAATTTTCTTAGTATTTACGGTAGTAGAGATTTGTTTCTATTTTTTTTAAGAACGGAAGGAGTATTATATTAGGTTAAAGAGTTCGAGCAAACATGTCGAAAGATCGGGCTACATGTTATAGCCGGATTATCTTGTTATCTTAGTCGGAAAGTCAAAAGCAAGATACGTGAGATTTGAGAACCGTCATTTGACCATGTCTTTTAAGAAAAACTCATGGTAGTTATCATGTTACACTGTGGATCCTAAATTGCCTATCCCCACACTTGAATTAATATATTTTTCTCTTTCTCTTAACAGCATTGAGCTTGAATAAATTTCCACTTTTACTATACATGAAGCAATTTTGTCCCTGACCTGAAAAAAATATAACTTTAAATAAACAATTTAGATGTGGTAATGATCTACTCCTTGGTAAATTAATAACGGGCAAGGTCAGTGTGCATGACCAAATATTTGGTCTGATTAGGTGTCCTTCCAGAGTGGCAGAATTCGTTCGGTCCACTACTGGTCCATGTCCCTCTTGTCCAAGACACCTAATTAAACTAATTAACAAATGCTATTAATCGTGATTAGTACACTGCATGGGCATCAGAGAAAGCAATGGGTACCGACTTGCGTACCTAAAATGCCTAATCCGTATCGCTGTAAACACAATGTATTATTGGTGCCACGGTGATTAGTAGTAGGAGAGATTTTTGCTTGAAGCAAAAAAAAATCGCACATGGTACGTGTGGTCGTGGGTGCATTGCGAATACATTAATTGATTGGTTCATGATTTCTGTCTATCTCAATCCGATTGTTCGTGCTTATATCGATTTAGAGCAAGGCTAATAATATAGCCGATATGTTAGCTATAAGGTTTTTTTTTTGTCTTCTCTCAGCCTACTTACAATTAATATAGTTAGCTCTTTACAATTAATATAGGACCCACTTGTCTCTCTCACATGGTTTATTGGTTCTTATATCCAGGCCGCCTCTAAGTTTACAGCCCGCTTCTCCTCTCCCTCCTCTCTTCTCTCCTCTACCTCGGCATTTAGCCGACTTATAACCTATTATTATATTTTCTTATAGGTGAATATCACCCACGATTTAGGACTTGATCGGTTGTGCTAGCTGCTGTAGCTGCAACAAGCAAGCCATTCACAACTGCCGCAAAGCTCTTTGGTTTGGATTATTGGGGCTGGTGCAGCAGCGCGCCAGCCCGCACTTTCGATCAGGACCTTAATTACAGTGGTCTCGTTCTCTTGGACGATGTTAACTCTAAAAATAATTATCACAATGTTGTCTCTTTCGTGCGAATAGTGTTATCTTAAGATTATGTTATTCCTCCTCTTTCCCAACTCACATTCATTTTTTTCGCATGCACGTTTTTCAAACTATTAATAAAAGTTTTTTTATAGAAAAGTTTACTGAAAAAAATCATATTAATCCATTGTATTAAAGTTTATTTCAGTTAATACTTAATTAGTTATGAGCTATTACATGGTTTGTTTTGCGTGCTGAAGAGAAGAGGTTCCCGAATACAGCCTAAGGGCCAAGAGATTAAAATTTTGAGAAGCAGCTGGTTAGTAGCTGGCTTCTGAGAGTCTGAAAATGCTGGGTTTTTCGGTTTATGATTTCTAAATCATTTTCTAGATTCTACGACTACATATTATTAGAACTATTTAGAGAAGCTTATAATTCTGACAGAAGCTACAGCCAAACATGTCCTATGTAGTGGTCGATTCAACTTTTCATGACTTATCCACTGATAATTTTGTTTTTCCTTTCTGCTAGCATCCATTTGTGTGTGCTTATCGGTATAGGCGGTACCGTCCATGACTAATTAAAGTGGTTTCGACCTCTTGGATGATCCGGAGACTAAAGATAATTAGCACAAGGTTGCCTCTTTTGATTGCAAATAATGTTATTTTAAGTGGTGGTCTCCCTATTTCGATCTAAATAGCAGCCACAATAATTGCTACTACATCCGTAACGTTTTATATTATAAGACTTTCTATTATTACCCATATACATATATCTGGATACATATATGCCTAGATTTATTAACATATATATAAATATGGATAATGTTAGAAAGTCTTATAATATAAAACGGAGGAAGTAGTTGATTAAGTATTAATGCAACGTGATGGGGGTCGTCATTACATTTGCAGACAAGTAGACAACAATAATGGCGATGCAGGTTTGGATTATCCGTGTATTTAGGTGCCATGCTTAGCTTAATACTACTCCACTTTACAGTCATAGCCACGTCAGCGTGATATGCTTCTCATTTTCTAAGTAAATTATAGTGTGATTTAAGTTACACCAAACCATAGTAATTCGAGAACTTCTACGGTATACTACAGTTTTAAGGCTTTGTTAACTACGGTATACTACAGTTTTAAGGCTTTGTTAACTAATCACTGTAGCACGGTTAAGAGCAAGTTTAATAGTATAGCCAGCTACTGGCTCTAAATTATCTGTAGTTAATTTAATAGTCAATTCATACAATAGTTACCTACAAACATATACCGCATAATTAATCTCTGGTCCCACCTATCATACACATATGTATATTGGAGTCCGTGCTGCAGCTGGCTATAAATCTGTAACCCGCTACTCTTATCTCTCCTCTTTTATCTCTTTAAAATATGTTTATAACTGGCTTATAATTTGCTATTATATCTGCTCTAAATGACATAGACGGTGCATTAAATGAACTTATAATTTCGATACATAAGTTTAGAATTGATATGTGACCATGATATGTATCAATATACGTAACACATTGCGAAGTGAGTGTAACTCGAGAAGGGAGGTCGGACTCCCCCATGACTACTGCCCTCTGCCACCTCCATCCATCGATCCTGAGTTCCTGACAAGCAGGCGTAGCAACCACCCTTCTCGGCCCCTCTTCCCTGCATTTGCTGACGTTGTTCTTGTTTGCACTCTCAAGGTGAGCCTCGTATTTCCCCTTATCTCCTCCACTGTCACAGATTCCGGATAGGCTCGTGTTTCTTGATTCGATGGCGGATGGATTTGGTTGGTGGATTGTGTAGGTAGGGGAGGATATTTCTCGGTTTTGCCATGCCGTACAACAGCAAGATGGGAGCGAGGAAGGACAGCGAGGCATGAGGGTCGTTGTCGGGTTAATGGTGTCGTCGCAACGAGAGAGGCGGGGCTCGTCGTACTCCAATGGGAGCGGCTCGGATGACGGCGACGGTGGGGGTGACTCCGACACCACGTCGACCCTCTCGAGGAAGAGGCCGTCATCGGTGGTGCAGGTGCCACTCAAGAAGCAGCACTAGCCAGAAGAGGGGCGCGGCGACCGCAGCGGTGGTGGTGGGTGGCAGGAGGGCGGCGACGACAATGATCCCTTATTAATTGTTGTCGTCCGTGGGCCCATCACGTTGGCTATTGGCTACTCCGGCCTCTTCACATCGCCCGCAGTGCGCCACCTTGAAGATGGGAAGAGATAGGAAGAGAGGTGTCGATGGCGCTCTTCAGTGCCGTGCTGGTGCCGGTCGCGTTGCGACGTTGATGCGTGTGGCGTGGATGTACTGCTCGCTAGCCTCTTCGCCGAGCTAGCCTCTTCGCCTCCTTCCTCTCCATGCACGCTCGGCCAGCTTCGACTCGCCGATGGAGATATGAGAGAGGTAGAGAGGGGCGAGGTGGACGAAGTGGGACTCACTGATGTGTGGGTCCCACAGTTTTTTTTATCTTTTTGTTTGACGGACATATGTGCCCGTATTTTTTTTTAGTTTCAATTTTGCTCTTTTTTTATCAAGCTGTCACGTAAGCGTCACGACATTACCACGTGAGATGAAAACTTAGTCAAGGAGCCATGAAGGCACCACGCGAGTTAAAAACGGGGACAATACTACCGATAAACCTCGTTTACACTGGTTTTATAAGTTGGGGGGCTGTATCAGATATTTCGGTTCAAAGGATGAAAATGGGATTTGGTGTCAAGTTAAGGGACCTCAAATGAACTTTATCGATGCCAAGGCCGGCCCATCTAGTTATTACCCAGGAAGACCTCCGGCCCACGCAGCCCGTCGCGTGGCGGTAGGTGGGGAGGGGGCAGGTGGGTCCCGCAGTGCCCCCGGCGTCGCGGGGTCGTCGTGTCGCGTGCCGGCTGCGCTCCCCTCCACTCCTCCTCCCCTCCCCACCCCACGGTGCCGTGCCCTCCACACGATCCCCCCCCCCTCCACTCTCTCTCTCTCTCTCTCGCCCGAGTCTCCTCCTCCCGCACGGAAGCAGTAGTCCCGCAGGCGGAGCTCTCTCTCTCTCTCCGGCAAATCGGCGAGGTGAGCTCTCTCTTCTCCCATCGCTGAATGAATCCGCGCCTAAGGCTCTAGGGTTTCGTTTGCTTCGACTATCATCCACCCTGCTCGGATCGCCGCCGGTTTTGCTCTTTTGGTTAGGGGTGTGTGGGTGCAGCGAGTCTAGGCGGATCTGGCGGCGATCGGTGTGTACGGGATCTCAGCCTCCTCGTTGGGGCGGATGGTCGCCGGGCCGCCGCGGCGGCGGTTGACCCGAATTTCGTGTCGAATTTTGCGTGTTAGTGATTGATCTCGGTCTGCTTCCCCTCCCAATTACTTGGAGGTTCTTCAGAGTTGGGGTTGCTGGTCTTCAGAATTGGGTGGGGCATGAGACAATTCGCATGGCATACACCTCTTTCGATTTGTGTTGTGCGTCTGTGTTAGTTGCGCCATCAACGACCGGGAAGGCTTTGGTGAAATGCCGCGCCCCACTTTGTGGGGGAATGAGAGATGATTGCGGTATTGACGCGTGCAGACTGATCTTAGTGCTTTGTTGTCGTTGAGGTTCACGAAACATGAGCGAAGAGGTGAGGTGAAGAATAACCGAGACGTTTATGGTCCTTATCATATAATCTTGTCTAACTAGTGGTAACTACCATGATGCCATGGACCAATAACAGCTACTAGAACTCATAAGACTACGTATCCATCCACAATAGGAATATACGCGTGACCAACTCTTAGTTAGCACACTTTTTTCCTAAATGCACACATCATGTTTCAGTCCTTTATGGTAACATCTTGACCTTCACTGAGCCATTTCTCTGACCAAGTGGCAACCTTGAGTCCTTGACCATACAAGAAGTCGAGTGTCTCTTGGTGCGCCGTTGGCCACCAACATAGATAGACAATGCCATTCATGTAGCAGGGGCAAGGAAACTCTTGTAAGAATCTGATATCATTTGGTTAATGAAATGGGAGAGGAGCTCCTCTCTTTCTCAAAAAAAAAAAAAAAGTAGCAGGGGCAATGGCAGCATCTCCATTTTTTTTCCCAGGATGTACTCATCTAGCTTGACTTTGTAAGTGGTTTTATTCCTTATGATGTCTAATAGGGTTATGCACTGTTTCTCCGCCCTTTTAGAAAATCTAGTTTGCTAAAAGGTATGAATGCTGTTTTTAGTAGAACAAAAATGATTGATCTAGCATGGCACTGAGTAAGTGTGTTATGTTATATTTCTCACTTTGTAAAGCAAACACTCCTGAAAGTACTATACTCTATTGCCCTTGTAATTCATTTAGGGTAATGTAGAATCACAGAACCAGCTAAATTAATGTCCTCCATGTCTCCCCCATTAGTAAAGGTACAATGCGTTGCTTCAACTTACCAGGCTTCTCTTTTGCTCTCACATGCGCATGCATGCTGTTTGTTTGAGGGTGATGTGAGTATGCTTAATTATCATGACGGTATTATTTATTTCCTCATGCTCAAGTGTGTTGCTTCCACGATCCTCATTTCTGCTTTTTTAAACTACATTTACTACCATAAGATTATTTATGTTCATTTGGCATGGTTTCTCCAGGATGGAAATGTTCTTTGGCAGTTTTCTTAATGAATCAGCATCACAAGAGTACTTCTCTGGTCGTCCAAATGTCGAGAGATGCCCATTCCTGAGAAACATCAATGGAGCTACAACATTTTCATTTTCTTCTGCTTTGCCAGTAGCTGTAAGATCTTCTTTACATGACCTCTGGTGATGGCATTATCAATATCAAAAGTGCATTTGATCCTTAATCTGTGCTATTGTGCAGGCCCGAGGAGCCAAGGGTCCAATTTTTGAGGACGGACCAGGCTTTGATTCAGCATTTAAACTTTTCCATGGACGGGATGGAATAGTTCCGCTTTCAGGAAAGTCATATGTACCTGATGAGAACAACAGCGAGAGCGTTGATGCCAAGCCTGAACCTGCTCTGCCGTTTAACCCATTGGCTGCTAGAGCTGCCACAATAAGTCTATCTGCATTTGGGCCATTCGGCTTTAACTTCTTTAATGGCAAGGGCAAAAGGCAGAACAAGAAGCTCAACAATCTAAATCAGTCAAACAAGAAGCCCAGCAATCCGAATCAGAATTCCATGAAAGTTTGTCCTCATTCCTTCCTTTTATTTTCTTTCTTTTCGCATATGGATATGGTGCTATGTTTGTGAAGTCCTATCTAGTTTCTCGCTATCATGTCCTAATAGCAATGCAAACTTTAATGTTTCTCGCTATCAAGTCCGAATAGCAATGCAAACTTTAATGTTTTGTCTATTATTCCAAGTAAGAATGTTCCGTCTAACAGTTTTACCATTTTATTATAAAGAACTGATCCAGATTTTGTTCAGTTGAAGTTAAGTGATCGTGATTTTGGTTCACAAGTAGGCATTTTGGCATTTCCCTGGGTGTTTGGCTATATGTTATTTCTCATGTATGATGTATCCAAGTGCACAGTGTTCTTGATTGGACAGCAGTAGTTGCATAGCTAGGATTTTCATCTATCCAATCAGTTTTTCTCATGTTCTGTTTTGAACCATTTTCAGCAGAAAGGAGGTAATTCATCATCGCACGAGGCAATGAGCAACGAATGGCTGGAAAATGGGCAGTGCCCACTTGCCCGGTCTTACCGAGCAATGAGTGGCATTCTGCCCCTTGTTGCCAAGGCTTTACAACCACCAGCCGGTGTGAAGCTGAAGTGCCCACCTGCTGTGGTCGCTGTGCGTGCAGCCCTTGCACGGACTGAACTTGTGAAGTCTCTCCGTCCCCAGCCTCTGCCTGCAAAGATGGTAGCCATTGCGTTGCTCGGAATGGCAGCAAACATCCCTCTTGGGGTGTGGCGTGAGCACACCAAGAAATTCTCCCCTCAGTGGTTTGCAGCTGTCCATGCCGCTGTTCCATTCATTGGAATGCTGAGGAAATCTGTCAACATGCCCAAGACTGCCATGGCATTCACCATAGCAGCCTCCATTGTTGGTCAGACAATCGGGTCGAGGGCGGAGCGCATTCGTCTGAAGGCACTGGCTGCAAAGAGCGACGCTGATTCCACCACCGTGGCTGACATGTATCCAAACAAGACTGGAAATTGCAGTGACACCGAGGGCAAGGCATGGGATCCGCTCGCGATGAAGATGATGGCGGGACGGGCTTCTGGTGGTGCTGCTGCTCCAACACCAAGCATGTGTTTCTGATTGCTCACTGATTGGAAAATTTGTATCTACCAGTATCCCTGGAGAGTGGAGAGTTGATATTGAGTCTATTTTATCTTGTGATGTAATTGCCTTTGCTTGTCCCTCAGAAGTATTCGTTTGTTTGTGGGGTGAGACAAGTGGAATAAGAGTGCTACTATATACACGATCATTCTGTTGTTAAGTTTGCCAGTTCTGCAGTTCATGTATCTGTAATTTGATGATGCTGGATTTCTACTATTTATCAATCGTCATTATACTGTGTGTAACCTGTTGGATGAACGCTTGTTAGCTGTTCTGGTGAGTGACATGTAGCCCTCTTTGAATCTTTTTATTGAGAGGATAATCACTGTATCTACTTGATTGTACAAATAAATTAAATATTTTAAGAAATAAACTCAACAAATATCTTAAAACAAATGGTTTAAGTAATGCAGTAAAAGTCCTTTTTAAGGAAACATATTTTTTAATTGTAGAGCAAATAATTTGATAAATAAACTAAAATTTTAATAATCTAAGAGTAATAAATAAGCTGAAATTTCAATAATCCGATAAATACGCTGGAAAAACATGGCTTGGACATTGGCTGGGTCCTACCGGCAGTGAGAGAGAGCAGCCTGCCAAGTGGGGCCCAGATGTAAGAGAGGTGTGAAAGCGAGATTAACCGGGAGGAACAGCGGGCTCCCGCCATTTCCATTCGCGCGTAGCGACGCCTTTCCCGCGCAGAAGAATTCCCTTTTCCCGCGAGAATCCTTTTTACCGCCATTTTTCTTGGCGCCAAGCCCGGCTTTCCCGCGGCGCGCTCTTCTCCTTCCTATAAACTCCCCCATTTCCTCTCTCTTCTCCATCCCAATTCCCATCTGCTCCTCCAACTCCAATCCAATCGAGAGGTCGATCTCTGAATCTGATCTGATCACCATGGTGGTGGCACTGGGTCCCGGCCGGTTCTACGGCAGCAGCCTCCCACGGCCGCGCTTCTTCTCCGGCGGCGACCGCGTCGAGCCGCCGGTGGCCGTCACCGACCCGCTCATGGCGTGGGCGCACGAGGCGCACTGGTCCATGGGCGGCCTCAGCTCCAAGCGCCTCCGCCTGCAGGGCCGCATCGAGGGCTCCATCGACAAGCTCCGCCGCCGCGCCCGCCGCGACGCCAGGAAGGCGGCCAAGGCCCGCGCCGCCGGCATCAAGCCCCGCTCGCTCGCCGCCCTCGGCTCCGACGACGACGACTCCTCCTCCGACGAGGAAGAGGAGGTCGAGGCCCAGAAGCAGCAGATCGTCGACGAGCCGTCGGAGTCGGAGGAGGAGCAGGAGGAGGAGAACGAGGAAGAGGAAGAGGAGGAAGCCCTCGCCACCCTCGCCGCCGCGGCCAAGAGGAAGCGGGCGAGGAAGCTCAGCGACGAGTTCGACCGCGTCGCGACCATGCAGGAGGGGGAGGCCAAGAAGCAGAAGCCCGCAGCAACCTCTACACCGGCGAGGACTTCACCGAGGAGGAAGGCCGCCGAGGTGGCTCTCACCCCGGCGCCGGCGAGGGCGTCACCGAGGGGGAAGGCTGCTGCCGAGGGGGCTACTGCTGCACCGGCGAGGGCGTCGCCGAGGAGGAAGGCCGCGGCAAGGAGGACATCGCCGAGGATGAAGCACTGAGAGAGGTGGCCTGCTTAATGTGAAATCCTAGTTCTTGCTCTGTTACATTGGTCGCTCTAGAGAATCGAGATGTGATTGATGGATATGTAATGTGTTATGTGTGTGTGCTAAGTATTTAGTGATGAAACCATTGAAATGTGATGCTAATCTCTGAATTAGTCATGAATTCCTGAATCAACACATTTCCAGATCTGAATTCTGAACATCTTGCATTTCTTGTTTATGAGTGATGACATTTTTTTTTGACTTGCTCTTATCAGCCATCAATTGTTTTGCATGATGAAGAGAAAACGCGATTGTCGTTTCAATCAAATGATATCTTATGATCTGTGTCCGTGATAGAAAATGTCACTGATTCGTCTGTTTCTTAATTAATCCTGAAATGACATGCTCCCCGATCTGATTTCTGAACATTTTGATGCTACTCCCCATCTCTCTAGATGGAAGTAGAATGCAATTCTCAATCCTTTGCTTGCTGGTAGTGGTATGTGTTTGTGTTAAGATAAGAACAGGAAAAGAATGGTACATTTAGGCCAGCACTGTAATTCTGCAGTCCTTTTGGTTTGTGTGTTTATAACTTTGTATCTAGTATTCTTTGTTCTACAGTAGGGGTACTAATACAGGGAGATGGCCTATTATGTGTTGGTATCAGAGACGATTCGTTCTATCTCTTCTAGTAGTCGCTCTTTTTCTTCCACCAGATCCTCATTTTGCTTCTGAAGCTCTTCTATCTGCTTGGTCTGTTCTGAATCTTTCCTGCAAACACATAGGATGATTTAGTAGTGGCAATAGTTGGATCATGCTTATGCGACTAGCGTGCTGAGAAGCATGAGATGTCTGTGAAGCAATGCGCGTACCGGTTCATGAAGGAGAGGTTAAGCTTCAGTGACCGGACCTCTTTCTCTAGAGTTTCGCAGCGCTTAAGCACAACCTGTATGTCAGATGGTATTACTGGTGTTGAGCTTCTTTCCTTTGCTTCTGCCATCCTAATCAATAAAAACATAATCCAATGTCACTCATTGTTCAAGAAATGGCATTGTCGATTACGAAGAAAGTGTTATTGTAGGTCCAAATGCCTTGAGTCTTCAGATGTATAATAGTTGTATGTGTAACATACCAAACTACCCTACAAACTATAAGAACCACATTGTGCATACATACTTGCGTGAGCGCTCAACCCTGCGTTTCTTTGTAGGATCTCCTTTATCTGCAAAAGCCAAATATGTAGGGCTTTCAGGTATTAAAAACATGAAAAAAAAGGCGCTATGTGAGATGGACTACATGATCCTTTAAACTTGTTTCATGTTTCACCAGTGTATAAGCTTTTGTCTCTTCAGTAATTCTTTGCAGTAGTCATCCTATACTGAACTTTTAAGTTTTTAAAAGTAGAGTTCCTTGTTGGGTTTACCTGCTTGTTCAGATGAAATGGATCCCATTCGAGTTAGGCTCCCTTTCTGCAAATGAGTGAAATGAACCGTATAACATCTGCCATGAGAAGGAAAATAAGTGATCAGAAATATCAGTTAGAACATACCTTTCTGTCATCCTTCAAATTTTCTTTTAGTATTCTCTCTCTGAAATCTGTACACCATGAACAAATACACACAATGTTATAACTAGAGTAGAGTTCAAACAATTTATAACAGCAATAGTGTGCTCATTGAAGATTTTATATGGCCTCGGGTTTAAATTTATCCTTAAGGTTCTATTTTTTTTCTTAAATGTATACCTTTGCCTTTTGATCTACAGTCAGCTGTCCCATTGCCATTTGCAGCATTTGTTCTAGTACTCTCACAAACAGTCATTGCTTGCCCAATGGGAGGCAGGTCATCACAAACTTCAAATCCAGCTGAAGGTGCTGGGATAGCAGTAGATGATCCACTCTGCGAAGGCTCTCGAGATGCTGTACCAAGCCAAACCTGGTTTGCAGGAGCAACAAAGTTCCCACTGCCTTGTTCTGTTGGCCTCTCGACTTTCGGAAGCATCACCGAGTCTTGAATTTGGGAAGTTGTCACCAGAGGGAATATATCTGTTCCTCCAAGAATGTTCTGTTGAAAATGTTGACTGTCATAAAAACCAAAAGATATGCCTGATGAGGTGTCTCCATTAGCATGGCTACTAAGCTTCTTGCGCTCCAGTGTATCCTTGAGCATGCTCACAACTGAGGTGATGGTATCTTGTGCTACTATATGTGGATTATCCAAAGGGGATGTTGATGAACTTGAAGGAGATACAAATGTTGGAGTCTGACTGGGTGTATTGCTCATTGGTGCACTGTTCACAGTACTTGCGTTTGTCAGATCTTGTCTCAGTTTGTTAGCTGTTTCAATTGTTTCAGTTGTTATTGGTGGCATGTTACTTTGCATCGCCGCATATCTCTTCCTGCAAATAATGGAAAATTTTGTAGATATTGAGCTAAGAACATGGAATTGAGCTATGGATAGTAGTGCGTAATTGCGCATAGAACTGGAAATTCCTGCCTGAGTTCTGAAGATCTGCTTCTAGTCATTGGTTGAGTACTATGAAACCAGGCCTACATATGAAGAAACCAGGCAATATAAGCAAATTCAGCCATTTACTAATTATAAATTCATCCATGTATTAGTAGATGGGTGATGAAAATGCCTAACCTTTGCCAAAAGTAGGTCACTAGCTTGCATTCCCTTTTCTGCTGCATTCCTGTCATGGGAGACAACCAATTCAGTACAATTTGGAAAAAATCCAGAACACAATATGATGTTGGTGAAAAGCTATAGTACTTGAGTTGTTGCTGGTTATGGTTCATTGTAAACTCTGAATGAACTGCCAAATTCTGCGGAATCAGGTTGTCAGTAGGAAAATGTTCTTGAGCAATTTCATGTTGCTGATTAGGAAAGCCAGCTGCTTCTGATGACAACCTGCATATATTTGACAAATATCCTATTATTCACATAATTATTGATTTTTTTTTTGCATGCAGTGGTCATTAACCATAAATTGACCAACATACAAACTGCTAGATATCTGTACAGATTTCTGATTCCAAGACAAAATTTTCTGAGTTCAACACCATTCACTTGCTAGAAAAAGGAATAGACCCCATGCAAATTAGAGCTTTCTGAATTTACCGTAAGAGTTTCTATTTCATGATTTTTCAACCTTAATTAAGTTAACATGACATGGCTAGTTTAATGAGGGATACAAATCTGGATACCTTTGCCTGAGGTTAATCGACATTCAGTTATTCTAGTCTATGCAAGGCAACCAATCCAATCCTACATACAATTTTATTCATCACTGCATATTTATGGATACTAAATTGAATAGTTAGTTCTGGCACACCATGCCACAATCTTACCTAGATGGTTGTCGAGGGCGATTATTCATGGCACTAAATCCTGGAATCTGTGCACAAGCAATCAAGAATTTCAGGTAACATTAACCATGAAAGTAATCAGTACATCAATGTTCATATCTATGTAAGCTTATGCACTATCTCTAAATATATGTATGTATACAAAAAGTTGTGCACTTCATAAAACAACAGATGAGTTGGGATTTGTTTTTTCTGAAACATGAACTTTCATGTACTGAGACAAAATCTTATGGATTTTCAGAAAACTTGCCTCTCCATTCATAAGCCAGCTATTGAACAACTCCTCGCTGTCTTCTCTGAAACCTTGGGACAGATTTCTGAACCCCATCATCTCCATGCTTGGTGCCGCCGCCGCCACTCCCATCGAGTTCTCCATCATCGCCTTTAGGAACATATCTTCACTTGTGTTCCTGAACAGCTCAGACAGACCCCTGCCCTCCATTTCCATGAACCCTCTCAACTCACCTTCAGCCCCCCTGACAAAATACTTAACCAGATTATTGACTATAAAGTTCCTAAAAACTGTCTTTAGTACTTAACTAAGTAGGGTCACAAGAGGCAATCATATGATTTCAAGAAGATATAGTGAAACAAATAAGATAATATAAAGTAGAATACCACCTAAAGCACTCACTAACCTAAGAAATGGAACTAGCAGAAGAGTTCAAGCACACAAGACATGATACTAATTGAATATTATACTAGTTGGCTTATAATAAACAGAGTGGAGGTATCTTCCCTTCTGTGGAGGCAAAGATTCCACAATTCTTGTTTTGTCTTATGAGTTGAAAAATTGGCCTCTGAAGAATTTGACCACATTTGCAATTTCGCATGGAAATGAGTAAATAAAATGCGCAAAGAAGGTCTATGTTTACCAGGCAGGTATGAACGGAATAACTGTACATTACTTGAAGTTACTAGTCCTTCCACTTAATTAACCTGGATTGAAAAATTCTGCACTATCATCTTTTGTAAATTATGAAAATTGCAGCAGATATGTGAGAGATCTTTCACAGCTGCAATCAGAAAAACTCTTAGAATTTGTTCCAAGATATCTAACATTTCCATAAACTCTTCCAAAGTTCCAATCTGCTTGTGTTAGCGATAAAATAAGCCCATTGATGTAAGGAGGTGACACCATCGATGACATATTTGATGTTACTTCAGGAATTCATTGATCTACATGGCATTTCATTGGCATATTTGAATCATACACGCAAGGCTCAAAAGTGCAGTTTTGGAATGGCCCTGCTTGAAGCTTGACATAAACTTCTCACCAGACCATTTCTTCTGCTTGTCAGGTAAAACTACTCCTGTCTTGATTAATCGAAGATATGCCGACGGCAAAAGCTTTGTTTTGGACATTTCTGCTGACACTGACAATTCTCATATTTTCATATAATTTTCTTATTAACTCATCACCGAGCTGAAAATCCCTAATTATTTTACTGACTAGGCAACACAATTTTGAGAACACATTAGGCACCACAATTTAAAATACTGAATTTTCATCTTCTTCTCTAAGACTCTAAGCAGCACATGATCACACTGATGCTGACCTTAAACTTTCCTACTCTTTTTTCCATCTAGAGAAGAACAAGACTCTGGCGATTGAGGTTCTGAGTTCTGACTAAGACATCAATCAATCAAGATCTCTCTTGACCATCTAGATACATTTATATATCCCTGATAGCTGATTAGTTGGCACATCAGCATCAGCTAACGATCACAAGACGGTTACAGTAAGTGCTCCAGCAAGCTGTAGCTTTGCATCCTGCCCAAAACGGCTCCCATACTATAGCTGTTGTCCATTGCACCATGGATGGATTCTCTGGTGCCGGCTTCACGACGCGCATCGCCGATGACGACCCGCCATTGTTTTCTCTCTTTCTTTTTCAAATGTTGTTCTTGCCATTTTCCTGTTTGAAGTTTTCCAAGCAGGCGATGCAAGAACCGAGCTGTGCCTGCCTGCACAATCGCAAACATATATTTTCTTAAAACATAAACAAAGATCACACAGGGATAGTAAAATATGATGAAACAATATTCAGCATCAACTTGATTCTTTAAAATTTGGGTTTGCTAAAAGTCTTCAGAATTCAGGGCTTATACAAATATACAATATCTGCAGTCGCTTACTGTCTTGGCCTATCACAGAGCCGCTTCCATTTCCATCGAAATTTCGCTTCAAAGATCAGAAAGCGAGTACAATCTAATACGCCTCCGCTGTCACAAGCGTATTACTATCTATTACGCCTTTATGCGGGGAATGCGGAAGATGGGCCTTATATCCGGCCCACGTAGAGGATACCTTTGCTTCGATATGGGCTGGCCCATGAGAAGGCCCAACTAGAGCGGCCTCGGCTTCTCTTCTAAAACCCCACCTCGCCTCGCGTCCTCTTCTCCAACCCTAGCGCGCCGCCACCTCGCGTCGGCATCCTCCTCCGCCTCCGCCGCCGCCGCCTCGCCGCCCAAGGTAGGGTGCCTTCCCGTCCATCTCCTCCCCTCTCGCGCAGCATTTCTGGATCAGTCGAGGCTTCCAGTTCGATCTAGACCTTCGTCCATTCGGATCTCGGTTCGTTGTACTGCGCGCGCGCTCCGTTTCTTGTTTGTTTCTGGATGTAGTGAGATGTTGTGGAGCTAGGACGAGAGATCTCACTGTTCTGTTCTTATGGCAGCAGGCGAAGCGAAGCTCGTGATTTGTAATTTGTAGCAGTAATTTTTGGTTGATTCTCATGCGTTTTAGTGGGATCTAGAACAGGGTGTTAGCCTTTTCTTTCAGTAATCTGGTGTGGATTTTTGCTGCAACTGTTAGTAAGAGCTGTTAGGAAGGAATCGCATGATGCTTATGGTTTGTGTTTGTTTGATTTGGTGTAGGTAAGGTAAGCCATGGTGAAGCACAACAACGTCATCCCGAATGGGCACTTCAAGAAGCACTGGCAGAACTATGTCAAGACATGGTTCAACCAGCCCGCCCGCAAGCAGAGGCGCCGCATCGGTAAAGTGATTGATCTCTTGCGATCTATCTAATGATTATGTGAATGAATGAGCATGTTAGCTTCCTACTTGCTCGTGAGATTGTGCTGTGTAACATATGCGTGAACTGCAATTGTGCTTCTAAATGCCCGTAGTGCTTCTTCCCTGGGTGTTCGTATGATATTGACTGCCGATCACGCATTTCTTGCTCTGTAGTGTTTTATTTGCTGGTAGCTGCTTAGACACTGTTTACTTATGTACATATTTTGCTTTTATGTCTATTTGATCAGCAGCCATCTGCGGTAACATATAAGTTAAATTGCTATGCTGTTTCTTAATTTTATAGTTTCTTCTGGTAATGTGTTGTGTGATTTATTGGTGCTATCATAATTTTAGTTTGCTGCATAGCCAGACTAGATTAAAATTCAGTGGTCTGGATCTTGATAAACCCTCATCTAACAATTTGTGCATGTGTTTGCGACAAATTGTCTACTTTATGCTTTGGTACCAGTCACTTATCGACTTAAACTTTACATGCTTCTGGATTCTATTTGGTTTTGCATGTACAATAAGCTAAAAGATGCTTTGTGTATTTCTTTTAGTTCTGCTCCTTCTATTATTTAAAACCAGCCACAAGATGCTGTGAGTTATGCATTGTTGCTGTCTAAATTGGAAAAAAAAAAGGAATGCTCAAGTGCTATTTGTAGTCCTGCATGAGGCATTAAATTTTATGTTTGAAGATGCTGCTATTTCTTTTTTACCCAGCATCTAATTTTCTTTTGGTGTTGGCTTTTGCAGCTAGGCAAAAGAAAGCTGTGAAGATCTTCCCCCGCCCTACTTCTGGACCACTTCGCCCCATTGTTCAGTGCCAAACACTTAAGTACAACATGAAGTCTAGGGCTGGAAGGGGCTTCACCCTTGAAGAGCTGAAGGTAAATCAGATTGCTTGTTTGAATAGCAACATTGTAGCTTTGACGCCATAATGCCGTTGAAACTTTACCATGTGTTATATTTGGATCGTGATTCTGATCTCAATAAACCTATTGCACACAGGCAGCTGGGATCCCCAAGAAGTTTGCCCCAACCATTGGCATCTCAGTGGATCACCGCCGTAAGAACCGCTCACTTGAAGGTCTGCAGGCCAATGTCCAGAGGCTGAAGACCTACAAGGCCAAGCTTGTCATCTTCCCAAGACGTGCCCGCAAGGTCAAGGTGAGGGAACTTTACCCGCCTTAGCCTTACACTTAAACCCACTGTTCTGAAGATCCCTTACATTAACCAACTCCTTTCGCAGGCTGGTGACTCGACTCCTGAGGAGCTTGCCACAGCCACCCAGGTCCAGGGTGACTACATGCCTATCACCCGTGGCGAGAAGCGCTCGGTTGAGGTCGTGAAGGTCACGGATGACATGAAGGCATTCAAGGCCTACGCCAAGCTGCGCGTGGAGAGGATGAACCAGCGCCACATCGGTGCCCGGCAGAAGAGGGCGGCCGAGGCTGAGAAGGAAGAGAAGAAGTGAAAGGATTGCAACCTGCAACGTTAAGAATAGATGCCCTAAGTTTTATTACCATTATTGTTATCAGCTTCTCCTGATGCGAGACTGGCATTCTGATCTTGCTGCTGTCTGTCTACTCTTCAGTTTGAGCTTGTTTGGGTTTTTGTCTGAAGTGAACCAAACTAAGTGCATACTACTTGTCTTAAGATGAATTCAGTCATTTCGCTACGTCTCATTTACCTGCCAGCCATATGGATGATAGTAGATGCTTGTGTTTTCATTCGCCATTTGGCTGTCAAATTCTGTTCTTTTTACTATACCACTGAATTTGAAACTGAGTCGTCGTGGTCGTGTTGCGACTTGTGACGAAACAGATCGATCTAAAAACGTGCCAAATCGCAAGTAATCACAAACTGGATCAAATCCGAAGAATTTTATATTCTGCAAAAAAATACAAAATGGTTGATAATAGATTTTTTTTATTTTTAATTTTTTAAAAAATATTTACAGTAATATTATACTAGAGAAAATATTTACAGAAATAGACTCTGCAGCCCTCCCCGAGGGCGGCCAGATCACCTTGCCGCCCTTCACTTGGGTGATAGGGTCTATTTTTTAAATATTTTTACGGGTATAATATTTTTGTAAATATTAAAAAAAATTAAAAATGAAAAAAAAATCTTGGTAATAATGTGGCGGCCCACTAAGCTCCAGCTAGAAGCCCAAAGCCCACATTAGTTTGGGCCCATTAATATCTCGGGCGGCCGCTTATCCCCTCCTCCAATCTTATCGTCTCCTCGAAGCTTTCTCCCAAACTGCTCGTCCATGGCGTTCGCCACACTGGTGGGAGTGGGAGGCCTATCGCCTGCCCTCTTCTCCCCCTCCCGCCCCCTCTCCTGCTCCAGCTCCACCTCCGTCTCGGCCCCGTTCATCCTCCGCGCCGGCGGCGGCGGCGACGCCCGGCGGCATGGCCTCCGACGCCTCGTCACCCCACTGAGAGGGAGCGCCTGCAGGGTAAACTGTCGCCTCCTCCTCCTCAGCTTAGCATTTCTAGTTGGTAGCTCGAGCTGACTGATTGGCGCTGCTCGCCGTTCTTTGTTTCCTGTGTATTATTTTGGATAAGTCACACTGTTACGTGTTAATTCACCAGACTTATCAAGCGAGTAGCTCTTCTTTATGGATTCACTGACTCAAGAAAATGCATTTTCATTTCTGTAGATATTTGATTTGTCATGACATTTTCGGTTGGATGTGTGAAATACATTTATTATGCACCATTTCTAGAATAAAAGAATCCTCTCCAGTTCTGTAGACGATTAATTTGATGTGGAAGAATGCATATATCTATGTATTATTTCAACAGGGAGAGAGTACGAACTCACGTGTACTCCAGTGTGCCAATGAGGCTAATGTGGTGACCGAGGATGACATTGTGAACGATGGTATCGATGATGAAACCGCTTCCGATGCTGAAATGGATGAGGATGCTGAAGCAAATGGTGATGAGTCGTCAGGCACTGATGAAGATGCTTCTGTCTCCTGGATAGAGCAGCAGCCTCTTCCTTATCCTTCAGTAAGTACACAAATACCAATTTGTGGTTTTGCACAGAGTAGTAGTGACAACTGTGTGATGGGAAATGTAGGATGCCCTAGAGCCATACATCAGCAAGGAGACGGTGGAACAGCACTGGGGAGTTCATCAGAACATTCACGTCGAGAGGCTCAATGGCATGATTGGTGGCAGTGAGTGGGAGGGGATGTCGCTGGGGCAGATGATGCTATCCTCCTTCAATGAGGGCAGGGAGGCACCCCATCCCCCCTTCTTCCATGCTGCACAGGTATCATTCCGTATGCTGAGCTGTATGTCCTCCATATGACTAATTACTGGACATTCTTTTAGATATGGAACCATGATTTCTATTGGCGATCTATGCAACCTGGTGGCGGGGGAAAACCCCCAGAACGCCTTTTGAAATTTATCAACAGGGACTTTGGATCCTATGATGGCATGATTCGACAATTTATGGATGCTGCATCAACTCAATTTGGTTCTGGATGGGTTTGGCTTTGTTGTAAGTGATGTACAGATGCTTAGCGACATACTTATTAGCTTCATCGTACCAGTTTCAAAATTTGCATATGTTGGTGTGATGAACTGAACTCTTTTTTCTGTAACTCTCTCCAGACAAAACAAGCAAGTTGCCTCATGTGAAATCAAGAAGCCCAATCCCATCTGATAATTATGGTAGACTGGTCATCTCAAAGTCTCCGAATGCCATCAATCCTCTTGTCTGGGGTCACTCTGTGAGTATTAACTTGAAACACTTACCCTACATTGCTATGCCATTCTTCTGTCATGATTCGTATGCAATGGCTAAAGTTGAAATGCAAAGCATACGCCTGGCACTGTATGTCTGCTGGTTTTTTTTTGCCGTATGCATATCCAGCAGGGATCTCATGAGGCTATTTCTTTTTGCAGCCACTCCTTGCAATTGATCTTTGGGAGGTATGAATATTGCAATCAGGTTTCTCTTTCTTTTCCTGGCATTTTTATTAATAAACAATTATACTAACAAAACCTATTACTTTGGGCAACAGCATGCATACTACCTGGATTATGAGGTTAGATGACAAGTGATGCTTACATTTAGTACTTAAAAAAAACATTTTGTTTTACTTATTTTGTTCATGGCTATATCTTTGCAGGATCGGAGATCTGACTATGTCTCCACATTTCTAGAGAAGCTTGTGTCATGGGAAACTGTTGAGTCCAGGCTTAAGAAGGCCGTACAACGGGCAGTAGAAAGAGATGAATATGTTAGCACAAAGCATATAAGGAAGCAACTTTTAGCTCGGGCAAAGAGCCAAATCAGAGCTATGCCTCAGCAGGTCAATGGGGATGCAAGAGAGCAGACCAGCGGTCAAGAGAAGTCCCTAGGGGTGTGACAACGGAGCCAAGTAAGCTACGGCAGGTGGGTCATGTTGCCGAGTTGAACCATGGGGATGATGGACTTGTAACACAGGAAGCTAGAGCAGCTGATCAATCTTCAAGGTAGCAGTATCCGAAGATTGTATGCACATACTGTGGGCAACCCTTTGCTTAATAGCAAATGTTGTCGTACAGGCAGCTTCACAGTTTCTGTCGCTGTCGATGAATAGATCTGTAGTTCGTGACACTGCAGCAAATACAAGTCACAAACCCAGAGTCATGTGCGAGCTAAATTTTGATAGGAGTAATTAGGTTTGAGTATCATAGAGATAGACAAGAATTAGTCACTTGGAGCAAATGAGCCTGACATCTTGTATTCCTGTGCTGTCCATGTTTGAATCCTGAACTTCTGATTGACAAACCAAAGAAAATTGTAGTTCCGAAGAAATACATCACTGGTGTCAGTAATGTTTGTTTCGACAGGCTCTCATGAATTGCCATGGTGGTTGCTTGGTACTTGGTAATGAGGACCTACAGTTTTGTCATAGATTTCCATGAGCTGTGTGTTATTTTCTGGTTGCTCTTGTCCAGGAACTCAATAATAATGTCCTGATGCGTTGCGCTACATTTTTTTAGAAAACAGTCAACTTTCATTACCCAGCTTTGAAACCAAAGCCAAAAGCAGCAGAACAGAGCATTGCTCTGCATTTACAATCTGGTTTCCAAAAGTTTACCTGTTGCACCTGATGCCAGAGATTAACACACTGTTCTCTATTTCTCTACTTATTCTAGCCGTGTTGTTCTACCCTTATATTCTTTATCTCTCTACTTATTTTCCTTTTATGTCATTTGCGCTGATGTACAAAATCCTCGATTTGCAAGTCTTGCGTGTATTCCTGAATAAAAAGAACTTTTGGGAGTAAGGCCGTGTTTAGTTCCTTTCCAATTTTTTTTTAAGTATACGGACACACATTTGAAGTCTTAAACATAGACTAGTAACAAACAAATTACAGATTCCGCATGTAAACCGCGAGATGAATCTATTAAGCTTAATTAATCCGTCATTAGCAAATGTTTACTGTAGCACCATATTGTCAAATTATGGTGTAATTAGGCTCAAAAGATTCGTCTCGCAATTTTCCGTCACATCAAATGGCGCTTAGCAAATGCGGCGGTGCCAGAATTGCCTCTTCCTAGCTTGGTTCCACGGTCACAAAATCTAGTCAGAGATTAGGCCTTTTGCTCCATTCTGTGTCCTGTAACCCGTCCTCTTCTTTTATTTTTTAGTTTTTGGGTCCGTTGTACATAAACTTTATTCCTATTAATAAAAAATGCGCTGCTTGCGTATTAAAAAAAATCTCTACTAATAACCTGGTCATCACATTGACAAAATGACAAGTACAAAAGCGGAATAAAATCGAGTAAACTATTCAAGCAAGCCAGAGAATGAAGAAGGCCTTAGAAAGTTCACTGTTCCTCCCTCAACTATAGCCTCAGTTTGTTTGTCATCCCTATATCACAATGATTTTCGGCCCTTACCGTTCACAAAAACCTCATACGAGATGTCATCCTGTACTGTCCATGTTTGACTTCTGAACTTCTGATTGACAAACCAAAGGAAGAAGTTGCAAGTGAGATCGTACGGTTCTCTTATGGTTGCTCTGGTCCATGAACTCAACAATGTAATTAGTCAAAAAAAAAAAAGAACTCAACAATGTCCATATCCATTGCTCTGCATTTGCAATTGGTTTCCAAAAAAATACTTATTTCATTTAATTGTTTAGGATTCCTACAGGCACTACTATAGTACTACGGAGTAGGAGATAGACAAACCAATCAAATTAATTAGTTTTTTCTCAACAGTTTGCTTTAACCTATTAGTAGTAGGCAACACATAAAGCCTTTTTTATTCCTTCAGTATCAGGGCAGGACTGTATAGCACAATCTTGGAATATCCAAATATCTTTCTCTCTCTCTCCAAGCAAAATCGTTGACGTGATAAAATCTAAAAACATTAAATAAAACAACCACAAAAAAAAATATTTTTTCCTTCTCATCGAAATTATCGCCACACACGAGAGGCTTTTTGTCTGTGCCATCCACGAGTCGCACACTCGTAAGCCACGTCGCCACCGCCGATCAGGAGTCAACACCCCACCAACGGCCCTGATCAGGACACGTGTCCTGAAAGGCTAAAACCAACCTGCAAAATACCCCCTTCCTATATAAACTCATAAAAAACGCTTGGACATGGCGTCCATTGATCTTCCTCCCCCCTCCAACTCCAAGAAATCGACTGACGCCAACGAGAACGAGACGCCATCGCTGCCATGGGTTTGCAGGTAAATTAAACGAATCGTCTTCCTGCTTCTTCTTCTTCTTTTCCCTTCTCGTGATTTTCTTTGTGTTTTCTTGAGCGGATGCGCATAGGTTGAATGGATATTACTCCTCCGCTTGTTGAAATCAATCTACCTGCAGATTTGCTGGTTGTTTATCGTTTAGGATTTTCTTCCCTTTGGCATGCAATATATATCTTGTTTGGAGTACCATACTACCATGTGGTTTAACAGTATGTTAATTTGTAATTAACCAATCTAATCTACCTGCTGTTCGTTCCTCTGTTGGTTAATTTAGTAGTGACAGTGTTCTGGATCAAGTAGCTAGGTAGGTGCAGTAGTGATAAAAGATCAAACCTTTTTGTGCTTTAGACTTTAGAGGAGCCATCAGAAACTGCAATTGATGCCTTTGTTATCCTGTTCTTCTGAACTCCAAATATGCAGAGCAGTTTCCTGAGGTAAACAAATTCAAGTCGATTCTGAACAAATTAGTTGTTGTTCTTGTTGTGCAGGAGGAGTTTGAGGAGTTCGCCGAGAAGGCCAAGACCTTGCCTGACACAATTTCCAACGAGGACAAGCTGCTTCTCTATGGCCTCTACAAGCAGGCAACCGTTGGCCCGGTTACCACTGGTATATATAGGCCTTCTGCTCTTCTTGAAACGATGCATTCATCAATTGAGCTAATTAATTTGCTGCTGTTCAAGTGCTAAGATTCCATATGCTTTCATGATGATCAGGCAAGATTAGCTTTCATATAGTTGCATCTGAATCACTGTTTTGTGTTTTGACTAAAAAGGATTATCGATCTGCTTAAGTTTTGCCACAAATTTAGTGCTTGATGAGTGTAAACTCATCTATCCTTGTAATCTGCTTGTCAATTTGGGGTGTTTAATATTACAATTTCCAGAGGAATTATTCACCTATTACAGTACTAAGTGGTGGTTGTCATTTGAAATTGTAGTAACATATGGTATTCTTATGTTTCTCCCCGATGGGGACTTTGCTTAGCAGCTGTTCTACTTTTTTTTTAAATCATGACCTTTCAAGTTCCAAAGGCAATGCTTTTGGACTTGTTTCGTAATACAGACACCAAAGATCACATTTTATCCTCGAGTTATCGTATCTAACAATTCAGTTTCATCTTTCAGGGCGCCCAGGTATTTTCAACCTGAAAGACAGATACAAATGGGATGCTTGGAAGGCCGTTGAAGGTATATGCCGATCTCTTTAAGTCCTCAAAAACATATATCAGCTAAACTATATAACTTTGTCATATCTGCAAACTCCCATCAATGCTTACAAATCCAAATCATGGTGAATTCAGGGAAATCCAAGGAGGAAGCTATGGCCGATTACATCACCAAGGTGAAGCAGCTGCTGGAGGAGGCTTCTGCATCCACTTCTTAGGCTATTATGAACAACACCATCAATAGTGCTGCATATATGTACCAATAAACATAAATACTATACCATCATCAGGCGCTTTGTGATCATCCCTTCTCTGTACTTGTAATAGTTTCAAGCAGACTCGGTCCTGTTAATTGATCATGACTGTTATTAAGTTTGTCCGTCTTTTCTAAATTTAACTTGTTGCTAAGGCTACGGTTTGGAGTTGTTGGGATTTTCTTATACGCAAGGATTCTATTAAGCATATAATACTATACCCTGTTTAGTTCACGCCCCCTGTTTAGTTGACGCTAAAATTGGAAGTTTGGTTGAAATTGTAACGATGCGATAGAAAAATTAGAAGTTTATATGTGTAGGAAAGTTTTGATGTGATGGAAAAGTTAGAAGTTCGAAGAAAAAGTTTGGAGCTAAACAAGGCCAAGTTGATGGGCTTTTATGTTTCTGTATCCATGATGCAATGAACCTCCACTGCTCTTTCCATTGTCTATACATCTACTACAACGGTACTGGTGTAATTTAATTTTGTGGGAACTGTCATTTCAGTGTAGTTGGTCAGTAAATGCGTACAAAAACATACTAGCAATGATCAATGATATCGATTGCATATGAACAGCAAGCGAAGAAGACAAACAGTAACAACAGTAGACAATGGAAACTGTGAAGGCAAAACAGTACCAACAATTAAATCAAGCAGTAGACAATAAAAGCAAAGAAAGTGAACTGTTGGATAGAGAACAACAGTTATAAACGATAAATAAAACAAAACAAAAAAAATAAGTGCTGCGTTGTATGAACAGCGAACATTGAAACTATCCGGTTGATTGCACTAATAACTGGTCTGCTTTTAAGAAAACATGAATTCTATAGGAAATAGTTCAAAACTCGTAAAATCCGGTAGGACATGCTTTACATTGTCAGACAACCTGTTGCCGCGGCAGCTGCTTACTATACAACTATTTACTCAACAAATATTTATTTTGCATATCTAAATTCCCTATTCTATATTTTTTTTATGTCCATCACTTTGCCAAAAAAAATTTAGACCTATAGTAATTTAGCTTCTTGAGGATACTTTAAACATGGTTAGACAACTCAACACCGAATTAATTGACACACGCCTTCCTCCTATCGAAAGACATTCCCCTTCCAACTGGTCAATTTCTTCTATAACCTTCCTCAATTATATATTTGCCAATCCTTATGAGAGAATTTCTTACTCAATCCATACTTTGTTCATGAGTATAATTAAGTCTGTCTGTCTTCTCTGAATTTAACTTATCGTTTTAAGGCTACGCTTCGGAATTGTGGGAATTTTTCCTAGCTGTTGAATGAACCGAACAATTTGCCTTCAAATTCCTACAATTCTACGAAGTTTGTCTGTCCCTTTTGTGCTTGTTTAAGCCAACAAGGATTCCACAAGCATATACTGTATACTGCAGCCGTCGACCATGGCGTGCCTGCCATACTGGAGTGGAGTGCACCTCCTCTCCTGCAGATTCATGGCATCTTGAGAAAAGAAAAGAGTCAGGGAGAGGATGAGGATGGCAAAAGATGATGGTGTTTCTCTCTATCCATCCATCTCCTCTTTTGCTGGAATAATCAGGATGATGCAATGAACCTCCACTGCCCTTCTCTTGTCTCTACTCAAACACATCTACTATGTACTACTGAAGTATAGTTTTTTTTTCGAACGCGTAAAAGGATTGCACGTCAATATATTAGAAGAATAGAGTTTTTTGAAACACGACGCACTCAAATAGACCGGCCTATGCCAAGGAAGGAAGAAAAACAAAGATAAAAAATAACGAAAGGAAAGGAACTCTGCTCCAAACAACTGGAGGGGGCAGAGCCACTCTACGCTCCCAACAATTCCCCAAAGGAAGCGACGGCCGCTAACGACCACAGCCGGCCCTCTGAAAGGATGGACTCTAGGACTACTGCGACCGAAGAAAGCACATAGTCAAAGACCCTAGAGTTATAGGACTCTAGGACTCTGGGACTACTGAAGTATAGTAAAGTTGCAGTAGTGTATTTAGTTGGACAACTGTCATTTTAGTGTAGTTTGATAGTAACAAGTGTGTGCAAACAAACTGTATGATTGCTTGAAAAGTAAATAATGAAAGCAAAAGGAGGAAAAACCAGTAAACTATGAAAGCAAAGAAAGAAATTGTCTCATTGCATGAACAGTGAACAATAAAAGTAGAGAAAGAAACCGTTTGATTGCACGACTGGTAACGGTTTCTTCTCTCTTTTGTTTCCAGGGTAGTAACTGTTTCAAGGCAGGGATTTTACATCATTTCAGCAAAACAAGTTCAGATTCCGGAAGAAATGTTCCGACATTATCTGTTCTAAGATCTACACAACAGAAACAAAGAAAAAAAAATGTTCAGTCACCTGCAAGTGCATTTCTTTACCAAGTTATCGTTGGAAGAGGGGTTACCCTTGCTAGTCTGGTTACGACGGTTACTATGCAAAACCGAAAAAAAAAATCAGACAAATTTCATCCTAAGTTTAAATTTTTATTTAATTTTTTAGTAACTTATTAAATAAACCTGGTATTTTTCATTACCACGCCATGGCAAACAAGTAACCACCCATATCTTAAACCCAAGTCACAAGCGCTGCCCACTGACACCTCGGCCCCACAGGTAGATAATAATATTATTAGTCAACGAGGCTGTCCTGTGTAGCAGGAGCAATAGGTGCCAGTGCCCAAATGCCACTCTCCCAAGATTTCATTCCCAAATGCCACCCGGGCCCACATGTCAGCCTCACTCTCCATTCAAACAAAAGTGATGCGGGACCCAATGATGAGTGAGGCTGACATGTGGGCCCGAGTGGCATTTGGGAATGAAATTTTGGGAGAGTGGCATTTGGGCACTGGCATTTGGCAAATAGTAAATTCTCCCACACATAACTAACCGCTGACATGTGGGGCCCACACAGCCGGCCGAGACATAAACGACCCACTGACATGTGGGCCCCACGGAGCCGTCCCGTCCCCGCACTTTCCCCTACACACACCAGATCCCCTCTTCTAATCCCAACCTCCAAAACTCATAAAACTACTCTAAACCCTACTCCACTCCCGCTCCGCTGTCACTGACAACCATGGCCCACCACGTCGCTCCCCTCCTCCTCCTCCTCACGCTCGCCGCCGTCGCCGCCGCCGCGTCGGAGGAGGCGGCGGCGGCGGATACGGAGGCGGCTGCGGCCGTGGAGGCCGGCCTGCTGGTGCGGCGCGAGGCGCAGCTCGCGCGGCTCGAGGAGCTCACCGAGTCGCTCGCCAAGTCCGTCCAGGCGCTGGAGTCCGCGCTCGCCAGATCCGTGGAGCCCGATCCGCCGCCGCCGGCAGCCGCCGCGGCGGCGCCCGGCGACCGGAGGGCGCCGCAGGGGGTGGCCGTGACGAAGCGGAGGCCCTACTGGTCCGAGCGGTTCCACTTCGCCGCGGCCGCGCGGCTCGGGGACGGGGCCTACGCCGCCGCGGCGACCGCGCTGCCCTACGAGGACGCGGATGGGCTCACCAAGTACTTCGCCGTCGGCGACTCCCGCGGCCGCGTCTTCGTGTTCTCCGCCGCCGGGGACGCGCTGCTCGAGCTGGAGCCCGGGGTGTCCGGCGAGCCGCCGGTCACCGCCCTGCTCGCGTACCTCTCGCCGCGCCGCACCGATTGCTTCCTCTTCGCCGGCCACGCCGACGGCTCCATCGCCGCCCACCGCCTCATCGAGTCGTCCCCGCACGGCGATGACTGGCTCACCCTCGCCGCCGCGTCGTCCCGCCTCCTCGTCCGCGGCCTCGACGCCGCCCCCGTGCTCCACCTCGAGGCCCACCACGCCGGCCGCGCGCGCTACGTGCTGTCCTGCGACTCCGGCGGCCGCATCCGCGTCTTCACCGAGAACGGCACGCTCTACGGCACCGCCATCGCCTCGTCGACGCCTCTCGCCTTTGTGAAGCAGCGACTCCTCTTCCTCACCGAGGCCGGCGCCGCGTCGCTCGACCTCCGATCAATGTCTGTCCGCGAGACACCATGCGAGGGCCTCGCTGAAGCTCTCAATGGCTCCCTCCCAAAGGCCTACTCCTTCGATCCTTCCGAGCGCTTCAAGGCCTATGGTTTCACTGATGCCGGCGATCTCGTGCACGTCCTGCTGCTCGGTGACATTGCCAGCCTGAAATGCAGGGTCCGGGCAATCAAGAAGGCTGAGATCGACAACCCCGTGGCGATACAGACGATCAAAGGCTACCTCTTGGTAGCCAGCCAAGATAAGATCCTTGTGTACAACACATCAACTCAGTACTATGGGAGGGTTGGGGCTCCCCGCCTGCTATTCGCCACATCAATCAAGGATATCAAGTCTGTGTTTGCGGGTTCTGGTGGCGTGATGCCTGCTTCACCAGCTGGGAAGCCGCTTGTTGCCGCGGACAGGGAGAAGCTCGTGATCTTGGGACTCGGAGATGGTTACATTGCTATATACAGGTCCAACTTCCCGGTGTACAAACCGGAGAGCAATGCTGTGGTGTGGAGTGGTCCAGCGCTGCTCTTCCTCCTGTTCTTGATTGGCATTTGGCAAGTCTATGTAAAGAAGAAGGATTCGTTGGGCTGGACTCCGGAGGAGACATTTAACACCTCAGTCACAGCTCCTACAGGGAGCATTTTGAATCATTCGACCAGTGACCGTGCCTTCGCTGATAGCTCAACAAGAACTGGTGAGCGAGGCTATGTTGATGGCACAACAAGAGCCAGTGATAGAAGCTATGTGGATGCCACCACAAGAGCGACAGACCGAGCCTATGCTGAGGCTACCAGGGGTGTGGACCTACGGGGTGGGGCGTTGAGAGGTGCTCCAAGAAGGTATGTGTCCCCTACTAGATATACAGGGGCCGCAGGAATTCCATATCGACCTGTTTCAACAGAGCCTGTGCTTCGAACCACACCGGAGCTGAAGTATCGAGGCCCAGGTATGGAGCCCCCTGGTTTTCCCAAGAAAAGAGACACATTGTTCTCAAGCAACCAGACAGTAGTAGATGATCATGTTGATTGACTGTTTAATTAGCGGTGTAGACAACACGCTAAATTTTGAAGGGGTTTTGAAAATCCTGCACCAATGTGGGCAGCGATCCACATGTGTGTTGTTGTAAGATGTAACTCAAAAATGTTGTATTTGCATGAGTACATTACAGCCATTGATATGATGCTGCAGATGGTGAAATAACTTTGAAATTTATGGGTTACATTATAGCTATGAAAGAAGGGATTGTTGAGCTGTTTTCGTATGACTTCCATCTTCAACGATGTAGGAAAATTGGACAAGTTTACAATAATTTTTAACAATGATAGGCTGGTAGGATGTACTATGGAATTGCTTTAATTATACAGTGGCGTGTTGAGCATCAGAAAAATTCAGCAAGTTGCATTTGCAATAATTTTAGCCATAGACACTACAATATCAGTGAGATCTTTTTTTTTTTCAGAATTCACTAAAGTTATTAATGACACAGTTTGCAAACTTTAAAGCTCAACACATCACGTGTAACATTTTAACTTGATTTTCTATCACTATCTGATCTCTCTATTACCTTTTTGCTTCCAAGATAAGGAGGATCTGCTGACTGCCATTGCAGATATTTTTTAGTGGTTGCAACTGCTACATCATCTTAAGTTGGTGACAATGACATGGGGCTTAGAATGGTAGCCTGTGTTGTCTAATTTTTGTGTTCTTTTAGCATGACAAGTGATTCCTTCAATCTGATTCCCATCTATAGATGATAACCAATTTAGTTATCTGGGAGATATCATACCAGAATTTATTCTGACAGTTTTACATGAATTAGAATTTAATCTGACAGACATGAACTCTGCTCGGTCTGCAGACTGCAACTACAGGATTCACCGGTTCAGCCATTTTCTGCAGGACAGCAAAAGGCCTTGCATTCCTTTGTTCACTGAAGTACTGTTTAGCAAAAGACCAGCGCTGTCAGCAGCCGGATCAACATCTGTCACAACCGGAATATGACAACCCTAGAGTTTCAGAAGTTGAAAGCGGGTGGAGCATTCAACTCTTTTTAGGTAGGTAGGTTCAGACTTTCAGTAGCAAATCGTTTCGTAGGCGAGCAGGATCAGCTGCCTGGGCCTTGCATCCTGGAAGTAACTTCATGCTTCTAATTGTAGAGCAATGCTCCTGTCGTTATGCTAAAACAAGTTCAGATTCGTTTTGGTTAACATTAACTTCCACTTCCTCCCTTGTAGTGGGTATTATTCCGTTCTATTTCAGTGGGCAGTAATTCATTGCTAGGCCCTTGCATTATCAAACAAGATTTCACCAAAAAAATGTAGACCTGATATATCATCGAAAATAAACCGGATAGCAGCAGAACTGAAACTCTGGGATGACAACATAATTTGAGCACAAATGACCCACTATCATTGCCTCTAAAATGCAGAAACCGGAGGCAGTGAAACAGCACAAATTTGAACTTGAGCAACAACTTACTGAAACAAAAAGATATGAATATAGGAAAACAATGTAATTCTTTACTGCCCAGTGGAAATTTTTCACCGAGGAACAGAATTCATCAAATGTGAGTATAATGTAAGCTCCAATGTTTGCTCACAGGTGAAGTGAAAAATGCAAAACGTATCCTGACTGTTGCATCTTATTACAATCTCAAGGCCTAGAAAACAAACTTCATATTCATGGTAAAATCACGACACTGAACCAGTTTCTCTCGTCTAAGTGGACTTAACGATGAAGTTTTGGCGGCTGATGGGGTTCATGATGACTGGTGGTCCAGCGGTGCGAGGCCAGGCCTGGAACTTGGTGTCAGTGGCTTGCCACCACTCCTTGTCAGAGACAGTCTTTGGAATGGAACCTGCGTCCAATGAATGAAGCAGATTAAGGTCCAATCTTCCGGGAGGTTAAGCACATGCCTGTAAGACTAAACTCACCTCCAAATGCCTTCTTGTCAGAAACAAATGTGTCACACAGGTAAGCAATGGCGAAGGATCCAACCAAGGACCCAGCAATGTATCCGGCCGTCATTTTTGCTGCACAATCATGAAATGGCATACAGATTATCAAGTCTGATAGAAAATGAATGTTACAGATTATTCATATGAAGAGAAGCATGAGTGAACATCACAGTCTAGAAAAACAAGTCCCCTGCTAACTGTAGTTGTTCTCAAACTATAAATAAGCAGCTTTCTTGTTCATTGGTATAAACACAACAGACAGACAAAAGGAAATAAGCTCCAGCGTACATATAGTCAAGCGCAATTGTGTAGAAATGCAGATAGTCAAATATGATTCCAAGATATACAACTTAATCTCCAGCTAGTTTAACAAGTTAGATTAGTGCAAGATCAAATGGCGGTCCTCTTGAAACAAGTGATATGATAAATAATACTGGACTTATTGTGGAAGAGTAAATGTGCAGTACGACTCAAACCACAGCCTACATATACCTTAACAGAATCAGTTATAGATAATAGAGTAGACACATCATTTATTCTACTGATAATACTCCACTATCTCACAGCCAAAATGCAGGAGCAAACTAGACCCAAGGGGGCTTATTGCTAACTGTCGAAGTTGTCAAAACTATAAATCAGCTGCTTTCTTGTTCTTTGGTACGATGGAATAAGTTCCAGTCTTCCAGCACATACATAGTCATCCACAGTTAGAAAATATAACTATCACGCCTCAAGCGCAAATGTGTAGAACTGTAGATAAGGAATATGCGATTCCAAAATATACAACTGAATCTCCAGCTAGTTCAACAGATTAGATTCGTGCAAGATCAAACAGTTGTCCTCAAACAAGCAATATGTGATTCACTGGACTTATTGTGGTAGAATAAATGTAATTAAAACCACAACCATCATATATACTTTAATAAAAATCAGCTGAAGATATAGACACCTTGTTTATTTATTCTCCTGACAAATGCCCTACTCTCTCACAGTCTCACATAGCAACATCTAGACCCAAGGGGATTATTGGTTGAAGCAACGGGTTAAAATGAAAGGGTTGGCTTGGGTGGGAGTGGATGGTTCATCCAATCGAAACCAGTGGTAGTATCGATGGGGCCATTCTTCAACTATAATGGTGTCAAAGTATATGTTCACAACAGCAATTTTCTATTCGTAATGTGTATTAATAGTGGGATTAGCAAAAAGTCATTTGCCTCCGCCCCTGCTCCAATTAATCATAGTATTTGGTTAAGAGGATCACAGAGTAGACTCCGCGATCGATCGATCGATCATCCCTGAGGAATCGGTAGCTTGTAATCGATCAAACACGACCACTTCAAATCTCGACGATTCATGCACAAATTCATCAGAGAAGATGAAACTGGGACCCCCAAAACGCAGGCGAGCTCGCTGCGCAAACACGGCAGGACCCACGAACGAACGAGTTAGGAAGCCCAGCTTATACGTAGAGAAGTCCGACGGAGAGGCGCAGCACCATGGAGGAGATGAACGGAGAGAGCAGATCCGCGAGAGATCTGGGAGCCCTAGGTCTAGGGGGGCGGGGGTCGGCGAGCACGTACCTTGGTTCGGATCGGATTCCGCCGCCGCCGCCGCCGGAGAGAGAAGAGAAGAGAGGAGAGGAGACGCGTTCCTGGAAAGGAGGAGACGGTGGCTTCTTGGCTTCTCTCTCGTGCGGGTTAATGATCGATTCCTATATGGGCCTCGTGGGCTTTTTTTGAAGGCCCATAGCATGTTTATGCAAAATGGCCCCTGGATTAAAAAAATTGCAAATATCCAAAAGGAGGAAGGGGCAGAAGTCAGAACTCACAAGCAAAATTCTGTGTATAATAAACCTGCAGCTAGCTGCAGACTGTTGATTAATTGAACCAAACTGAACATATATATATGTTCACAGCAAATTAAGCAGAATGATATATATATATATAATATGAGATGATAAATAATACGGTGACACTGCCAATGTTGCAAGATCGATCGATCGATATTACGTACATTACATATGGCTGGCACATAAAACAAACTTGCTATACATTCGATCAGCGTAGGACTGAAACGGCAACATCAACGAACTACGTACCGATCCATCGATCGATCAACATTGCATAGTACTCTCTCGTCCGTTTCTAAATATTTGACGCCTTTGATTTTTTTAAATATGTTTAACTGATCGTCTTATTTAAAAAAATTAAATAATTATTAATTATTTTTTATACATTTGATTTATTGTTAAATATAATTTTATGTATATATATATTATTTTATAAAAGTTTTTAAATAAGACAAACGGTTAAATATGTTTAAAAAAATCGAACGCGTCGAATATTTAGAACCAGAGGAACTATAAATTATTCATGGTGCAGTGCATGTAGATGTAGCTAACCTATATATATATTCCCTCCGTTCCAAAATATTTGACGCCGTTGACTTTTTTTAAACATATTTGACCATTCGTCTTATTAAAAAAAATTAAGTAATTATTAATTTTTTTCTATTATTTGATTTATTGTTAAATATACTTTAATGTATACATATAGTTTTACATATTTCACAAATTTTTTTAAATAAGACGAACGGTCAAACATGTTTAAAATGGTTAACGGCGTTAAATATTTAGGGGATGAGGGAGTATATAGCTAGCCTATTCTAGATGATACTGATTAATAAGCGCGACAAAGCCGGCGAGGTAGAAGACGATGAGCGGTATGTCGAGAACGACGTAGTGGGCGACCAGCATGTGCTTGTAGCCGGACGCGGCGCAGACCCCGCCGGCGGCGGCGACCACGACGGGGACCAGCTCGGAGAGGACGGCGGCGGTGTACGCGCCGGCGAAGTGCGCCACCAGGGCAAAGAACCCCGACAGGAACCGCGCCCCGTTCGCAGCCGCCCGCGCCGCCGTCGCCGCCACCGCCTGCGCCGTCGCCGACAGCAGCACCAGCGCCGCCCCGGCGCGCATGAACGTGGCGCCGCCGCTGCCGCCGCCGTAGGCGGCGCAGGGCCCCTGCGACGACGACGCGTCGGCGGTGGTGATGGCGAGGACGAAGAGGGCGAACGCCACCGCCGCCCAGCCCATCACCGCGTGCGCCCACGCCATGCCGCTCACCGACATCGTCATCCTCAACACTAGCGAAGCTGGGCAGCTAGCTAGCTAGTGAGTATATAGTGGTTAGTGAAGTGGAGATCGCGATGCAGCATGCATGAGAACAAATTAAGTGCAAGGGCTACATATATAGTGCAAAGGGCTAAAGCACAAGTCAATTCACTTGTTGGTGGCATAGGAAATATGATGTGAACGAAACATTACAGGGGCGTAGCTAGCTAGGTGGCACCTATTTAATTATAGTATATGTTCTAGTTAATATAATAAAAATTGTATAGTGGACCACCTATTTAATTGACATATTACATACAAATGGACCACCTTTACTCAAAATTATAGCTACACCACTAAAACAGATTCTAGCTACACCACTAAAATATAAGGGTATTCCAAAATCAAGAAAAGACCATGTCGCAACTTCTCACCAAAATACATGACAAAATCAAGCTATGAAGCATGTGGGGGGCAAAAAAAAAAAAACATTGCCAAAATACATGACAAAATCAAGCTATAGAGCATGTGTGGGGCAAAAAACATTGCGAGAATATCCGCTTAGATTTTAATTTAGTGTGTGTTTCTTTTTATGTTTTCTTCCTGTTTCTTTTATTTTCCTCTCTCTTTCACGTCCCTTGATAGTATTTAGTCCCTTGGTAATATTGTAAATACTTTCTATTCTCTTAATATAACTTCAGTTTAGCGTGGCTACGATTTCAAAAAAACATATATATAATGCTGAGGTGAGCTTGCATTGGCATGCATGCTCGATGATCAGAAAGATGAGATATGGATCAGCAGCAACTAATAACTTACCACAGCTGATCATAATCTCTGCAAAGTTAATTAAACACATGATCGATCGATTCATCGGTCTTCGAGATTGGTATAGTAGGAAAGATTACTTGATGAGGCTGGCCGGCTGGCTTTTGAGATGAGCAGAGCTAGCACACATGTGAAGTCGATCGTACTTTTTTCCCCATTTGCATTGCATTGCCTGCTACGAATCCTAATCCCGTTTCTCTTAATTACGTACGCGTCCAATCTCTCTTATTAATTTGGCTCTGCTCGATCGATCTGCTCTTCGTCTTTTGCTTAATTTGTTAATTTGCTCTTGAGGCCATCGCACACATCATGAGTGACTACTTGCTTCTATCTTTGTATACATCTTTCTTCTTTGTCTATCTAGGAGGAGTAGGATTTCCTCATCACCTCCCACACCATTAATTGATTGCCAAGAACGTATGGCTACTTTCTTCGCCGGTAAGCTTAATGTCCTTGTCATAATCATGCATATTTCGGCTTGTTTGCACCTAATTTCCTCTTCTCCATTGATTACTACTCTTACTTAGGCCTCGTTTAGTTCGCGAAAATTTTTTTTGAGTGTCACATCGGATGTTTGATCGGATATCGGAAGAGGTTTTCTGACACGAATGAAAAAACTAATTTCAAAATTCACCTGGAAACCGTGAGACGAATCTTTTGAGTCTAATTAATCCGCCATTAGCACATGTGGGTTACCGTAGTACTTTATGGCTAATTATGGACTAATTAGGCTCAAAAGATTCGTCTCGCGATTTCCCCTCTAACTGTGCAATTAATTTTTATTTTTATCTATATTTAATGCTCCATTCATATGTCCAAAGATTCGACGTGACGTTTTTTTAAAAAAAATTGAGTAACTAAACCGGACCTTTTTTTTTAGATAATGGAAATGTGTTACATCTCCGGCCTCTGCCCGTAGGCACACAGCCAAAAAATTCAGACGTGAACAGAAAAGTTAAAAAAGACAAGATGGGACAAACCCCCAACTTCTGCCGATGATATGATCTACTAAAATAATATTTTTTTTCAAAATCACGTAGATTCTATCACAAAATTCTGTAGGTACTACGCCATCCAAAATGGAATAAAAGTTCCTTGGCTACTAATTCCAAGCGTGTAGCACCATTGCGCATAGTATCCTGTTGTTCCTGTGAAATCATCATACACCAAGAGTGGAGCCAATTGGAACACATGAAGATAACCTGCATGATGTTAGATATTTTTTTATGGTTAAAAACTATATCATTACGGCAACGCCAAATTGACCAACATAAAGCACTAGCTCCAAACAAACCGGACCTTAATTAGTCTATTTCCATCGTCACAATATATGCATGTACAGGATATATCATGTACTCCCTCCATCTAAAAAAAAGTTAACCAAAGAGGGGTCATACCTCCTCTAGGTTGCCTTTTTCTGGGACGGAAGGAGCATGTAACTTGGGCTCCATGTGATTCAATTCCTCGGGCTTGGTTCTTGTTTGATTTCGATCGATTAATTAATTTAGTTTCTTGGTTATTGCCTCTGCTCTGCTCCGTTGCAACACAGCTTGTGGTGTTACTACAGTACATTCTGATAGCTCCATCCATCGACTTGAAATTTCCAGAGGAAACTCGCTTGCTAGGTATCACCAACAAGCACAACGATGTGATTGGATCCTATACAGATAAATAATTTAGAGTAAATCACGTGGCCAATATCTAGATTTGTTCGTGTGTGTCATTTAGATCCTGAACTCTTAAAATTTATTTTTAGTTTTTTAAACTTATTAAAGTGTGTCATTCTGGTTTCAAATAGGCACAACTCCTCCAAGATCAATTGGCGTGGCATGTCACACGGATATTTTAGTCGTAAAATTTATTTTTCCTTCTCCTTTCTTTTCCTCTTCTTTTCTTTTTTGCCATACTTACATGAAGGAATAAGAAAAGAGAGAGGAGATGAAAAAGAAAAATAAAAAGAGTCAATATTTACGTGGCATGCCACATAAGTGTCACGTAGAATCTTAGAAGGATCATGGCAACCTCGGACCGGAATGACACATTTTATCATGTTCGTAGATCTGAAAATGTATTTTAAGAGTTCGGAAATCGAAATAATATATACGGATGAGTTTACGAACCAACGAACCAAACACTTTGCGCAATAATTTAAGAAAAACCATTTAGATTTTACCAATGGAGTGGTTACATGCATGGCTGATGGGAAAGAAGGGAGCAACAGATGAACAGTACGTAGAAGTTGGGAGTGTACCGGGCAGGACGTCCAATCTTTTTATTTCAACTACCCACACAAGATGGTGCGGAATTTCATATTGATATAACAGAAAAAAAAATCACAACACTACAATCCTATAACTAGGAAGAAGAAGAAAAAAAGATCACCCCACCACAAGCTAGAGGCTCCAACACATACCTTGAGAAGCACTAGCACCGAATTGGCTGCCGATGTGCGCGACTGATCGCCGCTACCCCTACACGGGGAAACCAATTTTTCGGTTCAAAACATTTTCAATATCTGGTAAACATTTTAATGTACTCGTCACTGTAAAAAAACACTTAGAATTTAGGCTTATTTAGATTATCTCAATTACATATGATTATTGTAGAAAAAAACACAATGAACGTTATTACTTATTGGAACCAAGATCATGCGAATGGGCACTGGAAAATGAAACATATATAAAACCTTGTGGTCGTTGTCTGATGGAGTATTTTTCTTGTACTTTTTTGAGGAAGCCGATGCTTCAACAACGCTGAGCCCAAGAAAGTGTAAAGTGTAGAACAAATGTATGGACTGCATTTCGGAATTCACCAGTAGAATCAAGAATGGATTAATTTTGCAGGATGATATTGACCGCAATCAATCTCAGGAGCATTTTCTGGCCTAAATAAACCATATCAAGTTCGTTCCATATTTGGAGCTAGTGTTTATAATTAGCTAGCATATCATTATGGTTTCTTGATCAGAACTCCACTTAGAGCAACTTCAACAGACTCTTTATTTAGCTCTCCAAGGTAAAATTTAGTTAACACAGAGAAAAAACGAGCTCCAATAGCCTCTCTATCCGGATGGCTTCCGGATGGCCAAATTGCTCCTCCGGCTAGCTAAATGTAGCCAACCTCCTCCACTGGCTAAAGGTGGGTCCCACCACCACTCCCATCCCCATCCAACATCTCTCCCTGCCGGCGACGAACTGAGGGCATATGCCGGCCATGAGCGCCCCCCGCCAATGTCGTCGTCTAGGCCACCGTCCGCCGTGGCAGTCGTCGTCGTCGCCGTCGCGCCTCACGCACGAGCCGTCGCAGCCATCGCCGCTGCTGCGCAGGGAGCCACCGCCGCCTCCGCCTCGCGCGCTGGAGCCGTCGCCACTGCCGCTGGATCGATGGGTCGATGCTGCCACGCGGGAGAAAAGAAATGGGAAGAGAAAGAGAAAGAGAAAGAGGAGGAAGAGGAAGGGAATGGAGATGGGAGGATGACATGTGGGTTTCTTTGTGATTTTGGAGATGTAAATAGAGAGACTGTTGGAGCATACATCTAGTTTGACTACCCAAATCAGTTGGAGAGTTGGCTAAATAGATATTTGAAGAGTCTAATTTAAAGATGCTGTTGGAGATGCTCTTAATTCAGAAGGAAAAAACAGGTGAACTACCAGAAAAGCTTTGCCAGCAAAGTCATGACGTATACAACTATAAGCCATCTTCAGCGTACTCTAACAGAACTCCATTTATGCCAATTGAAGAAATCGTTGCAAGTTAACCGCAGTTTGAGCTAACTATTATGTTATAATCTTTTGAGTTGCGGTTGATAAGCTGTGGAAAATAAACGAAGCAACCAAAAGTAATATAACAGATAAATAGCAATTGAAAATTTATATCCATGTTATTAGTGATTGAAAAGCTAGTCGATCGCTAGAAAATAAACTGACAAAAAAAACTCAACATAAAATAAAGTTTTAAAATCTAAAATTTGGTCGCGATTGATCAGCTAACGAGAGCAGAAGATGGAAAATTTGTTGTCCGAAGAAAAAAGAACAAACACAGACGGAAATTAGGCCTGTTTAGATCCCACCCAAAAACTTTAAACCTTGTCACATTAAATATAGAGTATCAAATATAGACAAAATAAACTAATTACATAGATTACGTGTAAATTGTGAGATGAATTTTTTAAACCTAATTAGTCCATAATTTGACAATGTTGTGCTACAGTAAACATTTGCTAAAGTTTGGGGTGTAAAGTTTTGGCGTGTCACATCGAGTATGCCAGCACATATTTGAAGTATTAAACGTAGACTAATAACAAAACAAATTATAGATTCCACCTCTAAACTGTGAGACGAATTTATTAAGTCTAATTAATTCGTCATTAGCAAATATTTACAATAGTACCGCATTCCGCGATAACAACGCGAAACCGAGCGGTCTGGCGGAATGAAACAGCGGTCTCGCTCAAGCAATAGCAATACTAGTGTCATGCCGATTTAATTAGCAATTAATTATCTTGATTAGTGATTAATTAATTCCTAATCCAGATACTTAATCACTAATTATTATTATTTAATTGTTAATTAAGTAATTAATTACTAATCAAACGGAGCCCATTGGACAGTGTCGTTGATTGCTTGGGCGAGGTCGCTCTTCCATCCATTATGCGAGACTGCGTGGTCTCGCGCTTTCACCGCACTCGATACCGCTCGCGATGTCATTTTCGCGTAACGGTTTTGCGAGACCGACAATATGTTTTTTGCAAAAAATTTTACGTCTCGAATATTCCCGAGAAAAAATTGAATGAAATGTATATTTTCAAATTTAATTATGCTTTGGTATGTCGAGGACGACGTAGTGAGCGATCGACGAGCATGGACGCGGCGAAGACGACCCCGCCGGCGGCCGGCGGCGACCACGGCGGGGACCAGCTCGGAGAGGCCGGCGACGGTGTACACTCCGGCGCAGTGCGCCACCGCCGACAGCACCAGCAGCGCCGCCGAGGCGCGCATGTACGTCAGGAGCATTTTCTAGCGCCTAACTGTCACTGCACATTGAAGAAAAAAATGGCATGAAAAAGTTTGTTCGATACTTGGAACTAGTGTTAATTACAGTACCATTTTAATATGGCTCGTAGATAATTCAGAACGAAAAAGTAGGTAATTTAATTATCAGTAAAGCTTTGCCAGCAGAGTCACCAAGTATACAACTTTCTTTCAGCCATCTTCAGTGTGTACTTTCTCACAAGACTCCGCTTTATACCAGTTGAAGAAATCGTTGAAAGATAACGGCAGCTTGAGCTGACGATTCTATTCTAATCGTTTGATCTATGGCCTATGGCTGAAAAGCCGTAGAAAATTAAAGAAAAAACATCCAAAAATAAATATACAAGTAAAAATTTCATATGTTATTAGCAATCGAAAAGTAAATACTAGTAGAAAATAAACTCGGAAGGAAAACAAACCCCTCAAAGTCAACATAAAATCAAGTTTGAAATAATTTCAAATTTTGGTCGTGGCTGATAAGACCAACGAGCAAAACGACGAAAAAAATTGTTATCTGGAACGAAAAAAAAAACACGGTAGAGATTAATACTGTACTAAATTTTCAACGGTTGGGTCACCTTCAATTACCAACCGAAGCAAGCAACTGGTAAAGCAAATCAAAGCAAAAGATGCTAGTAGTAGATACCCACCAACGAAAGAAGCCGACGCTCCTCCCTCCTTCCTACACCGCGTCCACCGCACACCGCCCGAGGGCCCAACACCCGGTCCACGGTGGACCGCGTCCACAGATCGATCCCTCGCCTCGAGCAAGCAAAAAAAAAATCCGTACTACTCTACGTGGCGTGGCAGTCGTCCTCCTCCCTCCCACGTGAGCCTCACCGACAGGTGGGCCCGGGGAGACCGTGGTCCCCACCTGCAGTGGCGCGCGTGGTCCCATCTCCCAAAGCGAGATGAGTTTGCTGCTGCAGAATAAAAGGCACCCAGAAAAAAATAAAAAGGCAGAAAAATTCGGCGGAATTCGCTGTTGGAGTGAGTATTCATCGAGGCAAAGCTCGAATTTTTGGTACTATCCGATTGGTGGCGAAGCAGCGGCGGAGCGAGAGAAAATCGCTGTAGGAATCGGGGGAGAAGGAGGAGTAGATAGAGGGAGGTGGATTGAGCTGTGGGAGGTTAGGTTGGTGATTGGTAGAGGAGGAGGAGGAGGAGATGGAGAGGAAGGTGGTGGTGGTGTGCGCGGTGGTCGGCTTCCTCGGCGTCCTCTCGGCGGCGCTCGGCTTCGCGGCGGAGGGCACACGCGTCAAGGTGCGCAGCTACGTCTCTCGCCGCCGCCGCCGAGGTTCCCGGCGGCGGTTTCTTGAACTGCCTTGTTACTACTACTACTTTCTGGATGAACTCGCTCGCGTTACTTTTATAGATCTCGGTGTGTCTGCTAAGTTGAGCTTTTGTTTGGATCTCGCTGTTTCCCATCGGGGATTTCTGACCTGGTGGGAGTAGATGCGTGTAGCTTATCCGTGGTTGTTCGCTAGGAAAATGCGCTGTGGCAGAAGTGAATCTTTGAGCCTTTTTATGCTTTTGGTTGATTTTCGCTAGAGCTAGTGCTGCGATCATGTTAGGTGTAGAGTGGATGTTTAGTTCAATCTGATTCGACTAGTGCGTGTAAAATTATATGGTTGAATCAGAATCTGTCCAAGTTATTTCCTTTTCTGGCAATGTTCATCTTGTTTGTCAGGATATAGCACTATTAGTCTACTATATATGGTGAAGCTTTACTTATTAGAAATCTTTAAACTCGTTATTCTACTGTTCTTTTACTCTTGACAATGCGGCTAGAACAGCTTAATCATTGTGAAACTCATTACAAACCCTAGTGCCTGTAAGCACATTGCAGATATTTTCCTCTTTGAGGCTTGAGGATAGACTAATTTTGCACTGAAATGCATGTAAAATCATGCCGCGATGTAGGAATATAAGGTGGTACATGTTTATAGCTTTACATAATGCAAATGCAAACCTCAAAAGTGTCAAGGATCTTATGCTACGCAGAAAGTTCTTCTGACTGCAAGTGAAACTTTACTATAGAATAACTTAAAAAACAAACAGACTGGACATATTAACTGTGGGGCTGTTTGGCAGCGCTTGCTGCAGCTGCGCTGCACGGACGGTTAGAAGAAATATGAGTTCGGTTCCTTTAGTAGCTGGCTGTGGTGCAGCCGCAGCCAGGGCTTCTGAACAGGCCCTGTAGTATTAACTGTTTCACTATGTATGATCTTAGATTTTACATATAGATTCTTGCAATAACAGTCATACCATCGCTAAAGCAATATATAATTATCATGTCCCTTACTCTTTTTAGAGTGCTAGATTGTAATAATTGGCTGTAGCTCTTCTGAGCAAAGGCCGGGATGTTCTATTCCATTATCTAAAAAAAATAATTATCATGTCCCAGTTATAATGCACATTGCTTAACTCATGCAGGTTTCAGATGTGCAAACTTCTTCTCCAGGTCAATGCATATACCCAAGAAGCCCAGCCTTAGCCCTAGGGTTAATATCTGCGGTTGCTCTTATGGTCGCCCAGTCTATTATAAATACAGTGGCTGGTTGCATCTGTTGTAAGAGGCATCCAGTTCCCTCAGACACTAACTGGAGCGTAGCTCTGATCTCATTCATCGTGTCTTGGTAAAACTCTACCCTTGATGTTTATTGTGTTATTTTACCTTTTTCCTCTATCTTGACGGGTTTCAACTTATCTTACCGATCTAAGAGAATTCTGAATATTATTATGTTATGTTGAACCTAACTTAGCCTTGACAGTTTGTTAAACAGTTTTTATGGAAACAAGGGATCTTGGTTGCCAAATGCGTTGGAGTTCTTGACTCTGTCATTTTGGCACTACAAAGGTTCCTTGCAGTTGATGCCTTATTTCAGTAGTCTTTATTAAAACATGTGTGTTTTTCTGTGAGATAGCGTACTAGCATTAGGCTGCTGTTTGTTTTATTCTTTGCAAGGAATTCATATGAGTGGTTCACATGATGGCTAAATAGAATAACTTTTGCATAGATTTCAAGTGCAATTAGTAATGTGAAGTGCAATTCTACCTTTTTCTTGGAACATCTTTGGGGGGTTAGCTGTGCTTTATTCTAAGGTAGGGTTCAGATCAGAATGTTGTGGCTTATTTTGCGGAAGTCCTGATTCCTGAATGCTATATTTTAGCAAAATACTCTGCTATTTGTTATTTGCCATAACGTCGTCCTGGATATTGTTACATTCTGCAGGGCCACTTTCATAATCGCGTTCCTTCTCCTACTGACCGGAGCTGCACTTAACGATCAACGGGGTGAGGAGAACATGTACTTTGGCAGCTTCTGCTACGTTGTCAAGCCAGGGGTCTTTTCTGGAGGGGCAGTGCTCTCACTTGCCAGCGTGGCACTGGCAATAGTTTACTACGTTGCCCTATCATCGGCGAAAAGTCCACCAAATTGGGGTCCCCAGCAGAACCAAGGCATCGCCATGGGCCAACCTGTGATCCCTCCACAGAGCAGCGAACCGGTGTTTGTCCACGAGGACACCTACAATCGGCAGCAATTCCCATAAATCATGATCTGTGCAAGCTGTTTCGAGGGCCATTCTGATACATTATGTTTGGTTTGTATAGGCCTCCAGGTTAGAACAGTAGCAGTAACAATTGTTGTTAGGTAGAGTCATGTTTTTTGCTTTCTTCTTCCCCCTCTTTCTTGAGCGCTACTGTCGCACGTTCTGCTTCATCACAGCGGATATTCGATTTTACATGAACCGGGCAATGTTGAAGAAAGCTTGAGTTTCTTGCTATTTGCAAATTCTGAAGGTTTTACATGATAATTGGATCATGGATGTGGAATTACAATCTGTCTTACACCTGTGGGAACTTGATGAGCAGTCATTCAGCACACAGTGGATGCTAGCTGCTCCCTGAACCGAGCAATGGTGTCGTGGACGATGGCGTTGGGGCGCACCGTGGCATCGACCACGGTGATCCCCTCCGCCTCATCGATCTGCAGCAGGTCGAGCTGGCTCTGGAGCAAGCTCGCCGGCATGAAGTGCTCCCCTTCCATTGATCTCCTCCTGATCCTGTCAGCAATCACCTCTGCTGATGCCTCCAGGCACACAAACTTCACCCTGCAGCTGGAGTAGCTCCCTGAACCTGACCTGAAGCTGCAGTCTCCTTCCCTGAGGATCTCCCTGTACTTCTGCTGCAATGCCGAGCAGCTGACGGCGACGTCCTCGCCATGATCCAGCCGCTCCCTGACAGCGTCGCGGAGGGCCTCCAGCCACGGGATGCGGTCGCCGTCGGTGAGAGGGATGCCCTTGCTCATCTTGGCTGTTGTCAGGGACAGGGAAGAGCAGAGAAGTTCAGAAACGAAAAAGGGAAATGTAGGTTGGTTGGTTGTGAGATGATGAATTCTTCAGAGAAGTATATTGATCTTGATCATGCCAGACCTTTGTTTGCCTGAGAATGGTAGTCGTCTGCTTCGATGAAGCTGCAGCCTAAGGTTTCAGCAAGCAGTGCTGCTACTGTCCTGCGAATTCACAATGAAATGCTAAATTCATAAGAAAATGTGATAAATTTTGCTGAGGACAAAAAAAAAAGAAGTAAATTCAAGATTTAAAGCTGAACAGTACTATTACAAAATCTGAATGTAGGTTTGAAAGTCACATCCTAAAACCAACTCTTCAGCAAATGCAGAGGTTTTCTCCGAGGAAAAGACACAGCAACATCCATTTGACATCACAATGTTGAATTGTTGACAAAATGCATATCAGTGTACTGATAATGTCTCTTTCTGCTTGCTTCTACTTAATGTGCCTAAAATTGACCAACTTGACCATAATATTAAGCATGAACTGAGCTGAGGACTTGAGGTTGGTCTAAAACAACACAATCAGTTTGAATACTTGACAGGGTAATCAGAAAGAAAGAAGTAATAATCTTACGATTTACCGCAGCCACTGACTCCCATGATCACGATTGCCAAACCTGCAACCCCAGATGTTGAACAAAGATGAATTAGCAGACACCCAAGCTCTGCTGATTACGATTAGTACTTGTAATGATAATCCCATTCCAAGCAATTCCTTGAATTAAGCTTTAACACTTCAAAAAGAAAACATCAATTCAGAAATCAACACAGCACCTATTCTGTCAGACCAAAATCACAGGTATGGTCGCAATACATGTTTGGGATCCATCACTTCAGTTCGCAAGAACAAGAACATGGTGAACATGCACATGAATAACAGGAAATCTGAACCAATTCGGTGCAGCGAAATTGCGAGAAGAAACTAAACAGATCAAAAGAGTTAAAAACGAAACAAGCACGCACTGATCCTGGTCACTGACCTGGTCGGTGCGTGAGATCGGAGGCAGCCATAGATGAGCTTGGTGGTTCGTCTCGATCTGTTCCTACGACAAGGAGTACGACAAGAGCGTACTAAACCTGCGAATAAACGAGGAAGAAGACGACAGCGGCGGCGGCAACAACTCTACTTGGCTTGATTGCTCTTCCTTTATTTTATATCTCGAGATTGAAGAACAAAATCTATCATTTTTTGGGAGAAATTTATTTAGTCTAGTCTAGAAATTTTGACTTGCATGAACACTGCAATTTGGCATTTTTGACGTAGTGAGTACTATGGCCATCCTCATAAAAATAAGGAGAATTTTTCACGAATCCAAACATAGAAAGACAAGATTGTTTTAGGATTGGACGGCGAAGAAAGAGACTTGAAGCGAATTGTCGTCTGATGACTAAAACTAACAAAGATGAGACGTAGACGAAAGCGTCTTCAGTTCAAAGCAAGACCACCTGACGTTTCAACTTTCAGTTCACCGTCACTTTAGACTGGGACCTGGTGTTTCCAAAGACTCTTTTACAGTTCATTCATGTCCATGCTGTCGCATTGTTGTTGCTGCTGACTCAGAGCTTATCACACATCCTTATCCAAGAGGAACATTTGTAGTATCAACAGAAATCATCTTTCAAAGGATATTGTTGTTATACAGGATCCTCCCAAGAAAATGACAACTTTCTATAGAGAAAAACAAGTTAGGACGAGAGTTGGTGATGATGGAAATACCAACTTCTCTCAAGTCTTGGTTGATTGGATTCAAGTTGATGCTTTCATGTTCCTCTAGCTCAGCAAAGACCTTGGTGGTTTCTACTGAACTTGTTTCTGGTCTCTGAATCTTTCAGCATTGCTTCTGGTTTCTGAAGCAAGGAAGAAAAAAGCTGTTGCTACCGGTGAGAACAAAGATGTTAAGATGAACTCAAAAGATGGGGGCAAAAACAGAATCCGAGATATACATAATCACATACAGTACCAAATTCATCTGATCTAGTAATGTAGTCACGTAAGAACATGCAAACAGCTAGGTAACTATGGCTACTTTCTGAAAAACCCTGAATCCTGAAGTGTTTTGCAATATTCTAAGATGACAGGAGATTTCTTCACCATGTCCCAGATCTTCGCTGAGCTCCTCAACCAGTCACGCTCGGTGAGATTCTTCGAGAATGACCTCGATGGCCTTGATAAGATCTGCACCCACAGTAATATCCACAACTAAGTGAATTGTGTCCAGAGTAAACGTAGTACTCTGAAAAGAATCGTTTATTCTGCCTTTACATCAGAATCAGGACAAGAGTCATCATTGTGTTCAGGGTCAGTTCTGCACCATATTATTTTTATTTTTCCATATACCATGATATGCATCTATCGATTAATAAGGATATGCAGAACTATTCCTTTTCGTTACTTGGGAAAAAAAGAATGCGAAGTGCTAATTCTGTTAAAATATGAAAGAGCTCAACCTGCTGAGCGCCAACAACCAGTTAGGTAAAGCTGCAAGCATACCTGATCACGAAGCATCCCTAACATGGATGGACATGTCCGATACTCAAAATTTGTTGAGTTATCAGGTGTTCTTAATGGAAGAAGATATATGTCCTGCTGATTGGAGCTCAGATCCTCAATCTTCATGCTTGAAGGAACTGAGGAGTCAGAAACTTGAGGTGTTGCTCCAGAGCTTCCAATGCTAAAGGAGGAGGACTTGAAGTGTTTTTCAAGAACCCTCTTCAGAACCATGAGCTTTGAAGGAGAAAAGTCTTGTTCCCGCAATCTGTTCAGTTAGAAAACCACACCATTCTAAGATTATCAAATTAATTGGTATAAAAGATTGGATTGTAGAATTAAGTGCAAAAGTGTTGTGTTCATATCACAACAACTAACTTCACTGCCAAAATACCGGAAACAACAAAAGGATCTCTTTGTTCATCAAAAAAGAAATGAGCATATGATAACATAAGAAAATGCAAACAAGCATGAAACTGAGCAGTGTTCACCTAGCATGCACAAAACAGAGATCAGCTATGTAATCTTCAATGCCTGATTGGTTATCATTTTTGTTTTCCTTGTCTTGGGTAGTTGAGGAGGTCAATAATGATGGATCAGGTATGTTGTGCTTCAGTAAATCAACCTGCAAAAATTGTATTAAATCACCCTTTCAACTTTCTGCCATTGGCAGAAACTAAATTCATCAACACAGCATAACCACAAATTTTCATAAGTACAATATACTAATACGGAGTTTCAGGTCTGAGCTCTCTAATACGCTGGAGGATATAAATGTGTTCTTAACTATTCACTGTAAGAAAATGTGATCAAGTGGTATGGATGATAAAAACAAAGGCATAAACAAATATAGACAGACAACTTACCGTAAGAATGAGGTCCCACATGGACAGGTCATTAATCCCCTCCGATACAACCAACAAAATATTGCAAACAGATGCCAAGAAAACACCAAGCTACAGCAATTCCTTGCAGAACAACATAAAACACTGATCAACTATTCGGTACTGTCAAGCTCAGTTAGCAGTGGGTACAACCCAGTGCGAGAATTGAAGTATAGCATTTACCTGGATTCCCATTAACTCATGAGCCAGGTCTGCTGATAATGGATCACCACTGAGGATAGGAATTGCGGATGAACCATCTGGCTTCATCATATCAATTAGTACGGAGGGACTGAATACTGGCTGCAAGACAAAAGGTGATTGTTTTTTAGAACGTTACCAGCAATATGTTTAACAGCTCTGGCATTTGGAACATTGCATAGCAGAAACTGAGTTAAATAACTCTTATCACCTGAGTGTCTAGAAGTATAACCCGTTCATTAGAGATCCTGATATCAATGCCAGCAGTACAGTGCTTAGCCATTGCTTTGATTTCCTCAGTTTGTGTAGCAAAAGGAGGAAGCATTCCTACAGGCAATACTCAACTAAATGAGCTTCGGTTTGATCTAGGTGTCCACATGGAACAAATTGCTAGCCAAATTACAACTCTTCACTACGCTTTTTCAGCAAGCCAAAAGACACAAAAGAGGTTAGGGGAAAATTGATGTATGGAAGAAAAACAGAAGCTTAAGGACTTAATAGAGTGCATATTATCAACAGCAGAGTGCATCTACAAAATAATTCTGACAAGCGCATGTTTTGTTTGACACATGAAAGTAACAACAATGAATTGAACTGAAACTATTGGAAGACTGAATGCTGAAACTATTGGAAGAATGGATGATTGTACCAGGTGAGCTTCCATCATATCCATAAAGCTCGTTCATGATGGTTGACTTGCCCACACCAGTTGGACCAATTACTCCAATCACCATGAAATCATTGTTCTCAGTCAAATACTGAAAAATATAGGCCCCAAAAGAAACATGAAGATCTCGATCAATCACCGGTTTGACATTTCAAGAACTCTAGAAGTTATGTTATACAAAAATACTTTCATCAAAATGTCACAAAATATCTGAATGTTTTGAGGGATATATCTACAGATACTTTTAAATAATCTTGTCATCATTCAAATCCAGTTTCATGCACAAACTGTAACTTTTGACGTGCTAGACAAAGGTCGCATTGGCATATATCATATTACTGCAAGATTTAAGCTTTATCATCAGGGATAGTATTAGAATGCATCTCAAGAGAACCTAGGAAACCATGAACTAAACTGTATAAGAGCTACGAGCCTACAACTAACAACTGCATTGAACAATGGATTATTGCATTAACCAGACACAAAAAAAAAAATTGTCAACTGAATCTAGTTATAGGATCTCACACAATTTTATCACAATGCTTGCATCGAACCAGTAAGTAAACCCTGAACAGCAAAAGGAAATGAAAGAAACAAGAAGCATATCCTCGTAGCAAAGCCACTTGAGGACGCACGCACCGGGAGGATCTTGTCGGTGTGGACCTCCCACGCGTCGGAGACGAGGCTGAGCGAGCCAGGCTGCGTGGCCTGCCGCGAGCGGCCCGCGCCTCCTCCGCCGCCGCCGTCGTCGTCGGCGCCGGAGGACGAGGGGGGCGGAAGCGGGGGCTTGGCGAGAAGGATCTTGGGAGGGGGAGGCGGAGGCGGGTGCGAGGAGGAGGAGGACGAGCCCCGGTCTCCGACGCCGGCGAGCGGCGGCGCTCCGGCGGCCATCGCGCGCGGCGTGCTGCTGCTGCTGTGGGCGTCTCTAGTTGAGGAGGAAGCCGTCGCTTAATTAATCGGAATAAGTTCACTTGAGGTCCCTTAACTTGTCAGCGAAATCCGGTTTTGTGTGGGCCCAACTGTCAGACGCGGTGCTAGGAGGCCCGGCCCAGGTAAGCGTACTCTTTGGGCCATCCTACTGGGCCGGATTTTTTTTTCTATACTCTTCTGTTTATACCGTGGTAGACCAAGAAATAAACAGAGAAATTTTTACTACGGTCATGAATATCCCGTCCGTTCCTCCGGAGCATTTTATGTTTTGCAAGTACTTAAAATTAATTTTTATTCTTTTTTAAAGTTATTTTATTAGTTAAATTTTGAATTTTGATTACGTGGATTCTCCTCCTCAGCAGCCCATTGGCTGAAAACGCTTGATTTCCATGTATGAGAATCGGTCTCATAGGAATGTTTATTTTGGGTATAAAATTTGAATACTTAAAAATGCTTAGTATTTAACATTTCGATAAAGATTCACTCGGTCTTTCAAATTTTGGTCATAATAATTTCTAAAATGCTCTTGTAGCACAGTAATAACACTGTTAACAGTAGTAGTGCAGGTTCAGCCATGTTGCTCCACGTAGGAGTATGTTGGTGTAGTAGGGTGCTGGGACCGAGACAGCTCATCGTTCCCCTACCTCTCTGCTGCATTCTGGAACCCTCTCTCTCTCTTCCTGTGACCCACAACACTCCAACCAGACAGGCAGAAAGCAAGCAAAAGGATAGGAAGGAGCCAAGAACACCAAGAACTTGTTGGAGCTGAGACAGCAGCACCAAGCAAGAAACCGGATCCAATCCATCCATCCATCCATAGGTAATGATCGTCCCTTATTACCTTCCCTACTTCTTTGAAATCTTACTGTCTTCAATTGCTCTTTTGCCCGTGAAGTTGTAGCAGTTCGCAGTTTGTCTGTTTCTTGGGGAGTGAGTGTGTCGATCCCTAAAAAGTTCATCTTTTTTTGCCCCCTTTCCCACGCAATTTAGATGAACTGGTCAAGGAGAGCGCGATGATACAGCCACTGGTTGTACAAATCTGTCCCGATTCGTTCTTATGTTCGTGGTCTGTGCTGTACTAGCGCTCGTTTTGTTCAAGCGATTCAGAAAGTGACAAAACTTTGGGGCATTCTCTTCGGCCAAATCTTTTGTTTGCACCATGCGGTAGAATCTATCCTAGCTTGACGATTCTGGAGCCCTGACCACGAACTTGTAAGCGAACAACCTAGAGGGAAAAGGAAATAGGTGGTTCCGCATTGTTGAATTTTGAGTGAAAGAGTGTACCTGAGGCTCCACAATTCACTGCTGACAGCCGTGTTCAATCCCCAACATGCTAACAATTTCTTTTTTAAAAAAATGTTTGGAGAGACGTCTCTCCCTCCAAATCTCGTTTTTTCTTTTAATTCATTGCTGAAAGATAAACTGAAATGCTGCTCACATGGCCCGGCTTCTCTGATGTTCAAAATACAAAATGTGATTCTAAGTGTTCTGAGGTGGATCCCATATTCAGAAAAGATTAAGATTTGTTAACGTGGGTTGGTTTGACATGCATATTGCATTTGCTTCTTACTAGGGGGTTGGATTGTGTGAGCTTCTCTTGTTTTAGCCTTTTAGCTTAACTCACTACATGTGGTGTCCTCAAGTAAGCATCACAGTTGGGGTTAACAGTCAGATAACTAAACCGTTTTGCAGATGAATTATTTGCTAAACCAGTGGTTGTAGAGATGAACCCGATAAATTCTTTTGTAACTGAAACCGGATTGCTACTCATTTGACAACAGCTTTTTGCAACTGTAAAGGGCAGCCAGAAACAATAAACAGAGTGTGTGCAGACTTAAAACCATATTCCCTCCATTTCACATTATAAAACGTTTTGGTCTCTCCATCCCTCGTCTAGATTCACTAGCATCCATATGAATTTGGACACATATATGAAACACATACATGGATTCATGCAGAATCTGTTTAAAACCCAAAAAACGTCTTATAATGTGAAACAAAGCAAGTGGCTTAGATCAGGTTTGTTGTCTTGTGTTCAATTTTTTCAACTGAATAATAGTACTTGGTAGAAAATCTTTTAAAAAAACAATAGTACCAGGAAAGATATTATGAATGTAGGCACGGTTTTGCTTTGCCTTGTGCAAATGATAGTCTACTAATAATTCTTCCACGTAGACCATACCTAACATGGCTATTTTTTACCATGTAATTCCCTTTTTGTTGTTACAAGTAAAGCATTAGAGTGATGATATTTCATCGTTCGTGTCCGTAATCTATAGAACTCTTCAGTCTTCCCCTGATAACTAGTGTGTACTTAATTTTGTAGTTTCCAATGGCTGGCAAGTACATCGCCGCTGGTCTTGTTGGTTCCTTTGCCATCTCATATGTTTGTGATCATTTTATCGCTGAGAAGAAGATATTTGGAGGTATGGAATCTGATCCCAAGTACCCGTTTGTAAATTGACAGCACGCTTAACATACACCGTTGGCAAATCTGTCTGTATAAAGAATATGTGCAAAACAATCATCTTACTTCTTGATCAGGCACCACACCACATACCGTGTCCGACAAGGAATGGTGGCAAGCAACTGACAAGAAGTTTCAAGCCTGGCCTCGCACTGCTGGGCCACCGGTTGTCATGAACCCCATCAGTCGCCAGAACTTCATCGTCAAGGATCTCGAGTCCTAAGGTAGCACTAATCGCGCAATATGCGCCGTTGCACCCCTCAATCAAAACAAGAGCCCATTTGAAGCCACGTTTCATCTTTCATTTGAGGTGCTGATGCTAAAGCTCCTTTGCTTGTTCAGATTGTAGTGGGAGCATATATGCTGAAGGTTGCGCCGTGACTAAGATGGCGATGGCTGTGGCTACAAACTACCTACCTATGCCGTACTCCCGAACCAGTACGTGAGTACTTGGTCTCAATAAAACAGAACTATTTTGCCTAGTGCAGCCTGAACAGAACCTGAAGCATATCTGCTTTAGACATTGTCATCTTGGTGATTGTTCTTATGCAGTAACAACCTCTACTTTGTGCTTGTGCTATTGTGAGTGAATGGAACTATCTGTCTGTCACACTGGAATATGTGCCTTGTCTACTGATGCAAGAGATTTTAGGCCACTTGTGTCAACTCCAGAATCCAGGTGGCCTCTCTAATCTCAGTGTAGGTAGCAACAGACAGCATCTCGCCGTTTTCGTGAGGCTTCTTCAGTGATTCTGAAGCTTATGTGTTTTCTTGCACACAAAAGTAGATCAGCTAGCAGAAACGTGTTGCTAGTTTGGTCAAGATTTATGTGCGAAACATTTGACACTGCTGCCAGTATTTGTCAGATGAAAACGCTGAGATCTCCTCTATCTTGGGAGATTTTGCACGCCTGATTTAACTCTGGGTCGTTTTCGTTTTCGCATCAGCATTTCATCAAATACCCATCTGGGAATTTTCCCGAGCTTTGAGCTGCTTTAGAACAAGGTTCAGATGCTGATCATCAGCAGTTCAGGATGTGATCTGAAGCACGGACAGAAATTAAGAAACGAAGTCATTGGAAACGTGTCAAACTGTGGGCAATACACGTCACTCACCCTGCATCGTAGTCCGTACACGATGTTTATGTACATACTCCCAGGTAGTCATACGTGGTGCTTGCAAAATCACTGAAAAAAATCGTGACTTTCCAGGTGGCCGTCTGAATCAACAGATACTAGTTGACGTACGGAAAATAATAAAATTGAAACTGGTACGGAAACACGTCCTTGATATACCACTATTATAGCCCCATCATTTGGCCTAAACAGCCAAATAATAAGCCAAAATTTAAATTTTTAACTTGATTTTGAACTTGATTTTGAAATACTTATAACGTAATTTTTGTTAAAATTGGCTTTTAAGTCGCTACGGACAAATCTACAAAAATTTTACTTATAAATTAATTTTAATTTTTTATAAGCTAAATAAGCCATTTTGGCTAAATGGACAACCGATGGAAGCTTTATATTCTACTAGTACAAAATTAAGGGTCACTTTCGTAGGTGGTACCTTTTTCATTTTTGACTGGGAGAAAAGAGGAACAAATAAACAATACTATGTGCCTTTCAAATATAAACATTTGAGGGCATGATAGTTACAAATGAACAAAAACACACTAAATAATACTGCTCTATATAAGTATTTATGTGATCAAAATTTATAGTACCCATCTCATAATGTATAATGTTGGTTAGTTCAATGTCAACAAGTAGTAGAGGAAGTACTACACAATAAGAAGTTTTAATTTTGAGCAACGGCGTCATACATTAAAATATGGAGGTAATATATTTTATGAAAAACTTTATGTATAAATGTTGGCTTAAAATATTAGATGAATCTATTTTTTAAGTTTATAATAACTAAAACTTAATTAATGACATTATCATTTTACATGCCATCTCCATCAGATTCCATCGACCATTGGGACCAAAATATTAGAACGAGTATAATATTCTCTCTGTCCTAAAAAAACTTAACCTATGATATGTCCTCTCCTAGGTTAAGTTTTTTTGGGGCGAAGGGAGTATTATACTTGTTATAATATTTTGGTCTCGATGGTCGATGGAATCTGGACAAATAGTAGTTCAGATTCCTTATCTTAGGAGGGGTCATACCCCTTCCCAGGTTTTTTTTTTTTGGGGGGGTGGGGGGACGGAGGAGTATTTGTCATTAGATTCTGTGATTGTGATAGGATGATGGCAAGAAGGGGGTGGCACCATGCAGCAGCATTCCCTAGTCGGTCGGTCCTTCTGCCGCACCGACCATTCGACCCCCCGTCGCCACTACAAATCCACCACGCTCCCCTCCCGCGTGTCACCACGCCATTACTTACTTGATCCTTCTTCCCCTTCATCACAGTCTAGTACTTCTTGCACCTGCATCATCTGCATTGGCAGCAGTAAACTAAGGGTGCGTTCGTTCTGAGAGATTGGGTGAGAAATGGATATCGTTTTTCACGCTGCTTCCTAAACTATTAAACGGTGTATTTTTTATAAAAATCTTCTATAGAAAAGTTACTTTAAAAAATCATATTAATTTATTTTTAAAGTTTAAAATAGTTAATACTTAATTAATCATACGCTAATGACTCATCTTATTTTACGTATCTTCCTAATCTTTTCTATCTCCTTCTCCTCGAACACAACCTTGGTAGTAACTAGTACTGATCTGAGGATAAGCTCCAGCCATTCTGAAACTCTCTGCTCTGTCTGTCCGTGCATCTTCTTCCTGCAGCTGACGACACCATTGCAAGCTCGGTAGGAGTAGCAGTAGCTCTGTTGTTCGGTTGTTCTGCTCAATGGCCGCTCGAGCACTGTCTGCTGCTGCCGCCGCCGCCGGTCGCCGGATGGCCGGACAGACTGGCTTCCCTCTTCTTGCCTCCTGCAGGTAACTGGCTATAACTGAAAGAATGGGAGCTCTGTTTCATGTATTTCTCCTGTTTTTTTTTTTTTTTTGCTTCTTCATTGGATTGTTTCTGCTATGGTTTATCAGTGTCCAGTACGTCAGTTTAGTGTAGGCCGTGAATCGTGATGAGCTGATGGCGACGCCAGTATCTTGCCTTCGATCTTCTCTTTGTACTATTTTTTTTTCCTCTTTGGTTTGCAACCCTCAATCGATGATAAACATGCCACCTTTTTATGTGGAACTCTGAATGAACGTTCATTTGGGCTGATGAACTCTGATAAACTCTGATGGAGAAAGAAATGAGCCAAGCAAGTTCAAGTTCCTTTGGAGATGTTTCTCTCTTCTGTTTTTTTACTGTTCATTTTCCAGACAGATCCTGATCCTTCTAGCTGTTATTTAGTTACTGCTCCATCTCTAAATCATTTGGGCTGTGTTTATGGTTTAGCTGTTGATTGAGCTGTCATGTTCTTTTTAGATGGATTGAGAGTGTTGTTGTCTTGTAGAGTAGATGCCATATTTTGAGAGAAAAAGAATGTTCATTTTCTGATGAAAGTCTGTGTGAGCAGGAGAGGAGATCAAGCTCATCAGAATTACTCGATTAGCGCACAGGCCCAGCCGGAGGAGGAGCAGAAGGCCATCCACGACGGCGGCGGCGCCGCCGGAGCGCAGGTGGAGGCGGCGCTGAACCGCAAGAACGTGGAGGTGCACCCGGAGGAGGAGACGGTGGAGGACGCGTGGGTGCCCGACCACGAGACCGGCGTCTTTGTCCCCGCCGACGAGGCCGCCGTCTCCGGCACCGAAAACCACGACCACTGCGGAGCGGCGGCGGCGGCGGCCGGCGGCTCGCCGTCGGTGCTTGACCAGGCGGTGTTCGTCCGCGAGGAGGACATGGAGGACGTCGAGAGGCCGGCCGTCGACATGGCCGCTGCCAATCACAAGCCCAAATGAGCATCAACTCAGCAGTAGCAGCAATAACCAATAAAGCCAAATAATGCCTTCTGAAATCTCATGTACAACTAGTACTAGAAAATTTCCAGTGAAAATCTTGCGTCGTTGGTTGTATGAATCTTGTTATCTACAGTGATCAATCGGATAATCTGTTCTTTGATGAATCTTGTTGTGGTTTTATCGGATGGAATTTGCTGGGATTGCTTTGAATTCGTGCACGACGCCGTCGATCTCGATGAGGCTGCAGCCGGGGACCTTGTCGATCTCGTTCCTCCTCATCTGCCCCCTCACCTTCACCGCCTCACCGTGCCGGCCATTCGACGCGTACGTGTTCGACATGAGCACGTAGTCGCCGGCGTCCGCGTCGGCCACGCGCCGTCGCATCACCCGCTCGGCGCGCTCGACGTCGCCGTGCGCGCGGCATGCGGCGAGCAGCGAGCTCCAGATGAGCGCGTCGGAGTGTACTGGCATTGCCGCGATGAGCTCCTCTGCCTTGTCTAGTCTCCCGGCGCGGCCGAGCATGTCGACGACGCAGCCGTAGTGCTCGATGCGAGGTTCCGGCATGGCGTTGAGTTGCTGGAGCCCCTCCTCGACAAGTCCGGCGTGACAGCACGCCGTGAGGACGCCGAGGAGGGTCACCTCGTTCGGCGTCACGCCGGCTCGTTGCATGCCGGCGAATAGAGACAGGGCGTCCTCGCCGCGGCCGTGCATTGCGAGCCCCAGGATCATGGATGTGTAGGTGTACACGTCTCGCCGCGCCATGCCGTCGAACACCTCCGTGGCCTGGTCGACCGCGCCGCACTTGGCGTACATGTCAAGCAGCGCGTTGCCGACGACGCCGTCGGCGCTGTGCCCCATCCTCCCCATGTATGCGTGCAACCACCTGCCGGTGTCCAGCGCGCCGAGCTGCGCGCACGCGCCGAGGGCGGCGACGAACGTCGCGTCGTCCGGGCGCACCGCCGCGGCCTGCATCTCCTGGAACAGCGCGAGCGCCTCCTCGAGCTCACCGGCGCGCGCGAACGCGGACATCATCGTGTTCCAGGAGACGACGTTCTTCTTCACGGGCATCCTCCTGAACCACCGGTGCGCCGCCGCCGCGTCGCCGCACTTGGCGTACATGTCAACCAGCGCGTTCCACGCGACGACATCCATAGCAACCTTCCTCTCCGCGACGCGCCGGTGCGCCTCCCGACCCAGCGCGAGGTCCCCGATCTGCGCGCACGCCGAGAACGCCGCGGCGGCGGCGACGGCGTCGATGGCCACGCAGCGGTCATCCGCCATGGCGAAGAACAGCACCACGGCCTCGTCCAAGAACCCGTGCCTCGCGTGGCCGGTCACCATGGCCGTGCAAGAGACGACGTCCCGGCCGGCGGGGAACCCGTCGACGAGCGCCCGCGCGGAGGCGAGCTCGCCGCGAGCGAGGTAGAGCTCGACGAGCCCGTCACGGACGGCGCGGCGGCGGTCGAGGCCGAGCTTGGCCGCGTGGGCGTGCACGGCCGGCGCGGCCTCGCCGTGCTCCGCGGCCAAGGCCTTGATGAGAGCCCGGAGGCCTCGGGCGTCGTGAGGGGCGCCGGAATCCACGGAGACGGTGCCGTTCTTGTAGCCGCCATGGGAGCGATGAGGCGGTGGCCTCCTCGGCTTGCTGCTGCTCGCCGGAGGAAGCTGCTGCTGCGGCGGCGACGGCGGCGGTAATGGATAAGGCGCCATGGCCGGTGCCCGGTGATGAGGTGAGAATGAGTTTGGGTGGGTCAAAAAGTCAAAACATAAGTACTGACAGGTGGGGACGGATACAGGTTGGGACTTATGTGCCGCATAAGAAACTAAGGCCCATAAACCAACCGGCCCAATACATATGGGCCTCACGTGAGAAGAAATCCATGAGCTACGAGCCGACTAACATGGGTCGGACTCAGGACTTCATCAAGATTCAGATGAACAACATCGCGTTTGATTTCATCTTGATTTTCAGATAAACAGCGTCATGCTGAATTTTTACCTTCATCATCCATCTGATCCTGGAAAGCCTCAGGGCCATCGAAATCATCTTCATGTATCCAGGAATACAAAAGCATGTGCCTCTGGACATGCATATTTTCAGCAAGCTGGAAGAGCTGAAAGCCTGAAAATGCTTTTTCCCTTTGGAAGAACCAAGCTGTAAATGCATCGATCACATCCAAAAAAACATCGTTGCACACATCTCATGCATAATAAACATGTTGGAAGGAAAATCAAATTGAACGCACAAGTAATACTGCATTTAACACGGAACAGGATGCAATACCATTTTTCCCCTTCACAACAAGGTAAATATTATTTCTTGTAGAGAGATAAAACAAGGTTCAGACATTCAGAGTAACAGGCACAACAGTTTGCCTCCAGAAAACTAACCCAAATAACAAAACAACCATTACTATTATTTCTAACAGACGATAATTAAAACGAACATGGCAGTTCACCAAAAACATAAACATCCTGCAAGCCATCCCTTGCAGCCTGTTCAGAATTCAGATGCCATCATAGATATAGTAGCTTGAGTTGCAAAAGCCCTTCTGCTCTGCAGCACTTGAGGAGAGAATTTCAGCAGAAGATAAACCCAAACAAAGCTTCCTTGTAGCAGCTAATGATCGCAAGAGAGTAGCATCCTGGGCTTCACCCAGTTGGGCAGCAACCCTCTGCGATTGCCTTGATTTGGCGCCAAGGATGACACACAGTATGAATCATAGCCGATCCCTCCCCATCTCTGTGGGTTCTTGCAAGACAATGGTGGCCGTGGCCTGAAAGCCTCCCTCTTCTCATCGAAGAAGAAGGCCCATTCCTTCAACTCTTCCTCTTCCATCTTCACCCACATTGCAGGCTGGGATGACAGGTCAAGGCAGAAGGCCTCGCCGATGGAGGCGGCGAGCAGGATGAGCATGTCATCACACACCACCAGCGATGGCTCGCAGAGGTCAGGCTCCGACATCTCGACGCTCCAGACAACTTGTACTTCTTCCAGGCTGAGCTGGGGTTCCAGCTTGACGGTGTAAAGCTGCTGATACTCGAGGGCATAGAGCTGGCCTTTGAAGGGCACAAACTGCTCAAGAGCTTTAGAATTGGGCGGGCAACTGCACTGCGACCAATGGTCGCTTCCAACTCGCCATGCGAACAGGGAGTGCTTGGCCTCGACAAGGAAATGCGAGTTGTGATAATCAAGGGGAGCTGTGAGGGCACAAGAGTTGACAAAAGTAAAGAATGGGCAGGGTGGAGGTGAAACACTAGTGCCGGTGAACACGTCGACGATGGCGAAGGTTGTGTCCTTCAGCGAGGGGGCATTGCCAGAGAAGATGGCATGGCCATAAGAACAGCATTCATAATCCATCCCCGCCAGAAAATCTGGCGGAGTCACGCGGTGTATGCAGATGGTTGGCTTGGCTGGATCAAAGAGCTCCCATACTACTGGATCATCGCCAGAGGAAGCGCAGCTGCGGATGGCAAGAGGACGGAAGAGGGTGGTGCGTAAGGTAGATTTTGCAGACCTGAAGGCAGCATGCCAATTGGGGCAGGTGGCAATGAAGGCAGCAAGGTCACTGGGTGAACTCAACAGAGCAAGGACACACTGCAGTAGGTCATCTGGGAGGTCTGCCCATCCTTGGAGCACTGGCATGGAGTTGGGGGTGTTGGAGATCCTCTTGCAGGTGTTTTCCATGATAGCAGGCTCTGCAAGTCAATAATGAAGTCAATGGGAGCAATCAGAACAAAGAAGTTCTGGTTAAAGGACAAGCAACATAGTCCACTAATTCACTACGTCATGTGGGCGCATGAAAAAATGAGTATTAGAAATCCTAGCCACTAAGTGACAAATAAGAAGTGGAGTACAGTGGTGCTACAATATTTTGCAATGTTATGAATGCAGTATGTAGTTACAAGACTCGACAATTGAATTCATTCACATTTCAAATAACATTGAAGAAAACGGATAGTTAATGCTTTATTTCATTCTATAATATGCATGAATTTAGTATCGACACATTGCATGTGTGTCATGTTGGTAGCAATACATCCTTGACTTTTTTATATCGTTTATAACTTAAAATATTACACACAACATATAAGTAATAAAAACCTGTATCGTTATAAAATAACTCGTGTTTTAGCCATCAACATACATACTAAGAAAGTATGGGGTACCCCCTTCTACCTTGCTTGATCCTCAACCACAATAACTGGTCCTTTCTTTGTTCCAATCATACCAAATATCATGGTAAAAAAAAAACATATTTGATAGGATGTTAGTATTTACTATGAGAACCTAAAACATTGACAATTTGTGATACAAAATAGCCTAATCCAAAGATCACACTTTTGGTGGAGACGTATTAAGTATTAACTGCTGAAAAACATAACTCTATAAGTATCTTCAGTATTTCTAAAAAAAATCTTCAATACCAAGACATCAGTGGAAGTTCTCTTATTTGGGATTTGATTAATAGAAAATTAATGAACAAAAATTGCGTACATATTATTTTGTTGATAATCAAATATTGTCTCACCACCACCCGAGTCAGTATAGATTTTGAAGACTTATGATGTACTCATAGTCCTTAAGAATTCCCCTATCCTCCAAGATTTGAACGTACATCTTAGAGGAGTTAGCAGACTAATAAATAGAAACAACGAGACAACACAAAATGGGTGGACAAAGTACGTGGAAGAAGAAGTTTACCGATGAATGAAGATAACAACGATAGTGAGGGCAACAAAGAAGCCCCAAAATGGTTGCCGTCGATGTTAATGAGGACGTATCGAGGGTCTGCAATGGTTACGACTAGCGAGTAGGGAAGACGAAGCGGCGGCGGAACTAGCTAATGATTAGGGTTTGGGGGGAACGAGGCAAGGGGATTCAATGGGTTTTATATGGTATGACATGTTAAGAGATAAGATGCATATGTCCCTCCTCGGAACCAGTTCACATACACACACACCTCCTGGTACCAGTACACACATAGACCCTTTTCATTATTAATTTGGTAGTAAACCCTAGGCTTTGCTATTCCGGAAATTTCTTTGGTACCAGTTCACACATAGACCCTTTTCATTATTAGTTTAGTAGTATACCCTAGGATTTGCTATTCCGGAAATTTCCTTGGTACCAGTTCACACATAGACCTTTATCATTATTAGTTTGGCAGTGAACCCTAGGATTTGCTATTCTGGAAATTTCCTTGGAACCAGTTCACACATAGACCCTTTTCATTCGAAATTTCGTTTTATCTGTGGGTACCGGTAGGGAGTTCTTCCGATCGAAATTTTCAATTCATTCGAAATTTCGTTTTATCCGTGGGTACCAATAGGGAGTTCTTCCGATAAAAATTTTCAATATGATTTGAATTTAGAAAAAAAAAATAGCCGTGTCAGAGTATAGAACTCCTGTAATGGGGAAGCTAAGTACTCCCCCTTTGTGAGTTCGGCCGAGGTGCAAGTTTTGAGATCGAGTGTTTGATCGCACGGTAAAGATAAACACAAGCACATATACAGGTTTAGGCCGCGGTGGACTATGGATGATTGGAGGAATTATAAGGTGACGTAGGAGGAGAAACTCAACTCCTTGCTTGCTGAATTCTCGGTGGCATGAATTCTACTTATATACATGAAGGAGAGTCCACAATACCGTTGCATGCATGGAGTGGAGCCTACTCCTCTAAACTTGATATGCTTAGTCTTGTAGGTCTTGACACTCTTCTTAAAACCTTGAAGATGTAGATATTGTAGATCTCGATAATCTTCTTGAAACCTTGAATATGTAGATCTTGTAGGTCTCAAACTCTCAATACTCTTCTTGAAACCTTGAAGATGTAGATCTTGTACATCTCTATACTCTTCTTGAAACCTTAAGTGCTTGGTGGGGCTCGCAGTGCCCCAAGCCCCCCTACACCTTGAGCTCTCCAGGGTAAAGGGAACCCCTGCTCCCACTTCTCCGACAAGCAGAATTCCTAAAATTTTGCCAACACCGCCCCTCCCCCTAGGTTTATGCTTTTTGAAATAGTGAACCCTAGTACACCTTGTTAATGCTTTTTTTTTTGTCACATCACCAACACAATTGGAGATCCACCTAAAGCCTTGTGGTGTGATAGGAGTCACCAACCACCTTGACCTTGAGAATCTCCTTGATATCCCCAACGAGCTGCTCAGCGACCTTAAACTTGTGCTCAAATATTCTTCCATTCCGCTCTTTTCAAATGAGCCAACAAACCATCAGGAAGAAAGAATCAAAAGCGTTCCTATAGCTTGGCCGAAAAAAGCTTCGCGCTTGCTGCGAACACTCTGCTAGCTGCAAACCGCTGTGGCCCAGTGGGTCAAAAGCCGCATTAGGACAATGGTATTATTTGTCATGCACAGCAGATCTTGCAAATAACGTCAGGTTTAGTTTAGTTTCAAGGATTTCTGAACCAGCACAGTTACAACAATTGGTTTCTACTCTGTATCCGCTAAAAACTTATGGGCAGCTGCTTCCAAGCGTAAATGGGGGAAAAAACTTTTCGTGTGTCTTGCAATTCAGAGATTGAATGTTCAACATCTGAAAATCTAAGCAAAGAGTGGTCGATTTGGTCAAGTTCTGGTGGCTACAAAACAACCAGATGTGTGTCATCAAACAAGAAAGGTGCAGAAGAACATCTCAAAATGTTAATCATATGTTCCTAAGGACATAAGAAATCTGCTTTTGATAGGTGCAACAGCTTTTTGTTGGTCCATTTGGCTAAACAGAAACGGGGTAATTTTTGACAACAAGATGGTGACTTCTCCTTTGCAGGTTATTGCTTTAGTCACCCAGTGGCTATGCATCTGGTCTATCCTCCACAAACCAGGTCTTTAGGATACTATTGTGGTGGTATCACGTCGTTTGGATCAAGTGGCACGGGAGTTTTTTTTACCCTGGAGCATGGGTGGTGATCTAGTCTACGGCTTGATAGTCACTAATTTCTTTGTTTTGTGTTGAGGGTCTAGTTAGATCATGTTTTGTAGCTGTGTGCATTTCATGCAGAGGCCGGGAGTGAGCTCAGTTAGAATGTATCATCTTGGTGTATTTGACTGAGTTTTAATAAAGCTTCCATTATCGAAAAAGAAGAATATCTCGAAATTAAGATGATCATGCATTCCACATAGAAGGCGATGGTCGAAAAATCAATGGAATAGTTCAGAGAAATCACCTTTTGCTCAACCACATATCCTGATTGCAGGTGCATTCCCTTCGTCCATGTGAGCAATTGAGCATATATCGACACGACATGGCCGTTTTCTGTCGAAATAATGATCTGAGAGCAATCTAGTAGTGAGAAACATAAAGCACGCAACCGATGAACGCACTGATCTTCAGCAAAGTGTATAGTTGAAGAGCTTTTCACAACTGATTCACAAACATACTGAAATCAACTCAACTGGATATATTGCAGAACAGTATATGTTGAGTTGGGATAATACCTCCCCTCATTGAAGAAGAAGAAGAAGGTGCATTTCTCCAGTTTGGGATTCCTTCTACACCTTCACTCGCGTTGCAGGTTCAGCTGATAAAGAACGGCGGAAGGATCCCGCGAGATTCTTCGACGAGGACCCGGCCACACTGCCGAGGAAGAAAGATCTTGCGCCATGGCTGACGCATCCAAGAACCAGTGGTGCCTGACTGCCTGGAATGGCCGGTGGTCACCATCCCATCCCATAATGCCCCTGTGCTCAACAAACAGCGCACTCGCGGCGGAGCGCCTCGGCGGCTCGGCGCCCTCAGGATGCCGTAGTGGACGGACGGCCGCGGTGGCCGGCGAGGCGGCGGAGCTTTGGCTGTGGGGTTGAGAAGCGGCGGGTGGACAGGTGGGGGCCAGAGGCAGGGCGGTTGACCTAGTGCGAGGGATTCGGAAACGAAGGTGGTACAAGCGGACGGAGGTGCCCCATGGCGTCCCTGAGGCTGAGGGTGGTGGCCGTCGCCGGCCAGGACGCCGTCGCCGGTGAACGCGGAAGCCCGGAATCTCGGCCCGGTCCAAGCCAAAAAAATATATGGGCCGTACGTACGCCGGAGTCACATAAATGGGCCGCACGTAGGCGGCACTAGAGGTGAAAACTGTTGGAATTGTTAGCATATCTTCAGAAATGATGCTAGATCGATCGATAATTAACCATATTTACTATTTAAATTACTCAGTATTGATATTTATATGATGAAAAATAAATTAGAAAAAACAAAAATTATAAATAATAAAAAACAGCACGGTCGGAAACAGTGTTAAGTCGAACGGGAATTTTCATGACCGTTTTCACCCCGCACCACTCTTCCGTCCGCGCTGCTGTCTCCATTTCCCAACTCCGCGCGCTGGTTGTTCACAATTGCTAACTATTTATTTATGAAAGACATACCGGAAATTCTCGATAGATCGAGCGTCATTTCTGTATAAGCGGTGAGACGTCATGGTACTGTTTTTCGATTCCATTCATGTATAAAATTTGAATTTTCTATTTATTTTTAAGCATCATATTTTTATGCACGCTAAATATTGGTAAATGTGGTTAATTTCATATCAACCAAGAATCTCTTTTTTTAAAAAAGATGCTCAACATGAATCTTTTTTCTACCGATCTGGACCATTCTGCTAGCCGATGTACAAGTAGGTTGCTGATGCGACGACGGCATGGATGCAGCATCACATCACAAAGCTTGAGACGAATCATGGTGCAAAATCCCACTCAGCAAATTAATGGAATAGTTCTCTTACATTGGATGTGAGGATCCTCTCAAATTCCCCACAGGCACTGATTTTTCTCAATTATACTTCTGAACAAGCACAAAAAATTGGAATTGGGTTGCAGCTAGCGATCATCGATTCTTGAGAAACTAATCTCAAGACGTGAAAGAATCAAGTTGCTAGAAGCGGACGGAGGTGCCCCACGTCTGGACGTCGCGGAGGGTGGAGGCCAGCCAGTCGAGGCCGCCGTGGAGGCCGTCGCCGGTGAGCGCTGAGGCTCCCTGACAGTGCCACCTCCGGTTCTTGAGCTCCTCGTACGCCCCCAGCCGCTGGCACACCTCCGACGAGCTCATCGCCCCTTTCTGCATCATGCATCCACATGTCAATTGTTGTATAACTAATCGCCATTGGCAAATTGTTCATTGATTCGTCAAGCTTTTAGCAATTACCAGGTCCTGCTTGTTGGCGAGGAGGAGGATGACGCTGTTGAGCATGAGGGGGTCGCGGATGATGGCCTGGAACTCCTCCTTGGCTACTCCTATCCTTTCCCTGTCCATCGAATCAACCACGTAGATCTGCAACTCCCCACACATTCAGTTTCAGACATTCAGATTTCAGAAGCAAAGCAATGATCGATCGAGAGAGAGATTCAGAAGATGAGATTTAACCAGGGCGTCGGCGTTTCTGAAGTATTGTCTCCAGAGAGGTCGGAGCTTGTCCTGGCCTCCCACGTCCCACACCGTGAAGGCCACGTTCTTGTACTCCACCTTCTCCACGTTGAACCCTGATGGAATTCGTTCATTTCACAGGATGAAAGAATGTATGTCTGTCAATGCAGGTCCAGGAATGGATTATGTCATGCCCATTTCGGCGATGAAATAAATGACAATGAACACGATGTATCACTACCGATTGTGGGTATGGAGGACAGAACTTCGCCAATGTGCAGCCTGTACAGAATCGTCGTCTTCCCAGCAGCATCCAGCCCAAGCATCAGAACCTGATTAAGCATCCATCAGAAGAGAAAAAAATTCTGAACCTGGTTAAGCATCAGAAAGGATGAAAAACTGAGAATGGTGAACGATTTCAGAATGCTGACATGATGTTACCTTCATCTCCTTTGTGCAGAAGCTGTCGAACAGCTTCCTCAGGGACTGCCCCATGCCTGAATATGATATATGATTATGATCTATCTACCATTAGTTCTTTCCTCTTGATTAATCTCTGCTTCTTCTTCTTCTTCTTCTTCTGATTCAGGCTGCCTTTTATTGCTTTGAGAATAGGAGGTAGTTCTCATCGTGCAAATCAGCAGATGACACCCCATTACTCCGATTGTTTTTGCAATGCGCGCGTTGCCGTTTGACTTGCACCTACCGACGAACTGAATAATAATAATAATACTTGCTTTGTGTTGCTGGGATGCTGGTCGATCTGGAGATGATGGAACCACCAGACAGCCACAACCGACAGTGTTTAATCTAATTTATTTATTGCCGGATTCTACAACATTACAACGTACCCTGTTTCAACTAGACATAGTAAACTTTTGTTTGGATCTAAGCATGGTGATTGATCATACCTCTTAGTGAAACCTTGGAATAAATTACACTCCATGCCGGTCGAACTATTAGTATTTTTACCTTCATCCTGTACAAAAATGCAATTTACTCTTCGTAATCATCTGTTTATGAAGTATAAACTACACTGTGAATAAATGATTAACGGTTAATTTAAAATTGATATATTACATAATCAAGCAAGGTCGTTGTAGTATAGTGGTGAGTATTCCCGCCTGTCACGCGGGTGACCCGGGTTCGATCCCCGGCAACGGCGATTTTACTCCTTTTTTTAATTTGGGCCATATTAGATTGGAGCCCATATCGATCAGCCCACGGGCCGAACCGCTATATGGCGCCCATGTTGCCCATATTAGATTGGGGCCCATACTCCTATCGGCCCACGGCCCGAAGAGCCTTATAGCGCCCACGACAAAGCGTTGGGTCGTCGCTTGCTGCTTCTAGACAGTTCTACAACGGTCGAGGCTGCTCCGTGCTCTCCTCCGCTCTGCTTTCATTCTACTCCCCGGAAAAATGTCCTATTCACTTTGGTGCCCCTGAGTCCGAGATGCTTGCTGATTCTCCCTCTTTTTGTTTCCACAGTTTGGCTTTATTTTGTTGCTTTTGTGTTGTTATGAAAAGGATCTACTATACTTCTTTTTCTTTCCACAGTTTGGCTTTACTTTCCTGCACATTGAGTAGGATTAAAAGAAGAGCTAGTAATGATGCAATACATGTTTATGTACATTATCACATTGGGTTTATTCAAAAGAGCTAACTGCTGCAGCGCTGCAGCAATAGCTATAGTGGCTATATTAGTCAGCCAGCAATGGGCTACAACCAACACAAACCATATGCATATGTAAAAGTATTGTATTTAATTTTATTCAAAATGCAGCCTAGCCTAAATCGCTGCCACTGAACGGTTGGATGTGCAACACAGTCTAGACAACTGCTATTAAGAGCTACCGAACAATCATTAAGGCCCTGTTCGGCTGCACATGCTTCAACTGTGGTACAGCCAATTCGAATAGTACTATGTGTCTGTAGCTGCAGCAGCAAGGGCTGCATTGTAGTGCAGCCGAGCAGAACCTAAGTGATTTTGTACCTATATACTTTTATAACTTTTGCTCTATAGTTTTTCATCGAGAGTATAAAACCTTAATAGTAGTTCCATGTACGGTATTGACCAAGTTTAAAGATCTAGTAGAAGAATTCTTAATTTAACCATACTATGAAATGAAAACCAACCACTGGGTGTACATGTTACATAATTGAAGCTTCATACTACGAGATTTTGTACTTCTACACCTTTACGGTTTAATACGTTCTATAGTTTTTCGTTGAAAAATATTTAAACTTTATTAGTTTTGTGTACGTATGACAGAGTTTTAAGATCTTATAGAATAACTCTTGTTTTAAATAAACCCCAAACCAAACGTTGAGTGCACATGTTACATATATAGTCAAAAACAAAAACAATAAATTGAATACGATTTACAAGTAAACATAGTGTATAGAAAGTTACTAGCTCAGCTGTGTGTTGCTGCGGCTGCAAAGCAATGACAACTACGGTATCAACATGAGCACCACCAATGCTAGGTAATGCAGCTGTTGCGTTTGTGTAAAAGTAGCTAGCAGAACCTAGCCATGTCGTGGGAGCTTTTGGCAACCGTACTGCTATAGCTTCTTTCAAAGTATCAAATTTCTTGTACGGTCTAAATTATCACCTGAACTTTAATAATTCATATTTTTAGATTTTATAAAATAAACTACAAGACAAAAGATAGGAAAAACAAACTTTCGAAATTCTCATCGTATGCTTCTCGGAATTTGAGCTGCTACAAACATTCCATTTTTTGCCTATAATCGATTATCATTTCAGACTTGGAAAGGTATTATAACGGCCCATCGTCTCTCCTGCTTATTTAACAACCATTATTTTTAAATCTTATATACATATATGTGTTTGTGTGTTTTTTAGCAACTTTATTAACTTTTATGTTTTTTTAATTCAAATTTAAATTATGGTTAACACGCTAAAAAGAAAATGATGAACTTGTATTGTGTATCACTTTATTTGTTTCAAATTATGAGGTGTTTGTTCAAATTTATATGGGTGTGAATAAATCTAGACGAGAGATAAATAAACCAAAATATCTTATAATTTAGAACGAAGGAAGTAGTTCACAATCAATTCTCCCAATAAGAAAAGAAGTCAATACTCATGTTTTGCATGCACGAGAGACTGACAACATGATCACACTTAGACTATGTTTAATTTCTAATATAATGCACACTTCTTAAACGGTTTAACGGTGCATATTTTTGTAATTTTTTAAATGCAAATAAACCCTTATTCAGGGGGTCAGACAGAAAGGTAGCAAGCGCTTTTGCAAAACCCTGGCGTGTATTTAAGACCTCATCCCTTCCCCTCCCCCTTCCCCCAAACCCCTCCTCACCCGCAGCGCCCCAACCCAACCCTCCCCGAGGTCGCAGCCTTATCCTCTCCTCTCCCCTCCGCGAGGTCAGGTGAGCTCAAACCCTATCCCCTCCTCCTCCACCTCCGCCGCTCCTCCCCGCCCCGGGGCGCTGGGTTCTCCCTCTTCCGGTGGCGACGTGGTGGGGTGTGGTGTGTTGACCCCCGCACGATTCGGTTGCCGCGTGGTTGGAGGATTCGGTGGATAGTTCTCGCCGCGCGATTCGTGGGGGGCGGAGAGCTCGAGGTCGCGCCCCCCGCTTGGTTTTGAGGGGGGCCTTTTGATGGTTGCTCGTGCGGGCTAATTTTGCGCTAGAACTGTTATATCAGTGGAAATTGTTGGTTTAGTTAGCACGGGGACTACAGAATGTATCAGTGGAAATTGTTGGTTTAGTTAGCACGGGGACTACAGAATGTTGTTGGCTCCAGCGTTCTGTTCGTCTGGTTGTGACTTTTGGCATGGGGTGTTCTAATTCAGCCAAGTAGAGTGGAGTAGGAGGGTGCATGCGATATTCTGTTTGGCAGTTGGAATGCTAGTGTTTTCATGTATGCTAGTGATGGCCAGCCATTTGAAGCTGACGTAACTGTTAGGGTGGTTGAATGGCAAACATTTAAATTTGAAGGTGTAGTTTCAAGTGCTAGAATGTATTGGTTGGCCATTCATGATATTCGAGAAGGAATCCTGGCAGCAGAGATGCTTTAGTTGGTCTCTTTTTCGTTCAGTTTTAGCTATCTCATACATATGCAGGTTATCAACTCACTGTAATATACCCTGAAGTCCAGTTGTTAATTAATCTTCTACCTTGACACTGTAAGAGATGTAGTCAATGATAATATGTGGTAATATGCAGAGAGAGCACAAAACTATGTTTAGCTTGGAAAATACATTTGCACAGAATGCACAACAATTTTAAGCTCTTAGCTTTGGTTGGCAATACATGAACTTTCATGTGGGACCTCCACCTCAGCTTCCATTTTCTGAATAGAAGCTTAAGCATGCTTATGATTGTTGCTCCATGTTAATGTTGTCATTGCTGAACAGGAAATCATGGCTTCAACATTCGGTGCCACTTCTACGGTTGGCCTCATGGCTGCGCCAACCGGAATTGTATCAGACAAGAAGCCATCTTCTCTATCTTCGGTGTCATCTGTTTCTGTTGCCAGCCGACCACGCAATGCACGCCTTCAGAGGAAGTGCAACTTCAGGGTAAAAGCTGCCAAGGAGTTGTACTTCAACAAGGATGGCTCGGCTATCAAGAAGCTTCAGGTGAGCTCCAAAGTTCTTGGACACATCTTATCAAATTTTGGTCACTATGATTCTTAGCCTTGACCAGGCACTCATTAGTTATTTCTACATGTCAGACTGGAGTAAACAAGCTTGCTGACCTTGTTGGAGTTACACTGGGACCAAAGGGAAGGAATGTTGTTTTGGAGAGCAAGTATGGGTCCCCTAGGATTGTCAATGATGGTGTTACAGTTGCAAGAGAGGTATATTACAGTGTTTATTGCGTCAAATAGCATTGAATTTCCTTACAATTTGCTTGTTTGCTGTATGCTATACTTCCACAGAAAAAAAATGTTTGTTTTGAAAAGTAAAACAGTCTGCACATTTGCTCACAAGTTTCATGCGCAAGTGTATTTCTGTTTACTATTGCTGGTTGCATTTTTGCACACCATGTTCTATCATAATTACCTTTGTGGGTTCTAATATATGATCCTCTGACAAGATGAACTAAAGTTTGATAGCTGGTCATTGACTTAACTATAGTGATTGTGCACCATTTGTTTTAGTCATGATATAAAGAATTTTTCAATTTTATTTTCTTATTGAACAAGTCAACTGGAGGTTTCTGGATTATCTGTGTAACCTAGTTCCAGAATTTGAGCAGAATTTTCAAGTAACGATCTCTGTACTGCAGGTTGAACTGGAGGATCCTGTTGAAAATATTGGAGCTAAGTTGGTTAGGCAAGCAGCAGCAAAGACCAATGATTTAGCTGGAGATGGCACAACTACTTCTGTTGTGCTTGCTCAGGGGCTGATTGCTGAGGGTGTTAAGGTATGCTATTAGTTGAGACATGAGACCTCTATTACTTGTATGGTCAATCTGTTAAGAGTCGTTAATTTGTGAACTAAGTGAAAATAATTCATTTGCTCTTTTTCAGGTCGTTGCAGCTGGTGCCAATCCTGTGCAAATTACACGTGGTATCGAGAAAACTGCGAAAGCACTAGTTGAAGAGCTAAAGAAATTGTCAAAGGAGGTAAAATAATCGTCAGGCTCTAATGCTTTCAGAATGTTTTAGTTGTGGTTGTGGCAACCTGGTGTTTGTTGCAACAATGCTTAGCTAGACTGAGTCAAATCAGATGATTTATCTATGTAGTATATGCTTTTTTTTGTTCTACTTATAAAAAACATTTTCTTGCTTTAGGTTGAAGACAGTGAGCTTGCGGATGTTGCTGCAGTCAGTGCTGGCAACAATTATGAAATCGGTAATATGATAGCAGAGGCTATGAGCAAGGTTGGCAGGAAGGGTGTGGTTACCCTTGAAGAAGGGAGAAGTTCTGAGAATAATCTCTATGTTGTGGAGGGAATGCAGTTTGAACGTGGTTATATCTCCCCGTATTTTGTAACTGACAGCGAGAAAATGTCTGCAGAATATGAGAACTGCAAGGTAGCTTCAGCCTGAGCACACATACCCCTGCTGTATGCTGCTTTAATCTGTTTCAGTTTCTTATTGCACTATGTTTCCACTATTTTTCAGCTTCTTTTGGTGGACAAAAAAATCACCAACGCAAGGGATCTTATCAATGTTTTGGAGGAGGCCATAAGAGGTGCATACCCAATTCTGATAATTGCTGAGGATATTGAGCAGGAGGCTCTTGCTACTCTTGTTGTCAACAAGCTTAGAGGGTCATTGAAAATTGCCGCTATCAAAGCCCCTGGTTTTGGTGAGCGCAAGACCCAGTACTTGGATGATATTGCCATTCTAACTGGAGGTGAGGTGGACTTGCGATCTGGTGCATTTGGTTGGGTGATCATTAATGCTGCTTATTTATGATGATTCTGGAGCATCTGGCTGGATGATTAATGCTGCTTATTTATAATGATTTTTTTTCTCTGCAGCAACTGTAATCAGGGATGAAGTTGGGCTGTCACTTGACAAGGCAGACAAATCAGTTTTAGGAACGGCTGCAAAGGTGGTCCTTAACAAAGAGTCAACAACAATTGTTGGTGATGGCAGTACACAGGAAGAAGTGACTAAGAGGGTTGCACAAATAAAAAATCTCATCGAGGTATGTTATATCTGTTTACCATGGTTAATTTGGCACAATAGTGCCTCGCAAATTTTTTTTTTTGGCACAATAGTGGTTCTATATTCCACCATTTCTTTAATCTAGTTATAGACTGTACATATCTGGAAATGTAGCTTGATTGGTTACATGCTTCATCTGGTTTCAAACTGAAAGCTTTCTCTATTATGAGGCTGTATATTGAATGTGTTGTTTGTACAAGAAAAGAAAAGCATCAGTCCTGCTCCTGATTGCTTTTTTATCTATCCAATTTGCAGGCTGCCGAACAAGAATACGAGAAGGAAAAGCTCAATGAGAGGATTGCAAAGCTTGCTGGTGGTGTTGCAGTCATTCAGGTATAATAAGAAATGGACAAAATGCCATGTTATCTGTATCTGTTCTTTTTCTTGGTTCTTTGTTTGGAAAGATAGATAGATGTGGTTATGTGGGTCGTAATCCAAGTTTTGTTACTTTTGATAGGTGGGAGCACAAACAGAGACCGAACTAAAAGAGAAGAAGTTGAGAGTTGAGGATGCCCTAAATGCTACCAAGGTTAGTCTGTTGTTATAACTGCTTTGAGATAGAAATAGATTAATGTTTGCTTCTTAAGGAAGAAAAATTAAGGTAGTTTGTTGCTCACTGAGTTGATATCAACGTTCTTCTGGCTTTGGATCTTTAAACCGCTTCCTCTTTGTCAGGCTGCTGTTGAGGAAGGTATTGTTGTTGGTGGAGGGTGCACTCTTCTGAGACTGGCAGCTAGAGTTGACGCCATCAAGGACAACCTGGAGAATGATGAGCAGAAGGTTTACAACCATGATCTACTTTATTCATTGTTTTTGTTCGAGTGTTCTATAAACCTCATCTCTCAAAAGTTCTGTTTTTGTGCCTGCTACTATGTATATGGGTTAGAAATGACCATCTCGAATTTGTTGTCCTTTCTAATTGACTTGTTGTATGTATTGCTTGAACTTTTTAGGTTGGAGCTGAAATTGTAAGGAGAGCGCTGAGCTACCCGCTTAAATTGATTGCTAAGAATGCTGGTGTTAATGGAAGCGTTGTTACCGAGAAGGTTAGATCTTGTTCACTAACAGAAAATCATATGTTCACATGTACATCTGAATAACATAAAAGATGATGTTTTACCAGGTTCTCTCTAACGATAACTTCAAGTTTGGTTACAATGCTGCAACTGGACAGTACGAGGATTTGATGGCTGCTGGTATCATTGACCCCACTAAGGTCTGTTGCTCCCCATTGATTTCCGATATTTTTGCATAAAAATTTAGATTGGTGGATTCCCTATATTTTAGCTGAAATAATTATAGCAGTGTGGACTGTGCAGTTACTTTTGTGTTCACCCTTCAGTTCTTACACATACAGCCATTGTTTTGTGTTGATGTTAGTAGTTTCTAATGAAGGTTCTAGATCCAAGGCTTAGTGTTGTGGTCCTAGAAAGATTGAATTGGATGCACCATACAATTTGCTAGGTTTGATTTAGTTACTGCAAGAGAGTGAAATTAACTTTGGGAAACGCTAAAGGAAAAGCATGAACACAAGTAAAAGAACATAGAATTAGACTGTAGCCCTTGCACATGGTTGACACACTACGATTGTTGATTCCCTTTTCCCTACCATGCTTCATGAGAACTGCGATGAGCTAAAGACTATGCTTTCCTGATGATGGGCAACAGGTGGTGAGATGTTGTCTTGAGCATGCTGCGTCGGTGGCCAAGACATTCCTCACATCGGATGTCGTCGTCGTCGAGATCAAGGAGCCTGAGCCTGCGCCCGTCACCAACCCGATGGACAACTCCGGTAAATGATATTGGCCAAACGCACTACACTTCAATTTCATGTGATCAAACACTCCCTGAACTGTTGCTAACTTTAAATCTGCTCCGTCTCTTTCTGTCCAGGCTACGGGTACTGATGACTAAGTTACAGTTACTTGTTCTCCGGGAAGGTCACTGGCCGTCAATTTTTGGGTAGTAGGCTTGAATCTGAATTTTGGTGAGATTTGAGTAGTTTCGAGACAATTTGATTTGTTCCCATGGGAAGTGAAATAAACAGGGTCACTATAGCAAAATTTGTGGTGTAACTGGAACGGCTGTCAAATTACGAAGGAAGATATTTGAAAGATTTCATGCTCTCTGGGGTTTACCGTTGACATTCATCCATTTCTGGCGTAATTTCCTACAGCATTTTCTTGGCAGGCAGGCAAAGCAGCGCAGCATGGGCTTGCACGTCTTCAACTCTTCATGCTTTGTCTGGTGACTCGTGTGCATCAGTAAGAATTTCATGCGAGTATACGTTTGTGATGACAGCAATATCCGATGAACTCCTGTATTATTACACGGACCGATGACTGATAAAGATGCCGCCGGCGACCTTTCACCGCTAGTGTAGGGCCTTTTTCTTTCACCGCCGGCGACCTTTCATCGGACGTCGCCGGAGCGAGAGAAGGTATCGTTAAGAGAAAAAAAATCGGATGAGTATTCTATCAAATGCCATATACCAAATCCGTTTTCTCTAATGCTGTAAGAACACACGCAAATTAATTTTAGTTCAGTAGAAAAACTATTGCGCTCCATCAGTTCTCGTCGAGAGAGAGGTTAAAAGGCAGTCACTGAACATGGGGCCCACATGTCAGTTAGAACCCAAGAGGAGAGCTCGTCGATCGATTCCCCCGCGAAACAGAAATCTCGCTCTCGCCGCCGCCGCCGCCCCGCGTCTCCTCCTCCTCCTCCCTGGCCGGCGGCGTGAATTTGAACTACTCCGTCCGGCCAGCCTCCGCCGCTCCATGCCATATTCATCCCCTCCTCCTTAAATCCTAGCACCCTGACACCTCCAGTCGCCTTCCCTAGCCCTATCAACCCTTGTGTTTGTGAATGGTTGGATGGATTCCATCTCGGTGAATGATCTCGCGGGATTTTTTTTTGGGCACAATTGCGATCCGATCCGGGTATCCCACCGATCGACCGAAGCCGGGAGGGCACGGGCGATCAACTGGTTGGTTTATTCCGCGACCTCCACTTCATTCCATTCCACTTAATTCCTGTACGGAATTGCTTCGTTTTACTCAGTCTGGCCGATCCTAAGCATCTTTCAGTTTGTTGATCTTGATTTGTCTATGTCTACTCTATTTCGGGTTATATAAGCTGCAGTTTACCTCCCAGGATTTTTAACTGCGGCTTATGCTTTCTAGCACCCTCCGCTGTTAGCATTTGGATGTGTATGTCGTACGTGTAGCCAGTACCTACAATTAATTTCTGAGGAGATGGATTTTGGTGCTATTTTTCTAGTTAAGAGATGGATTTTGGTGCTATTTTTCTAGTTAAGCCGTCACTAGTAGGTTGTCCTTGCTTCCTGAAAAGCACCGGTAGATTGTTTGATACTTCTGATGACTTCTCCTGGTCAGTGTCTCTGAACATTGTACATGGTAGTCATACGTCTGAACTTTTTGACACAGCACATGTATTTGCTACTTGGTTTTGTTTGTTTCATTCTCCATTGCGTTATCTGCTGTCTATTGCATCTCCTGCATAATCTCACTTAATATATTACTCTACTGTATCTCCTCTGTAGTCAACAGTATAGGCTATAGCTGTATTAACATGGTCTGTCTATCTTACGTAAGTGATATGTCGTGTTAAACATTTGTTCTTGGCGGTGACAGAACATCGTCTTTGACACTTCATTGTGATCCCAATTAGAGACTAAAGGAATGCTTTCCAATGCAAAAGGTTGAGCTTACGAACGATCTTGTTTTTGCCACTAAGGAGATTCAGCTATGCTTGCCTACAAGATGATTTCTGACGGCGTTGATATACAAGGCATTACATCAAATACTATTCTGTTTACAAAATAAAATGAAATTGATTTTCAGTAGGCGGATACTGCTGGAGTTAATTCAGTAGACTACTTGTGATATCACCAAACTGCAGAAGCACTAGTCACTAAACACAGATAGATGTCCGATCATGTAGATTCTTATTTATGGTAAACCAATAAATCTGTACCTCTAGTTAAAGGTATATTTTTATGCCAATCGTCTAACTTTTGCTGCCCAAGTACTCCCTTAATTCCGTGAGGCAAATGTGACTACTTCCGGCATACTTGATGCCAGCCTGGTTTTAGGTCTAGTATGAGGCTTACACTATGTGCTGCATCAGCACTTAATTTAAGTCGATCTGTTCCAGATGGCTTTATGCCTCTTCTGTTATCCTGTGAACTTATGAATGATTCTGTTATCCTGCTCTAGTACTCGTATCTACTTTGTAGAAACAAAAAATTGTATTCAGTTTATCGGAATCTGGTGGTGTTGCAGGTCCGAAACAATGTGCTTGCTGATGTCACAATGTATATAGGATTGGCAACATGATCAGAGGCTATGAGCATGGTTATGTGCTGAAAATAACCTCTGTTGGTGATGGTAGGCAGTTTGATTGGGTTATTCTCCATAGTTTGTAATAGTTAGTGAAAAATAGATCAGTTGAGCATGAAAACTACGATATTATCGTCTAACTGGTATTATCTTCCAATTGCTTAGTCGCAGATATCAGTATTCTGGAAAATGGCATAAAATGTGGGCATCCAGTTCTGTTAATTGCTGGTAATATTGATCAGGACACTGTTTCAATCCAGTCCTTGTGGCCAATAAGATTGGAAGTGTATCGGAGTATGGAGACTGCAAGAAAACCTGGATGATATCACTTTCCAATTGGAGGTGATATGAGCTTCAACATCTATATACTGTTTTTTTCTTTCAAGAATACAACTCTATGTAATGTGAATAGTCAAGTGGAGATACACTCTAACCCCCCCCCCCCCTACACTCTTTCAGTCAGATTCTGTATCTATATTTCTCAATTTCTGATCTTCCTGCTTGCACTTATTACTACGATTGGCATGCAGGCTGAAAGTGAGCTCAAAGGAGAAGAAATTTTGGGTGGAAGATGCTTTGAATGCAATGGAAGTGTTATGGTTGGTACCCACTATAGTCCATATCAGAAGGTGAATGTTCTTTTTAGATCTTCAATCCATCACTCGTGGTGCATGTATTGTTCATCAGCCGTCAAATTCCCTGTGTCAGCATTTAGCAGTGTCAGTTCATATACTTCTGGCACTTTTATGAACTGCATTATTGTCTTAGTTGCACTACTTTCTTTTGTAATCCACTGCTAATTCAGTTAGTTGTTTGCTTTCTTGCTAGGATGCAGTGGAGAAAGCTATTGCTGTTGCTGGTGTCTATACTCTTTTGAGGCTGGCATCTAAAGTTGACTTCATCATAGAATCTCGAGAATGATTAGCAGAAGGTGGGTGAATGAAGCTATCATTTTTGCGACACATCGAAAGTGATTATTTATGGGTTCATCTTATTTTCTTTGGTGGAGATTATTTTCATGGTGGCATATTGTAGAACCTTTTTGGTCAATTAACAACAGATCGTATCGCCCTTCCTGTAGGTTGAGGTTGAAATTGTAAGGAAGGCCTTCAGTATAATCCCTGAAAAGGTTTGAAGTTTGAACACCATTTTAGTTACTCCAAGCATTATTAATGCATGATTCAATATTATGCGGCTGCGTACTACTGAAAATAATACTATTAGATCTCTACAGTCAGGTTCTTGCTAATGACAACTTAATGCTGCTACTGGCAAGTACGAGGACTTAATGGTTGCTGGGACTATTGACCCCACTAAGAGCAAGTTTTATAGTATAGTCCATTGCTAGCTCTAATTCATATATAGTCAATTTAATAGCCAATTCATATAATATTTGTTTACTATACTATTAATATCTGGTCCCACCTACCATACGCACATTACGTTTTGGAGTCCGTGCTGTAGCTGGCTACAAATCTATAGTCTGCTGCTTTTCTCTATCTTCTTTTATCTTTTTAAAATATGTTTACAGCTAGTTTATAGCCTTCTATTGTACCTGCTCTAAGGCATGCCATTATTTGATGAATTCTAGTTCCTGGTTACTGTATGGATCTTATCATTTCATTTAAGCCATGCTCAAATACTCACAATAATTTTTGTTAACTATTTTTCTCCTTTTTCTTTTATTAGTCATTTTATTTTTCATTCTGATGAGCTCATTACTCATTAGCCCCGTAGTAGTGTTTTCTTGGTCAGTTTAAGATGTTTGATAGTACGAAACATTAACCTTTCACTTACATATCCATACCCTAAATCTTTTTACTTATTATTTGTGCTTAGAGAGTTACTTTTGCAAAAGGAACATAATAGGCGGTGAGTTGAGGTGTCGCTTGGAGCATTCTGCATTGGTGGCAAATTAAGACATTCCTGGCTTGAGAGTTGAGACGTGGTTGTCGACGCCATAGAGAGCGAGAACGTACACCTGGTCTTCTGCAACCTGCAAACCAATGGCAGCTAGCTCTGGTAATCTCTGCACCTGATCCCATGCACGCCTTTGACTGTGCTATCTTGCAAATCTAGCATAGGGATACCACGTTGCAGAATATGGATTCTGATTGAGCAACGGCACTTGGCTTTTCTGTGAAACTGTGGCAACTAAATCTTTTGCTTACATACAGATAGGACGGCTGCACTTAGCAACACTACACCCGTAGCTAAGTGAAGTGATTTCATGAATGGGTGTAGCGTTTTCTTTAACCTTCAGTAAAAGAATACTTGATGCCAAATAGGAGTAGTTTTCAACTTAACATAGGGATAGAAAGTAAAGTAAAATGGGGGTGAGGGGTTCATTGGATACTCAAGAGAAGTCTGTGATTATGTAAGGCCCGGAATTTTAAACAGGTGCGTGCGCATTTGGCTTGTCACACACACATAGGATGCCCCCCTCTGCTTGGCTGCGTGTTCGCTTGTTTCTGCGTGCGCCTGCACAGCTGCAAATTTTCACCAGTGCCAGCAGTTGGGAGGTAGCAGTAGCAGTGGTAAACTAGCAAAGGCAAATTCACAGTGGGGGGCCTGGCTATCCATCCATCTCCTTGACCTTTTTTACCTGGAGCATGGAAGGAAATTCCAAAAACCCTCTTGAGCTCTTTCGTGCTTAGACAAAAAGAAAATACCGTTTGCTCCAAGTCCAAACCATTGTACTTTTACTGTAAGGCAACCCAAGCACACATATAGATACTGCTACATTATGTCTGCGTATGCATATAGTGACCGTTGTTTTGGGTCTTTGTGGTTGGTAACCACTCCTTGCACTGACAGTATGACTCTACTTATTAGACCTGTGCTGCCGTGCATTAGATGTAGTAGTAGTATAACGTTACTGCTAGTAGTATTTTGTTTGTGAAGGTTAGTAAAATAATTGATGGATTGTAAACAAAGTCTACCACTATAGTAGCAGTAGTAATACAAGAATAGTAAAAAAACACAAGATCCGGGTCGGCCGGCCTAGGGGTGGAAGGTGGCCGTCCACGCTCCGTGCAAATGTGATCTTCTTCTTCATCCTAGAGAAGAGGAGAGGCCAACGGCCGGCCATTAATATTCCCTCTTCGATGCCTGCATAAAAAGCTGTGTACTGTACTACTACCCCTCTCTCTCTCTCTCTCTCTCTGCCTCACTGGCACCTGTAGTTTAGCGCCGTTGCACGCTGCCTCTGTGTGTGTGACCTGGCTGGCTGGGGCTGTATGACTTTGCCTATTTGGTGCCTCGCTGTACTCTTGGGCCCGGGGTCTACTTGCGAAAAAATTTTTTAACCAAACAAGATGGAGGAAAAAGGGCAAGGATTGAGGAATATCTCTGTGGTGGAGATGGGTGATTATACTTGAATTTGCTGGTGTTTTTTTTTCTCATTACTTTTGCACCTCCAATCTTTGCAACTTTCCTACCTTTTGGGGAAGAATTAAATGTCTGTTCAAGTCTACAGGGGAATTTAGGCCCTGTTTAGTTCACACCAAACTTTCCCCAAACTTCCAACTTTCCATTACATCACATCCAAAACTTTCCTACTCACATAAACTCCCAACTTTTTTTTCCAAACTACCAACTTTCCCCAAACTTCTCTCCAATTTCAGAAACTAAACACACAGTTAGTTTTTTTTTCTATGCACAGAGTTGAATAGAAATTTCAGTTACCCCAAGATATACTATTTTACCAGCCATGATTTTTGAATCAGTAGTGCATTAGACATATCCCACCAACAAATGAATGTAGTTGTAGATTATCCCCCAACTAATAATGTGCGTGTGCAATGATTCTGTCATTTGCAAATTGCAATTGCCGCCTCAAAACGCAAATGCCAATATGTGACACCTGTGAAGTGAAAATGGTGTTGGCATCATAAAATATTTAACCAACCCCAAAGCATGGGTACCTTCTAAGTTAGCCACACAACTAATTTAACAGTGTACTGCTATCACACAGCTGTACAACTGGCATATCATTGCTATACACCAGTACAAAGTGCTCGTGCCCACCGTTTTATGCTGTAATCTCTCTCAACAACTGAATAGAAAATCAACCACAAAACTCCAGCTGGTCAATTCTTAGGGATATTCTTGATGCGGCGAAAATCTCTGAAAGCCAATCTTTGGTGCCACCTGGGTATTGTGCACTTTGTACTTTGAGCTGGAACGAACGGCTTGTGTCAGTTTTGGCCGTTGGTAAGGGACAAACAATACTGGAGAAGAGTATTCATTTCCCTCCTGCAATATCTTCTCACAGTGTAGTAGTATGGTCTAATGCGATCCATACGGAATTGTACACAGGAGTACATCCACATACATAGAATTGGGTGGTGGCCCCAAAAGTACTCTCCATCTACTTGTAGTAGCCTAGTATAATACTGGAATGTGATGTTTTACTAACTTTGTAAGCAAATCATGCATGTAGCCATGTAACTTAGGCTCCTTTGGCACATGGTAATTTTCAGAAAGTTGTTACATTCATCCATTCATGTAAAATCCATGCATTTCTAGTATCTTCAAAAGGAATATATAGGAGTATATTTCACACCATTGATGTGTTTATCTTGTGTCTTACAATACTCCTACCTAAACTAGTTCAGTTGGTTCCAGCGGGGGATGTTAATACATGCCGCATGAGCTATCAGTCATGATTGCAGCCAACATGTAATTGTAATGCTTCTCCAACTGAAATTGTCGAGTTGGGAGGTGACCCTGACCTGCACAAAAAGGTGAAAAAAAAGAAAAACAATCTTGCAGAGAAAGTTCTGCAATATTATCCATCGAGCAAACCAAAGCACAGGTAGGAGAAAAACTCCCACATGTACATTACCTACTCACTACCGGCCAGATATACATATATACAGAGTAGTGTGTAGCCTGGCTAATCAATTACTAAGAGAAAAAAAAAACCTCCAATGTTGCTGCTAGCAATCTTCTACCCATGCTCATGCAAAGGACAGCTACTGAGAGCAAGTTTAGTAGTACAACCCACTACTTACTATAAGCCAATATTAAAGCTAACATGTATAATAGGTTAGCTATAAGGTTAGCTTTATTTTTTTTTCATCCTCTCTCTTTATCTCTCTATGAATTTAATGCTTATTTCTTGGAGCTTGTGTGGAGCTAGCTCTTGCATGAGAGCCATCACTCCCCACTTTTCTTTATCTCTTCCACATAAGCATTTAGCTTGCTTATAGCTCACCATTATCCTTTCTCTCAGAGATTGTTGCAAGGGAGGAGGATATGCATTGTTTTTTATCTTTAGTTTTTTCTTTAAGCAAATAGGGTAGTGTAGTACTTTGGGTCATGGGGAACAGCAAAAACAGCTGTCTGGGGTTGCATATGATTAGTAGGGCAAAAGCTAGTGAGTGTGTGTGTGTGTGAGAGGGAGAGTGTGTGTGCAAGAGGGAGGAGGGGCCTTTTGTGAAAATAATGATAAGTTTTGGGGAGCAAAAGGTGAGAGGGGAGAGGGTTTTCCAATCCAGCTTCCAAGTCAAAAGGGTCGCCCGGGAACGAAGAAGAAAGCTCAAAGCTAAGCTGGGCTGGCTGCTGCGGGCATGCCAGCATCATTGCCGCTCTTTTCTGCTCTGTTGGCATCCGAGACGCCTCCTCTGTAAAGGCACACCAAAGCTCTCTTCTTGGACCCTCAACAAAAATTCAGCAACTGCAAATACTATTAGTTATTATAGTTATGTCAGTTAGTAGTATTAGATACAGGGATCAATTATCCCTTATTTAATTCTCCCTAATGATCCTTTTCTGTGTTTTGTTTACTTTCTCTCTGGATATATGGTGTGCCATTCACAAAGTGATTGACTTGCTTTATTTCATTGAGGATTCTTTCCAACCTTGTTTAGGCTCTGGCTTGTTTGCCCGTTGATTGAGTTGGTCCAAGAATCAGGATATATGATATTCATGACTTACTGGAAAGCTGTTAAGCAACAGCACTAACACTGGTACTAAGCTAGGCATGTTCTTTTACCAGATCAGATAATTTTCATCTGTTTACTTTCTGTTATGTGAAAATGATCCGAGATTTATTGCTGTGGAGAGCACACAAGCTGGAAGGAAAAGATGAGTATGGGTGCCATTTTTGGGCTTGGAGGGTGGTCCTTTTCTCTGCTGTACATTTTTTTTCTACAGGATCCCTGCTGTACAATGGTAGTAGCTTCTTGCTTCAATCAGGGCAAATGGAGGACAGATTTTAGCTTGAGCTAACATGTGAGCAGGCTGCTGGCCACAGTGCATGTTTGCACACATGGTAGGCCCTTAACTGAGTGGACTGAATGGGGGTAAGGTAAGGTGAAAACCAGACTCTCAAATTCACTTTCATTTTTTCCAGTTCCATTGGAAGATGTTTCACATGAAATCCAACTGCATGATCCTAAAAGGCACTTATTACTCCTGTAGTACATTGCTTGTAACATCTCTAATAATGCGCGGGTCATTGTCGCCGAAATCTTAACCCGATTCCCTTTTATGTGTCTGTACTCCTATTAGTATATACTAAAACATCCATGTTGTTCATGAAAATGGCTCATTGCTGGTGACATGCTGATGATCGCATCACGGGCGTATCGCTGTCCGCAGCAATACGTTTTGATGCGAACTGAAAACATTTTATCTGTACTCGCATGCCTGCTTCGTAATGTAATGTAATGCTTGTGATGTTATTGCAAGCGATGTTTGATATAATTGCTTGGTTTTATGTCATGACAGGGAAGAGAGGGAGGTGGTCGCCGTCATGGACTGATGAGGGCCGTGCGTGTTCGTTCGCCAGGCCAGGACAACCCAGCAAGCATGCTAACTGGTAAGCATCCATCAAAGCTTTTCTCTGGAAAACAAAACTTGGCCTCAGAAAGTGGGTTCTGATGAAGAAAATGGGTAGGAAAAACAGAAAAAAAAATGGGTAGGAAAATGAAAGGGGAGATGGTTGTAAAACCCTTATCCTCCCATGGCTCCATGCCAGGGAGGCATGGAGTGATGGACACAGGTCAAGAGGAGAGGTGCAAGTGCAAGAAGGCTGTTTTCTTTGTAAACCAGCTAGTAGTAAAAACTTGCAATTCTCTAATCAGTGAGCCAGTGACCCCTCCTGGGTGCAGGTCTCCTAGGAGATAGGGCAAGGGAAATGAGGCCAGGTATCCAAAGGCCCATGTCTCTATTTACCAGGAAATGCTATGGGTCCCCATCCATGCCCCCCTAAAACAATCACTGCTTTCCTCCTGGAACAAAACATACTATTATAACTTTATAAGGGATGTAAACATGTTGTATGGTAAATTTAGCTAGCCAGACATGATTAATAAGGATATGCGCTTTACAATACAAAGGGGTGTTGTGTAGTATGAAAGATGACTATATTGTATTATAATTTGATGATATCTTTAATGCAATAGGTTTATATTTAATCATTAACAAGCACAAGTGATTATAGCTATGTTAAAATGACTAGTTTTATGATCTTCTATAATCGATACGAGAAGACAGGGCAGATGTCCCTTTTGCCAACCATTCAAACTCATCTCGTTTGATAACTACAAGATTGACCAACTCTACTCTTGAACTTATGCATATGATCCATAAAAACCCAAGCATATGTGGTGGTCACTATTCTAGAAGATACCAACCTTGTGAACTATTTCGTCTCATGTGCTGCTAATATGCTATATACGAGCTACGTGTTGAGTACCTGGTATATTTTCACAACACACCAATATCTCTAGTATTTCACCTCACTGCATAAAATCGCAAAACCACCAAAGAACACCCTAATACGGCTGCAACTACCACCATAAACATTTGGCCATATGTAAAAACAAACGTCACCAAATCACAAGGGATGAAGTCACAACTCACAAGTCATAACCTCCCAGCCCAACCAAGGAGGAAGGAGGGACTTAGGCCAACTCATCAACACCAAACAGTGTCCACCCTCTCTTGGTCCCCCTAGCAGATCCCACCCCCATAAAACTGCCCCTCCATTGGTTGGCTCCATTGGCACAAGCACAAGGCCCTCCACTTCTCTCTTCACTCCCTTCCAGCTCCCCCCAAAACCCCATTTCATTCCAACCTTTCAAATCCGCCATCACCACCTTTTTTTCCCCACACACACACACACACACACACACACATATACACATTGACACATAGCAGTAGTGTGTGTAGTACTAGTACAAACACACACAACACAAGCTTCTCTCTTCCCTTCTTGGTTTTGCCCAAGAAACGAAAACCAAAACCAAACCCAAGAACTCTCCTCAAAAGAACCACCTCACTTCATAGCTCTCACAAGGCTCACGCACACATAGAGCTTGTGAGAGCTTCTTCTTTCTCTCTCTCTTGTCCTTGTGGTAGCTGGTGCTTAAAGGAGGAGGAGGTGAGGAGGAGGCGCAATGTCGGAGCAGCCATTGCCGCAGCCTCGGAGCAGCATGCGGGAGGCGCTGGAGAAGGAGGACAAGGAGAAGGCGGCGGCGGCCAAGGAGAAGGCCGCCGTCCCCAAGAACGGCGGCAACGGGGGAGGAGGCAAGAACGGCGGCGGTAACGGCGGCGGCAACGGTGGCGCCGGCGCCCAGCCCGGGGAGGAGACGACGAGGGAGATTCAGGTGGTGAGGGAGGCGTACCGGAGGGAGCCGGCGGCGCCGGCGTACGTGATGCCGGAGGAGCCGCCGGCCATGGTGGAGCTCGTCGGGTGGTACCTCTACGGCTTCTGCTCCTACTTCATCACCCACCTGCTGCTCCCCGTGCTGTTCCCGGCCATCATCACCCAGGTCGCCTTCCCCGCCTCCGACTTCACCCCGGACACCAAGTACATCGTCAAGGGCGCCACCTGCTCCATCCATGAGATGTCCATGTAAGAGAGACTCAGCTCCCTTCCCTCCACTGTTTGTTCAAATCTTTTCACTTCTTCTTGGCTGTTTTCTCTTTGTTTTTTTGAGGGGGTTTGGTGGGGTTTTTTGGTTTGAGTTTTGAAGGGGTTTTCAGTTTGTTTCCTTGGTGATTTGTTTTGTTTTCTTCTGGGTGTATTTTTCTCACTCCTTTTTTTTTTCCTCTCTTCAAAATGGTTGAGAAAAATACTTGCATCTGTGTGAGCTAAGCTAGATTTACCAAGTTACTATCATTTTTCCCCCTTGTGTTTGCACTGGAAGTAGTACTATTAGTATTTATTCTTTCCTTTTTACTAGAACTTTGAGCAACTTGACTAGTGATGACTCTTGCAGTGAGGTTTTTCTTCTTTCCTAGTGTTTCCCCTCTCTAGCTCCTCTTGTTTAAGACCTCTACAAGCTTATGTCTCCGCTTTTTGAAGTTTCCACCTGATGTCTTCCTAAAATATGCTTCTTGTTTTGTACATCAAACGAACAGGCATAGTGCACTTAGGAAAAAAAAACTTACTCTTTTTTCTCTGTAGTTTTCTTGCTAGTCTCTTCTCTGCTCTTGTTCTTGGTTTGAAAGTTTTGAGCTCGTTTTAACTTTACATCGTCCTTCATCTTGTGATCTGTACTCGTAGTTCTCTACTCCACCTTTTTTTAACCTCTTTTACCCACACATCTTCAAGGTACCCCAAATGTGAAAATAAACTGGTGTATAGTACTTCAAAGATTGGATTTTTCCGGGCTGCACTTTATATGTGGCGTATATGCAAAATCCTAAAAAGAAATAGCCCGTGATTCCTGAGATTCCATGTTTCTTTGCTCTCCATTATTAGCAGATAAGAGATTCTTGTGCAAAGCTCCAAAAGATGCTACTGTTTGGTCCTAGATATTGTTCAGTGAGGCTATTTCCCACATCCCACATTTCTCTTTTATTAATATATTTTCGTTTTTCCTGAGATTTTCTCTACCTAGACACGTAATGAACTGCATCTTTTTTTGTCAGTTTCTTTTTGTTGTACTACTACTAGCTGTGCTCTTGTGACTGTGAGAGACAAGATTTCTTGGGAGGAGGATAAGGTCAAACAAGAAATCCCTAGGGGTGCCTTTGTAAATTTGTTTTAAAAATCTTCCGAACGTTGAGAAACATTAGGTGGTGAGATCGAAAATGTAGTACTGAATGGACAGTGGAAGCCATAAGTATGAAATTTATGAGGTACCCCAAGCCGAGGCCTGTGTGTCTCATTAAATATGGCCTGTGAAACTTGCTTCCATGCTTCAGATAACTAGCCATATTTCATTTCAACTACTAGTAGTACTGCAAAATTTCTTTTGTGATCCATGCAGTGCCATATACCCCTGGAGATGGTAGTAGCTCATTTCCTTGGCTGATAGATCTAGTTTGTGTAGCTGAGGGTTACATTGCTTTTGTCTCACTTTTGATAGAACCAAGAAAAAGAGTGCGCAAAAGCAGGGCCATGCTTTTGCCTATTCTCTTTGGCCTGCCCTCCTCCCTCCCTTTTATTTTTTTCTCTTTTGAACAGGAAAAGAGGCCCCTAAACCGTTGCAATTTTGCCTTTAACCCCAAATGCTGTTGAGGGCTAGCCGCATGACCAGCCAACTGGTAGGTGCACCACAGTATGGCATGCTTAAATTGCATCAGGCCAACTAACTGCCCTTGATTGCAAGGGAGATTGTTGATGCTACTTAAATGTGTCAACGTTGACACCTCAACACACAAAAGTTACCATCTTTTAACGGGTTAATCTGGTATGAACCCCTGGAATTCTAGCACGGTGACTTTCAGCAGGCAATGCATGTGCTTCTTGCAGTTTATGTTCACGCATTGTTTGTACACCCTGGAAGCTTTTACTGCATAAATTTCATAGCATGCAATGTTTACCTGTACATGTTCATGTGATGCAACCAAACCATCATGGTCACACCAAGTTTGTGAAATGTTGGCAGGTACCAGAGGCTGACCAAGCATTCGATTGCCATTGATGGATCCCGGCTGTCCCCGTTGGGCTGGAGTGGCCTATCATGGGCGATTGGAATCCTCATTGCGGCTCCGATCCTCACCCAGGCTGCACACCACCTTGACCGTGGCCAGTATCAGTCGCTCATCCTCATTGCCGCGACATCGTTTGGCTCATTCTTCTGCCTCCTCACTGGCTTCTTCAAGACAGTCTGGGTGTTCCTCTTCTACATCCTGTTCATTGGTGCATCCATCATTGTTGCTGAGGCTGTGCATACACGCAATCTTGGACTCATGATCCGTGGCCTTGCAGCACATGACTCTGGCAAGCACCTTGTCCTTCGCCGTCGTGCTGCTGCCAGTCAGCTCACCCTGTATTGCACTGCCATTGGTGGCATTGGGGCTGCGCTCATGGCTGCTTTCATGTACCACATGCTTCGGCGCACTGACCAGCTCACAGGCCTTTGGGTCGTCTCCATCTTCAGTGGCCTTATCTGGTTCATTGGTATCTGCCATGGTCTCTTCACAAACCGACCCAGCAGCTCATCGCCCACCACAGCATTTGAGCCTAACTTCTTCACCAAGCTCAGCTACAGCATGACCCTTGTGCGATACCCACAGGCCATCGGAAGCTTGGTTGCAGTGTTCCTTTCATCTTTCGCCACAATGTGCATCTTCACCAGTGGCACATTGTATGCTATTGGTGGTGTTTGCATCAAGCCAGTCCTTGTGCTCGTGCTCTGGATACTCTACTTCCTGTTCCCGTTGATCTCACTTCCGCTGCTGCACCCAATCCAGATCATCATCCGTGCTGATGCTGTTCGCATGCAGCTGCTTGGGTTCATCATCTGCCTATTTGTGTCTGGTGCTGGTTTCTACTTCAAGAGCCACAGGTGGAGAGCCGCTCACATCATTGTGATCGCTCTTGTCCAGAGCACAGCCAATGGTGTGCTGTACTCATTTGGTCGCATTCTGCTGCTCGATGCCTCGCCACCAGGGAAGGAGGGTGCTTTTGCGGTGTGGTATGCATTTGTACGCTGCATTGGTGCTATGATTGGCTTCGCTGCTGCATCCGCTGGGCCTGGGCGTGCTGGAGGATCGTTTGCTGCTGCGTTCCTAGGCAGCTTCCTCGGCATCATTGTTCTGATCTTTGGTAATGTGAGCAACATCGGGGCGCTGAAGGCTGCTGGGCATCTGAAGGGAATGGAAGACGAGAAGAGGCTGGGCATGGAGAAAGGGGAAGGCATGAGTGCGGTTGCCGATTCCGGCGAGGGAAGGGGGAGGGTATGATGATGATTAAATGGGCTTGTGGGAAGGAAAGATTGGAAAATTGCTGTGGAGGTTGTGTTTGTGAGAGGGATTTGTTCTTCTTTCTTGTTTCTTTCTTGTTCATGTTTCAGTGACACTGTTAATTCGGTGCTTTGCCCCCCTTGGATGCATGATGATGATGACATAGTGGTAGAGGAAGTGTGCTAGTTGTTAATGTGTTATTCTTTGCTTGGAAGACAATTGTAACTGATGATATGGTTCTTTGTTCATCGCCACCGAAATTCTCTCTGGCAGTCATGCTTCGTGGTTGCTTTTCTGTTGAAAATGTGATTGTCAAAGTGAAATAAAACCCTTATATAATATTTCTATTGCATTGTGCAAACAAATTTGCGCAATCTTGTCACCTGATTTCTGGAGGGTGAAATGCAAGATACTATTGTCACTATTTCCTGTCAAAACAAGAATTATTAAAAATAAGTCCGGGAGCTGGAAACTGACCGGTGTACCAGGCAACATTGTTATTCCGGGTCAAATTCTATTATTTTTTTTCCCTGTACTCTATTTGAAGTTACCTTTGAATTTTCAACTTTGCCCAGCAGGTTCTTTAGGGTTAGGGTTTAGGGTTAAACTGAAAGAGCACTGAGGCTTAAACTGATTTCGTGTTCTTGAAACCTGGATAAGGGCTCTTTTAGAACGCAAGAGCAAGAATTTACAAGAAAACATAAAATCCCTATATAATTTCTCTATATCAAATAAAACATAAAAAAAAAAACTTATGCTAGGTATGCTGGATAGGTCATGTTATATCATCCTATGTATTTTTTCTTTTTCAGTAATTATATCATCCTATGTATTTTTTTCTTTTTCAGTAAATCTCTATTCTGAATTTTTATTTGCACGTTTCCCAAGCTCTTAAACGTCATGTTTTGTGTAAAATTTTCTATATAATTTTTTTAGAATATTTTTCTAAAGCAACTTTCCAACTTTGCAACTAGCTAATTCATTACTTCATATCCTCAAATAGCTATCACAGGAGTCGGATTATCCATAAATTTTAGCTATTTTGTTGTTCGGATGAAAATATAGATATTATCAACTGTTAGAGACACATGGATTTTGGCATCATTTGTGATGCCATCCTAATGACTTTTCTGCCAAATGATAAGGTTTGCAGTAGCCGTTGTAAACTGTCGAACCCTTGAGGATACCCTCCATACCTTTGTCGAAGGATGCATCCGGGCTTATTTCCAGACAAATGTGATGTAATCCTTCTGACTTTATCAGCTGATCATTGCACAAAACATTGTACTTCCAACCATTTGTTTAGTGTAAACATCAGCACAAATAGTTGAACACAAGCAGTTACTAGTTCTTACTTAAAAGCTCTGGATAATTTTTTCTATGTGCATTACGAATGATGATCACCTGACACATCCCCTTTGCATGACAGGTTAATGAAGGGTTTAAGAGAACAACCTCATGGCAAAATGAAGCCTTAATTTCTCTTTCAGAGTTTGTTGGGATGAAATCAGCTTTGTACATTAAATAGTTTGTATTATTTTTTCTCTAAAATCATAAAAGAGTTTGTTTTTGTGTTGTGTTCTTCTACCTCTTGCAATTAAAGAAAATGTACCTGCTCAAAGAATCTCTCACCTCATCAAGACATCAACAGCAGAAACACATCACAAACCAGGAGACGACTTATCCAAATCAACAACCAAATGGGACTGCAATTTAGCTCAAGTTGCAGTCCATCTACGGCAGAATTAACAATAAAAACAACAACAAAAAAAGAGAAAAATTTAAATAATGGTGATTAGGTCAAGAAGCATACGTACAATGAGGTTTACGGAGCCGTCCATATCAAGCCGTCTCGACGTACACATCGGGTCATGAGTAATTAGTCTCGTCGGCTGCATTAATATACTACCAGTACTACTACTAATGACTTCATTATTCTCATTGCGCATGAAGGGTGTGATGGTCAACTCGGTTAATTAATTACTATTTGGACAGATCATTTGGAGAATTTAGAAAAAAAAGTACACTATGATTTATGGGAGTTCATATATAGTCCAAAAGTTGCTTATGAAAATACTCTATTTGACAATTTGTGCCAATTCCATAGTCCAAAAGCCATCAATAAAGTGGACTATTGTGCAAGCTCTAGATGCTTGAGTGGCCATGAAATCATCCATGCATTTTTATAATTTTATTTAGTGGTAGACTTTGGATGCGTGAAGAGCAAAGTTTATGGGGGCGTATTAGAGAAGATTAATTGTGATTTTGGGGGTCCATAACTGTGACTTTTTCCTACCCAATAAAACAATTATTGATGGCAAAGACTAAACTATAAGCCAGGGAGGCAAGTTGATCTTCCCCCCTATTATCAGGATTTGTTTTTTTTTTGAAAATAGAATTTGAATTTAATCTTTTTACATATATACACCCGGCTACATATGTACTAACTACAAGTAAAGTAAAGATATATACAAAGAATTTGTATTATTCGAAGCTGAAATCATGCTTGAAAATTTCTAAGTTCCAAACAAAGCCTTGGACTAAAACTCATATTAATTGTCACTTCAACTTAAAACAAAGTAGTCAAGCATTAGCTTTACAGAAGAAACATGGTTAGCCATGTGTTGATGGACCACTTGTTGAGTTGAGAATAATTATACTAGTTTATGATGGTAAGGTTGGTTAACCTACTCAAGGAGTAGATATTTATGTGGTGTTGGCATGACATATTTAGAGGCAGGGAGACAGGGAGGCAAGCAGCATGGGTTGGGCATGATGATGAGCCCCTGTTTCCTAATGTGCCTGCCCTGGCCCTGCCAGTGGCCAGTAGTAGGTAACCCATGATTTCTGTGGGTTGCACACCATTGCTTGTTTTCCTCTCATCACCTCAAGAATGGAGTATTCTTGTTTTTAAAATATCACCCTAAGTTCTTTATTATTTTCTTTGAAAAAAAGAATAAAATGGCCATGAGTTATTTTCCAATGGAGTAGTGTTTTTTTCTACTGACTCCATTTCATAATAGTGCTTGGCAATATTAACTAACTAACTAACAAACAAATGGTTTAATTGACCACTGATATCTTTTAAACCGTTCGATCAAGTTGGATGGGACTAATATATTTAAATTTACCGTGTAACATACTTTACTAATATTACTTGTAGATTTATTTATAAAACAAGAGTAGTCGAACTAAAACAATGATAAGTTAAATTTTGAGAATTGTTACTATGAAACAGAGAAATTAGAAGAAATTCAGAAAGAGAAAGAGGGAGAAGGAGAGCATGTAGTATGATGATTGCACATGTGCAGTGCAGGTGCAGGGCCCCAGTGTCATCTCCTGCACTTCACTTGTGCCATCCTCTTCACTTGTGCAGTCTTTACTGTAAGAATTTTCTTGCAAGTTGAGAAGAAACAGACAAGGGGAGCTCTTCTTTCATACCGTTGCCAGCACGGCTATTCAAGCAAAGTCTCTTTGACTTTGACCTCCACGCTGGCACTTGCCCTACGCTTTGCTATCCCGTCCCAAACGTTTTTCTCCTGTTTCTACATCACTCCATCAAACCGCCCGTCTAACACTCCGAAGTACATAATCCGTACTTCACGTCGATGCCTAAAAACGTACTACTCCCCCACATTCCAATATTAATATACAACGGACTATAGGATTAGGTTTTTTTTTTTAACAGAGCAGTAATATACAAGGTTGCACTTATATTAATATGGTGGGATTAAGTATTTATAACCATGACTTAAATTGAGATGTACATAAATCATTTTCTTATAGATAATGGATTGTTTCATTAGTCAATAAAAACATCCTACACCTTTACATCAACTCATCAAGGATGCACACATGCAGTAAAAATAAAAGTGAAAGAAAGATGAAAAACCGTAGTAGGTAACATGAACATGTCATGTTGTCTAGCGATATTTTGCTCTATTACAATCATGAAGAGAATATCGGGATTATATGCTATACTTTGGAACAACGCCTTCAGAAATAAAGATCTTTTGATGATGTCAATTTCTAAAATGTATTTGAATTTAATGGCATTGCCTTCTAAAATCAAAGTGACCAAAGAATTTTTAAACTTAATTTTGATTTATTGTATTTCACCGTAGTTTATTTTTTTAGCATTGACTTTTAAACCACGAATATAAATATAAAAGCTTTATCTATAAATTATTTTTAATATCTTTGTTTGTTTTTCTATGACATACCAGCCTAGCTTAACTGCTTAAGTGCTCAACCGATCAGACACTTCGTATCCGGCTTTCTATAACAAGCAATTGTCCTTTTACCGTTTTATCTGCTATTGCTTGTTATAGCCGTTACGCTGAATTTACCACAGGTCACTCACGTATAGATACTAATACTGTAGAGTGAGCTGTAGTAGCAGTAAACGTCGCTTAAAAGGCGGGAAAAGCTACCGTTGCAGGCAACAACACTGAACTACATGCCGGCAATTGCCTGTCTTCTTCTTGTTTTAATCATTCAATCACCTCGTCTTTTCTTGCTTAATCCATCCCTCTGGCCTCTTCTCTTCTTCACCTGCCATCCTCATTACTTTACTCCATTGCATTCTTGTTTACAAGCTTAATCACCATAGGTTATTACTAGTCAGTGTTAACTAATGCAAGTTGATAATAGCCGTTCTCTGATCGCCGGTTGGAAGGTAAAGATATGAAATTAAGGAGTTGACCAGCGCAATTTCTGCACTAGACAACAAACTGATGTTTTGGAGTCATTCATACATCAGATTATAACTAATCAAGATGCCTCTAACCCAACCAAAGCCTGCGTGTTCTCTTATCTGCATTAAGCCCTGCTTGCTTTGTTGTTTCTTTCAGGAAGAATGACGAAACTTGAGCCGGCAAGATTCCTTCCTGCATCAGGTTCAGTTCAGAATTGTAGTTTAAGAACAAGTTTCAGTTGATCAGCAGCAGCATCAGCTGAGGCCAAATTCTCCTGTTTGTCAATGCTCTGGCCAACAGTTTCAGATCATGATATTATTATCTAAAAAAGATAGTTTCAGATCATGGTCAGATTTCAGAGGGTAAGAAAAAAAAAGTAAGTGATAATAATAATACAATTGGTTAAGGACAGTTTTAACAAGTAAGCTCACACCTGACCTTGAGAGCAAAAGTTCTAGAGCTGCTCTGATTCAAAAGGCCAGCCATGCTCAGATTGCTTTATGATGTCCTTTTGATTAATCAATCCAAACTAAACTGATACTAGTACTGCAAAGTCATCACCAACACGAACAAAAGAAAATAAGAAACAAGAAAGCAAATTAAAGGACAGAACAGTCAAAGCGAGCGCGCCAACTCTTTTTGAACGGCGGAAAAAAGAAACAAAAACCAGCACAAAAGGTGAAGGAGGAAGATGAACTCATTCCTCAATCCTCCAGCGTTTACCTGTCGCTGAAATTGGGGCGACCCTGCAAATCTCTGAAGACCAGGATGATATTCAGATTTGTCCATACAAACTATTATATTGTTTTTGTAAAAAAAAATCAGATTAACTGTTGAATTAGATTGTGGTGGTTTCAACTTTCAGGTGTGGAGTCAAGAACAAGTCATGTGAATGCAAAGTGCCCAAAAAGCCTAGATTTGAAGTCACATAGGACACCTATCCTGAGCACTAACTGAAATCTGTTGTCACTTGATGCATAAGATTTGTGTACCCATGACAGCCAACAATGGCTGGATAATGTTAGACATATTGGTTGACATCACACCAGGCCACGAATTCCTAATCCCTAATCCTTCTTCCTTTTAGTGCCAAAGTTGGTGTAGGAGCAGTAAACAGCAACATGAGTATGTCCTAAGAATTCAGAGGTACTGTAGAAATGATTAACATATCTTCATTTATTTTACTGTTCTACTAACTTGTATTAGCTCAAATTAATGCCTAGCAATCCTTTGATGGGTTTTGCAAAAATTAAAAAAAAACGTACTTTTTTTCTGTCCAAACTATAGTTGTTGTAGGACAATAGTTTATAAACTTTTCCTATGTGCGACATGATTATTATTTTGAAGGTGATTGGAGGTTACAAAAAAAACTTTCTCATGCAGTAGCTTTCAGTGTGAACAGTAAGAGAACTTACACATGACATCTTCCATCTAGAAGTGCAGGTATCATGAAGAAAAAAAAGGACATGGCAACAAATCCATTTATTTCAGCCAAAATAGATTATGTAAGCAGCAGCCAGCCATCTCTCTGCAATCTAGATAAGAAAAGAGAAAAAGAAAGAAAATTAAAGTTGAGGTGACAAGTGCACATAAAAGTCTTTTAAACGTCTAGGTATGAAATTATGTGATCCTTTCGCATCTTCCAAACTCCAATCCGTCTCATCTGCTCCTCCTCACATCATTTTCGGTTTTCCTGTGAGCGATGCAAAGTCTACTCTTGTGTGTGCATGTGTGGAGACTCAGAGACCACGATTCTCACTGCAAATATATCATTTTCTTTCTCTCTTTTTTTTTCACCACCGTTCAACTCTCTCTTTTTGACACAACAGCGATCTCCCTGTCGTGTTGTCAACTTGTCATTTAGGAATATGTGTGTGTGTTTTTCTTACTGGATTTCACCTATATATTTTGTTCATTATGATCTGTACTTTTTCCATGTTATCAATTTGAAGGTAGCCAGGGTTTTTGGGATTCACTGATCTTACTTACCATCTGAGTGCACACTCACAAGAACCATAAAAAGGCCCTTGCATGATGCGTCTTCCATGTAATCGAAAAAAATAGCTCCTGCAAGACGACAAACCATTTAGTTACCCATACTCTTTTCGTACATGGTATCTCCAAACCTTGTCACATAATATTTAATTCAGTTCTAGAACCGGTTGACCCCAAAACATAAAAGCGGCACCCTCCATTTCCATCTAGTGGTAGTCAAATACGATGAAAAATCCGGGTGCAGGCTAGACTTGAATTTGGACCCGGCGTACATATCTACATACAATTTGGTCAATACTCTCAATCTTTTCCATGAAAAAAATCAAAACTTGTCCAACTCATGACGACATAGAAGCTGCATCTGATGGTCACATTCAGCTGGCTGGGTCTGGAAGTACAACCGCTGGGCCAGTGTTGATTTCTTGGCACACCAAAGCCAAAGAAGGCCACAAGGTTATCTTCAAAGTCTCAAGTCTAGTCTTGTTCCATATGAACACTTGCCCTGTTTGTCATTTCTCTTTTTTTTTTCTCACTTGATGCAAATGTTGCAACATCATCAAGATGTTGAGGCCTCACAGGGCTCCAAATGATGGGGCATGCTGGAGAGAAATTAAAAGGTAAAAAAAAAAGAGAGGACAAAAGATGATGCTGATGAGCTTTATTCCAGTCATTGTTAAACAGCAACTGGCCGGCTAGGTGTGCCGTTTGGTTTTCCATATTGGCAACTAGGTGAGCATCAAGCCATTTTTGACCCAAAAAAGGGATCAAAGTGATCACATCTACATGTAAAAGAAGATAAGAGTTGTAGATTCTTACGGAGTACATTTTACTTTGGATGTATAATTGGAGTGATCTTTTTTAAAAGCATGCCTTCGAAAAAAATCTTGCTGATGAACTAGGCATGTGGTTGGTCTGAGAAACCACACATGTTTGGCTGCAAGAATACCTTTTTTTCTCTCAGTGAGATTTTTTTGTCCACATGAACTGTAAACATTGATAGTGAACCATCATTTTGAGGTCATGTTGGTTACAGGTAATACTGTAGCAAATTTTAGTTGGGCTTGCAAGAACAGGTGGTGAACATCAAATGATTAGCTTTATGAAGCTGTCTGGATGGTGAGATTAAAAATAGTTAGTAAAAGAGACGAACTTGTCTATTGTAGAGTGGATATGCATGTACTATTGATTACTGCCAATAAAAAGGACAGGACAGCCATCATAGTGGGTTAATTTAGAAGACTAGCACAAGTGCTCAGTGATTTGTTTGTGATTTTTTTTATTTTAAAAAAGAAGCTGAAAGTGAGAGGATGGACACAGGACAGGAGAATTGTCTGCTACTTGAAGCCTGATAACTACAGATGCTACAAACATAGATCTTTTGGCCCAGCCCAACATAACCAACACATATGAGCTTTAGGCCCAGCCCATGTAGCCAAATAGCCCAGATGGAATAACCAGAAACTGGCTAGGCTGCACCAGTGGTCTACTCTGCTGCCAACGATTTGTCTTGTAAATTTCAATAAGAAATCTTTTACTAGACAATCTTTTCTCTTGTAATCTAAATTGTAAAACAACTGAAGCTCAGATAAGTACAAGGAGCAGCAGAGCACCTATACATTCTGCATTTATATACATGATCAGTGTGACATACCATTGCAAGAATTTTCACTGGAAATGGGTTTCAGATATGTGAACTGATGACCCATAGATAGCATAAACCCCCAGAGAAGATCTCCTAGCGTATATATTCTTCCCTAATGCGTCTGAAAATTTGATCAGAGATGCATAAGTCATGAATTTTATTTAGGCCATATGATAATTCAGAAGGAGCATGTAGAGTTGGAGATAACTAATAGTGAAATCGAGACTAAAAATATCAACAAAATAATCCCTAACCCAAACTGCATGCATAAACAATATCATGGCCCGTGGAAATTAAATTCGATAACTGTATCTCACGAGATAGGTAGGTACCTGAGTGCCTGAATTTCAAATCTGTCGAAATTAAAAAAAGGAATACCCACTGATGAACACACACCTGAATGTCATATGCTCGTCAGAAATATATTTTTCCACTGCACATCTGCATTCGTCATACTGCTCGATCAGGTGGCCGGCTTACGTCATCGTGGATGCAGGATGCATATGCAGACATGGCCGGAGAAGGCAGCGACGGAGGCTGCTCGTCGCCGGAGATCCAAGAAGGCGGGGGTTCCCCTTGCGCGACTAAACAATACAATAGGAGATAATTGTAGGGACTTTTAAAAAAATAGACCAACTCCCGGTTTGATAGTGGATTTATGCATAAACACCCCTGTTCCCGTTCGAATTTACATAAGGAAACCTCCACTGAACTGCACGCAAAGTTTAAGAAACGAATTCAACTTAACAGTTGGATTCCGTTTCGAATTAACAAGGAAGCAATCGGTTCGGAATAACAGTTCAAATTAGATCCGGATTCAATTCAATTCATCATGCAATAAATATATGAGCTCATGGCACCTGATCGGCAATCAATCACCAAACGTGGGTCGTCTCAGAGATCGATCAGCTTCAGAATTCGCCGTCGATCAATTTAGACATCTATCAGCTCGCGTGACATCATCAATGGCGGCGGCGGCAGAAGAGAAGAACAAGAAGATGATCAAGGTGATCAGCTCCGACGGGGAGGCCTTCGAGATGACGGAGGCGGCGGCGAGCATGTCGCGGATACTCCTCCACATGATCGAGGACGGCTGCACCGGCGACGGCGGCGCCGGGATCACTCTCCCCAACGTCGCCGGCAGCGCCCTCGCCAAGGTCATCGAGTACTGCACCAAGCACGCCATCGCCGCCGCCGAAGGTAGCAGCAGCAGCCGCAAGGCGAAGGAGGAGCTGAAGAAGTTCGACGTGGAGTTCATGGAGGTGGGCATCGACATGCTGTACGACCTGATCATGGCGGCCAACTTCATGGGCGTGGAGGGCCTTCTCAGCCTGGCGGCGCAGCGCACGGCGGAGCTGATCAAGGGCAAGTCGCCGGAGCAGATCAGGGAGATGTTCGGGATCAAGAACGACCACACGCCGGAGGAGGAGGAGCAGATCCGCAAGGAGTATGAATGGGCCTTCTAGGCTATCAGGGTTTAAAATTGTGGAACGAAATTCCAGTTTTATCGGAGGGGACCCCTCCGATATGATATTATTTCGGCCGAAATTTTAATTTTTTTTCTTTCTCTTTATGTACTAAAAAAGATGTCCGTGCGTTACAACAGGTGAATGATATTTTAATCTTATTATTGTTATGGTTTGGCTAGCGTGAAATTCACTGTGGAAATTCGCTTGGATATTTTTTTTAGAAAATCATGAGCTGTAATTAGGAGTCTGACATTAATCATTAGGAGTCTGACATTAATCTCAAGTTAGTATGTAAATTTTTTTAAAAAATATTTCTTATACGACTCCTTTTATATTTTCAAAAGCAAACAAGTTTAAAATCCGACTCAAACACAAATATGTATTTTCAAAAGTGAACGAATTTGAAAACCGACTCAAACACGGATGACGTACTAAAATATTGGCAAAAACATTTTCAATTTTTATAATAGTAGAGATTTGGTAATATTTTATTCAAATTTGACCAAATTTTGTTCGAACTTTTGGAAATTTCGGTATATAGACACCCTTTGCTAGAAACGCCGAAAACAAAAGATTGAACCCTGCCTTTTAGTAGTACTTACTAACTACGTATTACTACACTCTTCATCCTAAAATATAAATATTTATAATTATGAATTTAGACATGTATTTGTTCAAATTTATAGCCAACATTATTATATTTTAGGATGAAGGCAGTACATCATACAATTCACAAACTATAGTAGAGTTAATACCTCCGTCCCAAAATAATGGTCGCTTTGACTTTTTTCTTGCGACATTTGACCATTTGTCTTATTTGAAAAATTGGTGCAAATATATAAAAAAAATAAGCCATACTTAAAGTGCTTTTGATAATAAAGAAAATCACAAATAAAATAGATAATAATTCTATAATTTTTTGAATAAGACGAATCATCAAAAGTTAAAAAAAAACTTAAAGGGACAAGTATTTTGGGATGGAGTTAGTAGTTATTATTCAGAAGTAATTAGTAATTGATTTTGTGCAATTTATCACTCGCATGCATTGCCATTGCTTAATTACCTTGTCCTAATTTGTATTTGCAATGTACTTAGACTCGATATTCGATTGAATTCATGGAAAAAAAAGGATGCGCACGTAGCATCTGATCGGCAATCAATCACCAAATTAACATAGGTTATAGAGATCGGACAGCTTCTTCGCCTTCGTATCGATATTTTACGGTGCCGATCGAATAAATTATTTTAGTTAGGATTGAATAAATTATTCGGAGTCATGTGACCCCGGGTAATCGAACGTGGGAACACCACTACCCGTATCCGATGGGAAATGTAGCTCTTGATGTTTTTGGCGCCAAGATATCAATATATGGCCATTATATATCCCCCATAGAACAATCACATATACTCCCTCCGTTTTGAAATATTTGACATTGTTGACTTTTTAACACATATTTGACCGTTCGTCTTATTCAAAAACTTTTGTGAAATATGTAAAATTATATGCCTACATAAAAATATATTTAGCAATAAATCAAATGATAGGAAAAGAATTAATAATTACTTAAATTTTTTAATAAGACGAACGATAAAACATGTGCTTAAAAAGTCAACGGCGTCAAACATTTCGAAACGGAGGGAGTATAAGGAAAAAAAATCTAATACACTTAATTGTCTCTGTAGGAACTACTAGAGGGAATTCAGTTCTAATAAATCGTCTTGGTTCCATTATAAGGCATTATTATGCTTCAGTAATAAATATCCATATAAGTCGCTGCCTTTCTTTCACTACGCTGACAAAAATGCAAATGTTTTTTTGCTTCTGGCAACTGTGCTTCTGTTCCGCAACTAAAGCTGTATCACTATGTGCTATTTTATTCTGTTCTTGTCTGATGATTCTATTTTTATGGGGGAAATGAGCTGGACATGCTTGTTTCTATGGTTTACAACTGTTGTATGTCTATTTTGTTTATCTCTATTAGTATCAAGAGCAATTTGCCAATGGTCTATGTTATAATCATCATGGTTTATACATTATTTATTATTGGATTAAATTGAATGGTAATTTACTGAAAGATATTTCCAACATTATAAACCCCAAGAAGATCTTCCCTGGCGCGTGTGGAAGTTTGATCAGATATTAAGCATTTTAGATAAAGAAATTAAATAATCTGGCCCTCTTCACCAACCGAATGTATCAGAGATTAGCATTTTTGGATAAATAATAAGGCGGCCGAGAAGAGGGTAGATTTTTTTCTTCAGTTCTTTGCGCTCCAATCCGAACCGCACGCCTCTCATCTGACGGTCGCAGTTGAGTCGGTAACAAATTAACAAGGTGATAAGCGATCCAGATTTATGAAGAAACACCCATTCTTCTCTTCGAATTTACACAAGGAAACGAATTCATCTTAACGTACATTTGGATTCCGTTTCGATTTAACAAGCAAAGCAATCGTTTCGGAATAGCAGTTGAGATATTAGACTCGGATTCGATTCGATTCAATTCATGCAAATAAATAGATAAGCACAGATCACCTACTGATCATTGGCAATTAATCCAGGTCTGAGATCGATCGATCGATCAGCTTCTTCAATAACAATTTCGGGGACGGCTAATGGGCGATCGATCCCCTCGAGAATTTAGACTATTTACCATCAAATTCGCGTGCCTCAATTTTTTTACCACCCAATCCGTATGCCCTTTATAATATGTCATTAGGACTGCTAATTAGTTTATTTGGTACCACTTTTATCTATCTTTTTATCTATCTTTACTGTAATTTTCTTTTCTTAATTTTATTTGTATATATTTTCAAGATTTGTGGACATTTTTACCCCTGGGCCCACCTGTCAGATCAAAGAAAGATACTCTGGGTCTGGATCGATTCGCTCCCTCCAGGCGTAGCGCCACCGCCGCCGCCACGCGCTTCTTCGGCGTCGCGTCACCACCGACCCGCTGCCCTGCGCCACCACCGAGCGCCGCCCCACCACCCCCGCCGGCACTGTGCGGCAGCACCTCCAGCCGCCCCAGCTATTAGGCAGCACATGGCATGGAAACGTAGTAATCCTTCACAAGAACATGCCATGTTTTCCATGTTCCATAGCTAGCTAAGCTTTTTAGCTTTAGCAGCAGCATGGTGAGTGAGTGACAAGATTCATCGGCATGGTAGCATCTAGCGATGCATGCAAAGCTACTAACACAGTGATGTTTGTGTAGCCACAGCGCCACAGATCGTGCAGTGGGGCCGTCGAGTTGGGGCGGCGGGGGCGCACAGTGGCGCCGCCGGCACTCGGCGGGGTGGTGGCGCTCGGCGGTTGGGGCGGAGTGGCGTCGAGTCAGCTGCGGCGGCGGCAGCGCTCGGCGGTTGGGGCGGCGAGCTCGCCTCCCCTTCTTCTCTTTCTACTACACCATAAATTTTTTTAAAAAAATAAAGTTAGAAAAATTTATGTATAGAAATATTATATATAAAAATATTGAATTCAAATTCAAATTTTAATTGGATATATAAACTTTTGACTTATAAATATTCGCTATACAAACTTTAGATGTGTAAAATTTAGGTGTATAAACTTAATAAAAGAGGAAAAGAAAAAAAAAACGATCGCCGCTAGCGATCAATAGCTCAGTAGGACTTTCGAACAATTTCTCCGTGCAAATCGGTTGCTAGCTTGCTTGACAGTTAATGTCATCTATGGCGGCGGCAGAAGAGAAGAAGAAGAAGAAGATGATCAAGGTGATGAGCTCCGACGGGGAGACCTTCGAGATGACGGAGGCGGCGGCGAGCATGTCGCGGATACTCTCCTCCACATGATCGAGGACGGCTGCGCCGACGGCGGCGCCGGCATCCCTCTCCAAGATCATCGAGTACTGCACCAAGCACGCCGCCGTCGAAGGCCGCAGCACGGCGGCGGCGGAGCTGAAGAGGTTCGACGAGGAGTTGATCGACGTGGACACGGACACGCTGTACCACCTGCTGATGGCGGGGAACTTGATGGGCGTGGAGGGTGTCCTGGAGCTGGCCGTCCAGCGAACGGCGGAGCTGATCAGGGGCAAGTCGCCGGAGGAGATCAGGGACACCTTCAAGATCGCCAACGACTTCACGCCGGAGGAGGAGGAGATCATCAAGGAGAACGCGTGGGCCTTACAGTAAATCATAATAATTTGTTAGGCGTAGTAATAATAATTAGTAATAATAGATTTTTTTTGTTTATGCTTTTGCTTAATTATTGGTAGTATCTTTTGTAATTGAAATGTTCTCGAGTCCTAATCGATTTGATTAGTTACATTTTTGCAATATTGTTCAATTTAACATGTGCATGTTTTGGCGCCAAGATATCTGAGACATGGCCATTATTCCCCAGAGAACAATCATAAACAATCTAATTCACCTTAATTAATCGTCTTGGTTGCATATATATGATGCTTCAGTAATGCAGGGAACATATGTTTCAGTACACTGCACTCAGCAGGCTGGTGTAGCAACATCAGGAGAAATTTTATGGACATGATCCTTGATCAGTATGTAAAAGAAAAAGGGCATAATCATTCATGAAACAACTCTCAGCGACATCCCTCCGGCGTCACACAACATAACCATTAACCAACGATAATATAATATTAAGGCAGCATTCACATGGTCACAGAACATAGACCAACCCTGCACAGTACATGCAAGAACCTGCATTTCTCATACTACAGATACAACTTCAGTGTACTCTTACAAGAATCCATACATATGCCACAGGTCAAGAAACCATTAAATCACACTAGCAAGTACGGATATGGCTTGTGCAACGCTGGCTAAAACTTGATGAGAACATCATTGGTTGACATCATAAATCAAACTGGGTACCACCCACATGTTGTCTACTTGAAAGTCTGGGACGCGGTCTATTCTACTAGGAACTGGCTGACCGAGCTCGACCGCAGTCCAAGGTTCACCAGAATCTCCAGATGGTTTCGCAACATAAATCCAGTTACTCTTTCCGCCCCATCTTTCAGGGCTCGTGCAAGAGAATGTAGGGTCCCTCCCATCAAGGTTGACAAAGAGAGCCTGATTTTCCAACCTTTCCATCTTCACACACTCAACTGTTTCAGCAGAAAACTCAAGACGAAAGACTTGAAAGGTGCGAGGCAATTGGTCGCGGTCTGTTGACAAATCAACCATGAGAAGCATTTCACCACAGGCCACCAGCCATGGCCCAGAACGTGGGCCTGTAACCATTTCTTCTCGTCGCAGAACCGCTACTTCCTGTATGCTGAGCTCAGGTGCAAATTGCATGGTGTGAAGCCTGCCAAGAACATCCATCGCAAAAATCTCACCTTTGAAGAGCACAATCTGAAGAATGTGCTCACCGCCATAACCGTGCTTTGTCCAAGAGTTTGTTCCAACCTGCCAATAGAATATGGAAGACCTCGAACAAAGTATCAGATGTGAGTTGGGTGAATTAAGTGGAGCCGTAAGGATGCCGTAGTAGATATCCCTGTCGCCCATGAAGTTGAGTTTGGGAGACTTCAGCTTAGTGCTAGTGTAAGCATCAACAAAGAGGCAGTTCTTCTCATGATAGGAGAAGATGAGATATCCATATGAGCAGCCCAAATAGCGCATGCGATTTGGAGCATCTGGCGGAGCTGAACAACGAAGGGATATGTTTCTCTTGGATGGATCATCAAGCTGCCATTTGCAGTAAGATAAAAGATTGTCCTTCAAAAGGACGCGAAGGGGACGGATATTAGGTGTATTTAGTTTGAGGCAGAGAGGTGGGAAGTTGAAAGTATATACGGATGGAAAGGAAGATAGCGCAGCTCGCCAAGAGTGGCAGGTGGCACTAAAAGCAAGCAAGTCCTGGAATGAGCTAAGCAAAGCAATGATTTGGTGAAGGAGGCTTTCCAGGAGACCTGGCCAAACATGGGGTTCACACAAGGTAGAAGATGTAGGCACTGATGAGTGGCAGGTTTTCTTAAAGGGCCTTTCTGCAGCAGCAACTTCCCTGTCAAACAAAGAAAAATTCAGAGATTACTGGAGCAGAGAAAACATTCGAAGATAAAATTACTACTTCCTACTAGTAAAGATTGAGAGATAGAGTGGAGTGATATTGATCCAACTGTGTTGTTTCAGTGAAGCAATATAAAGCAGTAACTTCACCTACAGCTTCTTGAGTCATTACAGTGACCCTTATGAGTTATGACACATTGAGGCAAATAAAACTGACCATTTCATTGAACTGTAAGTCTGTAACGAACTAACGATTCCCAGAATAAGATGTGCATCAACGTCCTAGATGCCAACCAAAACAATATACGCCAGAACCACCTACAGCTTTGATATCTTGAACAATACCACAATTGTAATAATCTGTTTATATTGTGCCAAACCTATTTTTGTTTTTTTCCTCCCTTCCCTTCAAAATAAGACAAAATGGTACTTCGTATTCCACCCTCCCAAAATTAATGAAAATGTTTATTTTGACAGTATGAATATGCGGCAATACACCCTATTTATCTGGAAAAAAGATAGTGCATTTGATTAATAATTTATTAATAGATCTGGTTGGTTCCTTTGGCAGCCAACGCAGCTTCAGCCATCAGTGATTCAGTGTCAAATGCTACCATACAAGAATGTCAGGTACCATAAACTTCTTGGAACTATATACCTATAATCAACTAGAAATCTACAAAACTAAGCAAAATTGAAGCAAGAACGGAAACCAAATTACCTGTGGCCGAGAGCGCTCAGCTCCGTTGGCGGCGGCATCTCCTGGCGGCTCCCGTCCATGGCCGCTGCTGCTCCTACCACTCACTAATCCGTAGCTTCACCGGATCCGCCGGCCGGCGAGGAGACCGGGCAACCGGCGGCGGCGCGTCCGAGCCTCCGAGGCGAGGCGAAGCGAAGAAGCGGCGGATATGGATGCGTCGGCGAGGCCATGATCCATGGCCCATGGGAGGCCCAAATAATCCGCAGGCCCGTAGAACTTCGCAGTCCGGCCCAAATATTGAGTTGGGCCCATAATTTTCGGCCCACATGGAGAGACCAAACTGGCCCACGTTGAAGGCCATAAGACGAGCAGGAGAAGGGGAGAGAGAGGGCAAACCGACATCGCCGGAGAGGTCGCCGGCGGCATCGTCGTCCTCCCCGTCGCCGGAGATCGGACCTCCTCCACAAGGTCTGCGCTCTCTCTACCCTCCCGCCTTCTCGCGCCTAAACCCTGTTCCTCTTTTTTTTTTCTTGATAAATTTCTCGATCTCTTGTGTCATCCAACCCTAACCAAGAAACGGGCGCGTTCGCTAGGGTTGGAATTTCCACTGGATTTTTGTTGTTAGATGTGCTTGCTAACAAAGTAACAACCCTAGATTGATATGGTTGATTAGGTGGGTTTATCAATCGTGTCATGTAAATCAACGTGCCTCTTCTACTTTTGGGGTTGATTTTTTTAATAGAAAAATAGTACTCTTTGGATGAGCGGTGTTGATTTTTTTAATAGAAATTTGGAAGCCAAGCATGAGTTGATTGATGTACAAATGGAGAGAGGAATCAGTACGCAAAAATACACTCAGATCATTTTTATGCGCGTTATTTGATTACACAGTACTGAAGTGCTCCATAGAAAAGCTCAAAACTGTACTATGCAGGAAAACATTTCGATTAGAGAAAAAAACTAGCCCTTTTCCTCTATGATATTGTATATTTGTATCTCCCTGAACATAAAAATGCACCTGGTTGAATTGAAATCTTCTTTCCCATTGTATAATGACGATTTAGGCTCAGTTCGTTTGTGATGGTTCTCAACCTCTCCTTCTCGATTTCCGCGCGCACGTTTTTCAAACTACTATTTTGATGCGTTTTTTGTAAAAAGTTTTTATACGAAAGTTGTTTAAAAAAATCATATTGTTTCATTTTTGAAAAAAAAATTAGCTAATACTTAATTAATCACGCGCTAATGGATCGTTCCGTTTTTCGTGCCAGAGCCAAACGTTCCCAACCTGCTCTTTCGAACAGAGCCTTAGATGTCTTCTGCATGTATTTGGTAGCTGAAATTCTAGCAGGCTTCCAGATTAGTCAGTTTCATCCTTCTAACTTGTGATCAAATTCGTTATGTGTTGCAGGGAGTTCGGCAATCTGCCATCATGCAAAGCCCCAGCAAGATCTCTGATGCCTCTGGCTCAATGCCCCCTGCCACGTCTGTGCGCAAAGGTTCCAAGAAGAACTGCTTCACTCCATTGTTCCTCTGTTGGGCTCCTTCGTCGACATTCTCGCCTTTGCTGGCACCTGCCATTCTTGGCGTGCTGCCTTCTCATCATACCCATCAAAATCTGCCTTTCGCACCTTACTCCCACCACTCCTCGTCCGACCCAATGTCCGCGTCAAATCCCCTTGTATCCCTTCTACCAGCAATGGTCCTCACAAGCTACTACGCTCATGTCAGGTCATTGATCTAGCCAACCGAAACACCCCGCTCCGCTGCCAGATTCCTCGAGAAACTCTGCAGAAGATGCTTTTTGCAGGCTCTTCTCATGGTCAACTCATATGCTGCCGCAGTGGTTACTGTCTCGTTGTTGATGTGTTCACCGGTGCTGAGGTTTCACCACCACGTCTTCCATTCAGCAAGGACCATGAGGAGATCTACTTTTGTGGCACTCTGACGGCTCCTATCACGTCACCCAACTCACATCTCCTTATCAGCAACCGGTCATCTCTGTTCGATTGGCCGGTTGGAAGTGACTCCTGGTCTGAGCTCAAGCTTCCTGTTAATCGGGTCGATCAGATTGTGGAATTCAATGGTCAGCTCATCGCCGTGATTGAATACAAGCTGTACACTTTGCAGTTGGCCCCCAAGCTTCGCCTGAAGAAGATGAAAACCCTGTGGTGGGATGACATGAGTGAATGTCCATATTTGAGACCATGGCTAGTGGTTTGCGATGGCATGCTTCTCATTGTTGACCACTACATAACTTTGTCATTTGGAGCACCAGTCAACTACAGACCGTACCGCCTGGACATGTCAGCCAAGCCTGCAAAATGGGTGGAGGTAAAGAAGCTGGAGAACTGGGCACTCTTTATCGGGGGTGATGCGAGAAGCCCGCCGTTTGCTTTCAAGAACCCGGAGCGCTGGGGAGGGAGGAGCAACTGCTTGTACTATGCTCACTACTCCCAGCCATGGAGCCTTCATGGGTTGGGTGATGATGCAGATGCTGTGTGGGATCCTACCACTGATGATAACCTTGTGTTCAAAAGAAACTGGTACAGTCAGCTGCAGGCCTTCTGGGTGTATCCAAGCATGTTCTATTCAGACGGAGACGGCCAGTGATTGGCACACGCACGAGTGCTCTGCTCTTATTAGCTTCTTCTGAAATTGCCCCCTTGTGATGTAGAGCAGAGACTTGTGCAACTTGGCCTAGAAATCTAGGAGATCCTCATGGTGGTCTTTATGTCTAGTTTAACACTTGCAGTCGTTTTGTAGTTCAGTTATTAGCTGCATTACCATCTGATAGTAGGGTGTGACTGCACTGGATGCAAGTGTAGTTAACTAGTTGTTGCTTTTCCACTGGTGATGGTAGGTAATGTTTCGTTCTGTAAGGGTTTGGAACTTTTGTTCTTCTTCACAGCAATGGTTTGGAACACTAATGTAATGCTTGTGCACTTTGTCTTGTGATTTGGTGCTGCTCCAAATTTTCTTGCAGGACAAATAGATTTTCTTGTACTGGGATATTTTCTATGTACTTCTGAATCGGAATCACATTGGTAACTTTGATCTGTAATTTTGGAGTTTCAGGAAGCAGAAAGAAGCCTAGTGTTCCGGTAATGGGTTGATAAACATATTGGGGCAATTACAAATTTACCACAGTTTTAAATTGTTATTGCAAAACTACATTCGAATAGCATTCTTGCAAAATATCATAAAAACCAGAGTCTTAAGTTAGATTAAGAAAAACAATGGACAAGTTTGCAAATGCCCCAAACGTATAAGATTTACATAAACCCCTCTCGATCAGATCAAATCCACTCCCCGCAAAAAAAAAAGAAAGATCAAATCCACTCAACTGCACGCGTGTGCATGTTTCAGAAACGGATTCATCGCAACAGTTCGCATTGAAATTAGACTCGGATTAGATCGGTTTCATGCAATTAATTGATTTCTCCGTGCAAACCGGTCGCTAGCTCGCTGGACAGTTGTCGTCATCAATGGCGGAAGAAGATATCAACAAGATGATGAGCTCCGACGGGGAGATATCATCAATGGCGGAGAGGGCGGCGAGCCTGTTGCGGCAACTGATCGAGGACGGCTGCGCCGCCGCCAAACCCCTCGCTGAGATGGTCGAGTACTGCGCCAAGCACGCCGCCGGCGAAGCTCAAGGTAAGGAAGAGGAAGTATTAGACGGCGAGTCCAGCGACGAGGAGGAGACGGACATACTCAGGCTGGAGGCCAGCTTGATGGGCGTGGAGAACATGCTCAGCGCACGGCGGAGCTCATCAAGGACTAGGACAAGCCGCCGGAGCCGTCGCCGGAGAACGTCCCCTTCCACGGCTTTCACAGTATACATTCATTTATTGAGCACTGCTACACAGACTAAATTTTCTTATTAACAATCATCTCAACCATCTTATTATATAGTATATATAGTAAAAGCAGCAAGCTATATTACACGAGAATGCGCCACATCATCACAAATATAATAGCCATCAGATAAAGGGTTTGGGTAAACTATAGCCATTGGATCAAACGGATACATGTATTAAAAAAAACATAAATGGGCTAAACATATGGAAATTTCCGGAGGTTTCTGTTACCTCCTCTAGACACATGATAAAAATGAGTGGGGATAAAGAGAGAAGAAAGATGAGGTTTCTAGTGATTTCTCTTATTATAACCATATAGTACAACTTGGAAATCAATACTTTGTAAAATAAAATTAACTTATTATATCAAAGCCTTCTTCAAAGCTTACCTAAACTAATAGACCATATAGAAAAGTTCTTAAACAGATTAAAAGTCACGCAAAGCGTGACTACGAGGCTAGTTTAATTTAGCACTGCTACACAGACTAAATTTTCTTACTCTCTCCATCCCAAAATAATTTTCTTACTCCATCCCAAAATGCTTGACGCCGTTGATTTTTTTAAACATGTTTGACCGTTCGTCTTATTAAAAAAATTTAAGTAATTATTAATTATTTTCCTATCATTTGATTCATTATTAAATATACTTTTATGTATATATATAGTTTTACATATTTCACAAAATTTTTTGAACAAGACGAATGGTCAAATATGTTTAAAAAAGTCAACGGTGTCAAACATTTATGGAAGGAGGGAGTATTAACAATCATCTCAACCATTTAATTTAGTTATATGAAAGTTATAAAAAATCAACGTACACTCATAGCGTGACACGTCAGTTTTAGTAAGAAAATGTTAATACGTATAGCCTTTTCCTTGTTTATTTATTATTAGTTAAAGACATTATTATTCAGAGTAATTAGCAATAGATTTTTTTATTCCTTGTAAAAGATTTTGAATCCTGATTAATGATTTATAGTATTTTGCAACGGATTTGCTAAATGTGTCGCCAGTTTTTTTAGGTTTATCAGGTTTTGGAAAATAATATCGCTCAGCAGATAAACGTGCCTTCCTGACCAGTATAAAAAAGAAGGCAAATTTTCAGGGAACAATGCTTTCATGAGGAATCCATTTATGCCGAGTCAATAAACCGTAGTTAAATCACACAAGCAGTATGGCTAAAAACTTGATGACAACAAAACGAAGATGATAGATAGATCACTGGTTGATGCAAGCCGACGCTTCTTCATTCAGGATTCCAGGGATGTACTCACACATGACACATTAGTGTTAGTGTTAGTAAGAGTTTACTAATAAAATTTCAGTGAGTTAGTAAACCATTACTAAAGCAAA